ATCAGCAATATGTCAACATGGGTCTCTTACAACCACAGCAATTGGGTCAGGTTGGCGGCTTCTCTCCCTCGCTTCAGGGAGGTGCAAGCATGGCTGGAGTTTCCCCTCAGCTCAACGCCTTCCAGTTCCCCCAGGCTGCTCAACAGCAGCAGCAGCAGCAGCAGCAGCAGCAGCAGCAGCAGCAGGGCCTGGGTGTGCCCCAACATTCTCACCGACGCAACCAGTCGGCACTTCCGGGCCTCGGTTTGGGGCCCCCACCCGCCCCGTCCTCGGGGGCGTCGGGTTATAACGACTACAACCAACCCCAGCAGGGGAACCACCAGAGAAACGAAAATGGGAACAACAGCCGTGGTCGCGGTGGCCCGCCTGGTGGTGGTCACCAGCGTCGCCATTCGCTGGCCCTGCCCGAAGCCAAGAAGGCCGCCGAACTGGCCCAGCAGAAGCGGACGGCGTCCGGTTTCCAGTTCCCCGCCCCCAGTGAGTCGTCGGACAGTGCGGGCAACTCGGACGGCAAGTCGACCCCCACGGCCCCGCAGCCGTCGCAGACCCAGGGCCTCGGCCTGCATCGCGCCGGCAACATGCGGTCCGGTGGCGGTGGTCACGGTCGGAGCCAGTCCATGGCCGTCGGAGGCAACCGTGGCTCGCTCTCCGGCCGTGGTGCCGGTGGGTTCCAGTTCCCCATGTCGAACGACGGCTCAGAAAACCAGCGACGTGGCAGCCAGGCCGGTGGCCATGGCCGGAGCTCGTCTCGCAACTTCGACAGCAACTGGCGTCAGCCCAACAACCAAAACCAAGGACAGGACCAGCAGCAAAAGGGATTTGGCCAACAGGGTAGTGGTTTCCAGCCCGGTCACCGTTCCCGTGGGTCCATGAACCAGTCCATGGGGTCCATCGGTTCCTTCCAGTATCCGGGCCAGCCCCAGCTCATCCAACTGCCCCAGGGTCAGGTGGTCATGGCCCAGCCCCAGATGTTCGGCGGCGGGCAGCAGCTGAACCCCCTGCAGCTGGCCCAACTCCAGGCCTTGCAGCAGAATGGGCAGATGAACACCCAGGGCCTCGGGGGCCTGCAGGCGAGTCAGCACGCCCCGCCCCAGCTGTCGCCCCAGCAGCAACAGCAGCAGCAGCAGCAGCAGCGCAAGACGCTTTTCACGCCCTACCTCCCCCAGGCCAATCTGCCCGCGCTGCTGAGCAACGGCCAGCTGGTCGCCGGTGTCCTCCGCGTCAACAAGAAGAACCGTTCCGATGCCTATGTGACCACCTCCGACCTGGATGCCGACATCTTCATCTGCGGTAGCAAAGACCGCAACCGTGCCCTCGAGGGCGACTTCGTCGCGGTGGAACTCCTGGATGTCGACGAGGTCTGGGGTCAAAAGAAGGAGAAGGAGGAGAAGAAGAAGCGCAAGGACATCACGGACGCTCGGTCCGGTAACAATGGCGGCTCCGACAAGCTGTCGCGGTCCGACTCCGGCCCCAATGGGGACCGCCAGGAGGTCGGCCCCGACGGGAGCATCCGCCGCCGTGGGAGCTTGCGCCAGCGCCCGACGCAGAAGAAGAACGACGACGTCGAGGTGGAAGGTCAAAGCCTGCTCCTGGTGGAGGAGGATGAGATCAGCGACCAGCAGAAACCGCTGTACGCCGGACACGTCGTCGCCGTGATCGAACGAATCGCCGGTCAGATGTTCTCGGGCACTCTCGGTCTCCTTCGCCCCAGTAGCCAGGCGACGAAGGAGAAACAGGAGGCCGAACGGCAGGCCCGCGATGGCGCTGGCGGCCGTGGACATGATCGCCACCAGGATAAGCCCAAGATTGTGTGGTTCAAGCCGACTGATAAGCGCGTGCCCCTGATCGCCATCCCGACGGAGCAGGCCCCTCGCGACTTTGTCGAGAAGCATCAGGACTACGCCAACCGCATCTTTGTTGCCTGCATCAAGCGGTGGCCCATCACCTCGTTGCATCCGTTTGGTACGCTGGTGGAGCAGCTGGGTGAGATGGGCGACCTGAGGGTGGAAACCGAGGCGCTGCTCCGCGATAACAACTTTGGCTCCGACGAGTTCTCCGAGGCCGTTCTCAAGAGCATCGGTTTTGAGGATTGGTCCGTGGACACCCAGAGCGAGGCGCTGCTCGCCTCTCGTCGGGATTTCCGCCAGGAGACGACCTTCACCGTCGAACCCCAGGGCACCAAGGAACTCGACAACGCCTACCACATCAAGAACCTCCCCGACGGTCGCGTGGAAATTGGCATCCACGTCTCGGACATTGCCTACTTCGTCAAGGGCAACTCCTTGGTTGATCGGGAAGCAAAAAAGCGTGGCACGGCGGTGTATCTCATGGATCGCCTGGTCAACATGCTGCCTCCGCGCGTCTCCACCGAGCTTTGCGCGCTGCTCCCGGGCCAGGATCGTCTGACGGTCAGCGTGATCCTCACGGCCAACCCCGAAACGGGTGTCGTGGATGACGATGTCTGGATCGGTAAAGGCATCATCAAGAGCGCAGGCGGACTGAGCTACGAGGAAGTCGAATCCGTCATTCAAGGCAGCTCGGCCGTTTCGGTGCCTGGAATCTCTTCCGAGATCATCCAGTCGCTTTATGTAAATATCCTCCTTTCTACTTTTGACCGACGTTATCTAACTTCTTCCAGGCCGTTGCCTCCAAATTCCGCGAGGGGAGATTCGGAAACCGGGCCTCGCGCATGCCCTCGCTTCGTCTCCTGTATCAGCTTGACGATGAGAATGTGCCGGTGGAGCACAACGTCTTCAACGCCTCTGCGGTCCGCGAGTTGGTGGAGGAACTCAGCCACAAGGCCAACTACTACGTGGCCCGCAAGATCGTTGGCGCTTTCCCCGAGAAAGCCTTCCTTCGCCGCCAGGGATCTCCCAACGGCCGACGCCTCCAGACTTTTGTTGATCGGATGAACCGACTCGGGTTTAACTTGGACATGACGAGCAGTGGAAGCTTGCAGAGCAGCCTTTGCAATGTCCAGGACGACGAACTGCGCAAGGTTGGTCATCTGGCAAACAGGCCGTTGCCACACACCCCTCGAAAAAAGAGAATGTTACTAACCAAGAAACAGGGCATGGAAACGATTCTGGTGAAAGCTATGCAACGTGCCAAGTACTTTGTGGCCAGCAACGTGCCCGAGGAGCGTCACCACTACACCCTCAATATGCCCGTGTACACTCATTTCACGAACCCCTCTCGCCGTTACGCCGATATCGTCGTCCACCGTCAGCTCGAAGCTGCCCTGTCCGACGGGGCCATCGAGTTCTCGGAAGACCTGGAGTCTCTGAGCAAGACGGCGGATCTCTGTAATAACAAGAAGGATTCGGCTCACAACGCTCAGGAGCAGAGCGTCCATATCGAAGCGTGCCGTGCCATGGACAAAAAGAGACAGGATGCCGGAGGTGACCTGATCAGCGAGGGCATTGTCATCTGCGTCTACGAGTCGGCCTTTGACGTTCTCATTCCTGAGTATGGCTTCGAGAAGCGTGTCCACTGCGATCAGTTGCCCTTGAAGAAGGCCGAATATCGCAAAGACAGCCGGGTTCTGGAGCTGTACTGGGAGAAGGATGTGCCTTCTTCGGCGTACATCCCCGAGGATGAACGTCCCAAGCCCGCCAACTCGCGGGCTGCTCAGGCTGCTGCCGCCGCTCGCGAAGCGGAAGCCGCCAAGGCGCGCGCCCGTGAAAGGGAGGAGGCGATGCGCAAGCAGACCGAGACTGGCACGATGTCTGCGGACGACGTCGATGCGCTGTTTGACGACGACGACGATGTTTCCGAGGTCACTGAGATGGCCGCTGGTGTGTCGTTGAACTCGTCGGCTGACCGCTCCACGCAGAGCATGCCGCCCTCGCCGACTCGCAACGGTCACTTGCCGCAGGCCCCACACCGGACGCGCTCTGACCCGAAGATCCCGACCAACACGGGCGATGCCCCGGAGGCCAAGATGACCAACAAGGAGAAGTATATGCAGCTCTTCAAGCTCAGGGAGGAAGATGGAGATTATATCCAGGATGTCACCGAGATGACCCGTGTTCCCATCATCCTCAAGACCGACCTGACCAAGAGCCCTCCGTAAGTTATCCTTGCATTTTTTGCTATCCTGCCTCTGTGTACTCTGGACTAACGATGCATCTCCAGTTGTCTCACCATCCGTTCGGTGAACCCTTACTCGCTGTAGAGCGTCTCCAATTCTGGATGCGCCCGTTGCACATGCAACCTTGCGTTTTCCGGCCAGCTCGGCAGATTGTCACGAGCGGTCCTATATTATACAGTGACTGCCATGCACTGGGCCGTGGCTGTTACCCTCCAGATCACAATTCTCTCGTGCGATATTGTGAAGACCTTTTGAGCCTCTGCTATTATGTATTGATTTATCAGTCTAGCGTGTTAATTTGCTTCTGTTCATTATTCTTATTGGAGCCATCCTGGGCTTTGCAAGATCATCCTGACGGGTTGATTGTCTTCAGTTTCGACAAAAGCCATGGTTAAGAGCCATGACTAATTCTTGGGTTCAAGACTAGTGTATATTGATCCCTCGCAAGGTGCGCTAAGGAGCCAGGACGGGAATTCGATGGTATTGACTAGTGATATCCGCTGACGGGGAGCCAACCGCCAGGGATGCCTTGGAGGAAAATTGCGTCTGTTCGTCTTAGATGTTTGCATAGCTTATCTCCATTAACCAGATGGTTCGGATGTTTCCGGAAGTATTGGATGTATCGTAGGACATCAGTAGCGTTGTATTTTTGCACATTGGACTGTGGTAGTCGGCTCTATCTATTTCATCTTTGAGAGTATTACCTCGGACCGTAGTCATAAAGTAATTTACGAGTGACTCTGTAGAGATTGATAGAAGACACCAATATACCATATAAAGCATGTCTCTGTATATGTGCCTATGTATGCAAGTCTATCCATTCGGTCTATCACAAATAAAAAATAAGAAATAAAAAATAAATCAAGGAAATAAAGTAATCAAAAGAGAAGCATCCATTGAAGAGAGAAAGCCTTGAAATAAGTAGTACCTAAAAGAATCTAGCCTTCCTTTCCTTCCTTCCTCCCTTCCCTTCCATTCCTTCCATTCCCCTTTCCAACAATTGACAAACTCCTTGTGATAGATGATACGCCCAGAAATTACACTTATTCCATTTTCATTGCACTCTACCGCCGCAAGTCACCCCATGCACCTATGTATAAACTTGTTCCACGCCATGCATTGAGAAGAGAAGAGAAAATAAAATTTGAGATTCTCGAGAGCCAAGCCAAGACAAGATAAGACAACGCCGTTGTTGATGCCAGTGTTCGGGCTATGATCTAAAACGAAAAAAAGAGAAAGAATTGAAATGAGATAAAAGATTAGAGAAATGCATAAGTGGATGCTGGTGATGATGATGTTCATAAGGGGCGTGAGAAGAGAAGAAACAAGACATTCAGAGTCGGCGGATACCGATTCGTGGCTTGGGTTTTTGCGCATTATGGAATGCGGAGGAGGGCTTTCGGGACCCGCCCACGACTAGCTTGGTGACTGTTTGTGGGCCAAGTTGCGTTGATGAGGATGAAGAGGAGTCGAAGGTGTCTAGTTTGCGAGTGGGCTTTTGAGGCCCTAATACTGCTGTTCGTTCCTTAAGGGCGGCGCTGTCGCCGCTACGGGAGAGATGGCTTTTCTTGCCGTTGCCGCTGGGGTTGCGGCGGTGGCCTGAGTCGCCAGGGTTGGGCGCGTCTTCGAAGATCTTGACGTCTTCGCGGATGCGACCTGAGGCGTTGATGCCTTTTTCGATGATGGATAGTTTGGGGGATTTTCTTTGGGGAGGGCCGTCCGCGTCTGCGGAACAGTTCGCAGCGATGTTCTTCTCCGAGGCGGACATGCCTGTTCCGTCTGCGTCGGGGTCATCCTCTCCCGTTGTCGCGAGATCCGTCTCCACGGGCATTGTCAGTACGGAGAGTGGTCGTTTGCCAAGTGCGTGTTTGCGGGGACTGGGTGGAGCAAATTTCACGGGCGAGGGAGATAGAGACGGATCGTTTTCTTTTGGTTCGTCGTCAGTTTCTGGGTCTTGATGGACGTCGGTTTGCTCTTCGGTTTCGGGTATCGAATTAGGAGGCCGAGGCGTTGACATGGACCGCGACGGGGCGCCCTCCTCGACCGTATTACGTCGGGTGTTCCTCTTCTTCATAGTCACTGTGGGCGTTCTGCCCTTGCTTCGCGGCCGTAGAGAGCGCGAATCCTCGTGCTCTGGGATGATCGCCGCGCCGGCGTCCTCGCCGCGCATCTTCGCCTCGGATACTGCGTGTTGCAGTTCCGACGGAACCAGGGCGTGTATAGACGTCATCAGTTTGGCCTGGCGGGAGAAAGCGTCGTAGTTCTCCTGAAGCAATGCGCCAGCTGTAGAGTTGAGGGCGGAGTCGGGATTGGGGTAGATGAGGAGACATGATATCGTCTGTGACAGTTAGCCTTTCTCCTTTCCGGCTATGCAGCGAACAAAGAGTTGCACTTACGACCAGCACGTCCTTCAACGTCAACGTTGACTTCCAATCCCGTTTCAATGTGTCCACGCAGACAGCGCCCGTCGACTCCTCGACATTCGGGTGCCAGATGCGCGTCCTGAAAGTCGCCTTGGGCGGGCTCTTGGGATAGTCCTGAGGCATCTTCAAATGTAATCGCCAGAGACCCTGAGCGTACGGTGTCCCCTGTGGGCCGGCCAACAGGGCAGTGAGTTGTGTGAGGTCATCGGCGGAGGCGTCATCGGAGGGGAGGAGGTAGTTTGGGGGGAGATCATCGTGTAAGGCGGAGTGGTCCGCCGCGAGGCGTTTGAAGCTGGAGACCTGTGCGATTGGACATGTCAGTCAATCTATTGCCATACTTCTTGGACATGCATGTCGGTGTGCGCCAGCAGAAGTCAAGCTGGATTTGGTAGGAAAGTCTGTTAACACTTACCATTCTCGCTCAAGCTAGTAATATAATTGAATTGAATAGCTGCGGAATCGAGCTCACAATCCAATATCTCGCGTGAAAAAAGTCTCGTTTAACAAAGCCAATTGGATTCAGCTAGATCAGAATAGATCAGTCACAGGAATCAATGAATCAAAGGAGACCAAGAATCGTGGTTGCCGATCAGACAAGGGTTTGGTTGCGACGGCGACTCTTTCCGCTCTTTGTTTTGGTGAGGTTGCCTGAGGTTGCCGCTGACACCGTCTCGGCCCAAACAAGACGCGCTCCGGGTCACGTGGAGTGCGCGTGGCGCGTTTTAGGAAGTGTGATGACCTGTCACGTGGGCACCAACCACCAGGCTCAAGACGCGGATATTGATAACGATGCACTGGAGCAATATCATCCTGGCTAAGGATCATGCACATGCTTTACAAGAACGGGCTACCACGCACGCTCGAAAAGACTTTGGAGCGATGTGTTTACGCATACTAAGCCCGTGTTTATAGTGAAGGCACGTCTGCTACAGACAGAAGTGCGCGACGGTCATACAAACCCTGTGATGGCCTAATAGCTTTACGTACGTTGCGTTCAGCTACTTACTGATCTTTCTATGCATGGATTGGAACCCATTCGAACTAGATGGATCCCATAGAAGATGGAGTGGTGGATGTTACACTGAAAAGCAGTGCACATATGATGGGCAGCGCGTGATGACCGCAGTCTGCTAGTGCTTTTTTATCTATTCTGATGATATCTATGCAGGGACGAACTTAATCTGGTCCTAAATACAGAAGGTCGCCATACATATACTGATTCCAGATTGTATTATTGCGAATTGTTCTGCGCAGTCTATAGAATGTCTCGACCGTTGGTCTGGCCACACTGAGCGGCAGCTTTAGCGTCTCAGGCGGGCCGAACTAATGAAATGCACCGACAGTAATCGCCGAGTTGCCCCGGTGGATGTATGACACCGAAGTGTCAACAGCTAATTCCCGAACGACGGAATACTACTTCTGCAAAGCCGACGGCTTAATCTGACACATTCGTCGAATTTCAATCGAGACTGTCATCCATCAGACTGTTCCTATTATGCAGTGATCATGTCAGATCCTCCAGTGAGCGCTACTGGTCCAATCTTACAGCTATCTTACATGAAGCAGGTCTTATTGGATGTTCAAGTTCAATGAATTCTATTTACCGTGATCTCGTGAAGGTATTATGATTAATCTCACGTGGAAATAAGATAATATGTGCGTTCGCCAGTCATGCATCTCTTGCAGGCAGTGGCGTCAAGTCGGAAAGCGAAGACCCCCTTGGGGCAATGATACATGTATTCCGGTCCAAAAAGTTGCAGCAGAACAAACAAAGGAAATAAAACACTCTTTCAGCTCTCGGTCTTTTGCACCCGCAGCAGAGTCCAATCAGGTCATGATGGCACGAAGAGGAATATCCCCGACCACGACAGCTGAGCGACCCGCTTACAGGAAAAGAGCGATGGCAGCACCAGCCAGGAGACCGCTGAGGGGACCGGCAGTGGCCAGGGCGGCACCGTTGTCGGATTCGGTGGGAGAGCCGGAGGCGCCGGTCTTCTTCGAGCCGTCGCTAGTCTTGGTGACACCCTCGGTCTTGGTGGCGGCACCGCCCGAGCTGGTGGACTTGGAGGGGGCGGCGGTGGTGGAAGAGCCGAGACCGGTGGAGGTGGGAACGGCACCCGTGGACTGCGAGACAGTGGGGAGAGAGAAGGCGTTGGACTCCTGCGAGTGATAGCCACGTTAGTTTTATGTTGACGATCTGATGATCCCATGTGGGGATTCTTTTCAGATGGCGCTTACCGAGGGGGCACCGGACTGAGCGGCAACGAGGGCCGAGAAGGCAATGACGAGGGTGGTGGAGGCACGCATGTTGAGAGTAGTGTGGAGGATGATTGGTGATCGAAGAGATTGGTTGCAGGTAAAGTTGCAGGCGATCAACAGGTGAGAGATATCGGGATGAAAAGGAAGAGAAAAGAGAAAGTGAATCAGAGGACGGGGAGAGGCGCTTTATATGTATAACAACAACAGGGGAGGGAAAGGGAAGAGCAAATGACAGGTGCAGGGGAAGGTCTTTTTATAGAAAAACGAGGTAGGGGGCCCAATCCCGCAGGAACAGGTGCCATCCAATCTCCTCATCCGCTCATTTGCCTCAGCCCTGCTTCTGAGGCTGGGGAGAGAGAGAGAGAGACCAAGCGGGAAAAGGCTGGCCGGGAGGGGGGAGGGATGCGCCAGCACCGGCGCCAATCTACCAGGTTCATTCGATATTGGATGTTGGATGAGCCAGGTGTGTCCAATCTGGGTTAGGACGAGTCGTCACTCCACCCTGCATTTCTCTAACCCTGTCACCCTCCCCAAGGGTGGAGCCACCCTTGGGATCTTGACCCTAATTGTCCCGTCGTGGAGGCGGGTCTCCTGTTGCCATCGAATGTCTCTCAGTGTCTAGTTTAGGGCATCCTTCGCGGCCCGAGGATCTGATCCTGGCCCTATGAGCATCGATGATGTGCGTGGAGGTTGGTCGAGCGTCTTTACGATGGATGATTGTTGCTGTGAGTGTTACTGTTACTGTCACTGTTACTTGACTACCCCAGTGATCAAAAGATGAGGACTCCACCAGGCAATCAAATCGATCAGGCTACTCTTCATATTGATGAAACGGCCAATCAGGGAGCACACTACACAAAAAGAATACCAGAGCATTCATTTCCATGAGGATTATTGACATAAGCTGAATAAAAGAGTAAAAAAACAAATTATAAAATATCTCAAATAAATCCAATAAACAAACAAAAGCTGACCAGACACAAAGAAAGTTCAATCAAGCCCGGGGAGGTTTGCGTATGCTTCTGGCCTATTTTTGGGGGCCACCACGTCCACCAGCCAATAACAGTCTCCAGCCCAACTCCATCTCTGCAACATTGTTTCTCTTGGTCGGTCCTTGTGATGATTCGGACTCTTTACAGTTTGTTGTCGTCGAGCGAAGCCTTCTCTGCGTTGTTCGGGGGTTTTGATCACTGCAGGATGCGTCGTCGACTTTGGAGGATTGACTGGAATCTTCGTTGATCTTCTTCCCCTCTTCTTTCATTCTAACGGGTGCGAACTGCCAAGAGAGGGCATTTCTTATTTTCATTTTATTTGTTTAATCATTCATTCTTTGTATTTTGTTTCTTGTTTTTTTTTTTTTTTTTTTTTCGTATTAATTATTCTAATTTTTATAGTATATATAATTGGCTTTGATCAAATATGAAGAAGGCTGTTCAAAAGCAAGACACGGGAAGTCTCATCAAAAACATATCCATACTCGTCGAGTTTCCCCTGCTCCTTCTTACTACCTGCATACTCTTTGAGAGCCTCGTCATTTCAGCTGATTTTATCTTACTCATTTATTATTTTTTATCCCTGTTTTTACTATTGTTGTTGTCACTTCCATTTCATTTGTCTATTCTATTAGGAAGATATATATATAACACTTCCTTGCGTAAATACTAACCAACCCTGCCCCTACAAGCCTACAACACCTCTCCCGGACCGGCCGGTACACTGCCGCACTCGCCCGAATGACCCTACAGCTATAGTTGGGTTCTTCGTATTCCAATCCATCGACAAATCCTGCAGGGCCCCTAACAATGTCCATCCCAGGTCAATGTGTATGTGTATGTGTATACGTCTCCCGCATGCACCACATATGCACTGTACGCGCCTCCCCTCCAAAAAGGGGGCCCGGAAAAAAGAAAAAAAATAACAAATAAAAAAATAAAAAAGGACAAAAAAGAAAGGATTGTTTTACGGGAGGCCTGACCTTACACCTGTCCACGTAATCGACGAGGCAATGGTATATACGTATGCACGACCTGAACCAGCCATCGCGTGCTTCTTCCCATGCTCTGATTGGCATTAGGGAGGGGTCTAAGCTGGCTGGGCGCTAGCCTTGCTGTGACTACTGCTACCTCCTGGTTACGTCTACTAGGTAGTAGGTAGGTAGGTACGGGTTACTCCTACTTGGGTACTACCCTCCCCTGCCCTTGACACTCGACGATGACATAGCCGGAGGCATAGCGTAGTGCTCACGCGGCTCGCCTCTGCAGCTGGCCGGGTGAGTTTGCCGCGAGACATAATTGACTAACTACGGATACTCCGGGCATAGGTACGGATAGATAGATTGCTGTTACGTAGGTGGCCAAGGGGATCATCAGACAAGGCCGATTGATCAACACGGCGGCAATTGTTGTAGACTAGGTAGGTAGGTAGGTGACTAGCTAGCTAGACTGAACGGGATCGAATCGCCGACTAGGTGAGGGGATAATCTGAACTTAGTGATGAGAGGGATGGGAGGGAGGGGGTGTTATTCCCACCTCGCAAAACCCAATCATATCGCGTTGGGGTTCCTAACGACAGGGGGCCCTGGAACCGAGGTCAAATCCCCTCCCTCCTTCAGTCCAATCCAGTTCGCAAGTCAAGTCCACGTACGCAAAGGTTGTTTTTCGGTGCATTGAGTCATTCCGTGAATTGACCTGACAGCTTGCGTCCGATGAAGACGTGTCGATCATGCACCGTCCAAGACATTGCCTTTTCTAGCGTGCGAATGGTATTTGATTCGGCGAGAATGTTTCCTCTTGACAGAGGGGGAAAGAAGCAATGACGATGCAAGGGGTCTTCTCGTTCAGAACCCCTTGTGTGCTGCGATGTGGCGTTGCTGTCGTATGCTGTCGAAAAGGGCGGGTGATTAATCAACAGGTCTAGGCAGTGGCACACTTGAGCCTGGAATAATGGAATGATGAGTCGGCACGTTGGTGAACAAAGTACCTTACCCGACTTGGTAATAAATGTGGAAAGCCTGAGCGCTCAGTCCAGCTTGGCTGTCAGGCTTACTCGCCAGCCTTGTTCAACTGGTGTGGGCTGTCTGACTCGATATGTTATGTAGGTAATCTTCCACAGGAACAGAAGTGGAGAACCCTCTTAATCTACGTGTGATATCTGACCTTATCCATAGTGGATTCCGATCTCACAGATGGCTTTTTTCTTTTCCATTCTTCGGGGGTAAGCAAGTAACCTTTTCTACGATTAAGCATCTCGCCAACTGCCGTAAACCATCAGTGGCTTTTTCTCCCCCTTCCTTCCCCCTTTTTATTCTATTACTTAGGTAAATAAACCTATTTGCTTGGTTCGATTGTACGAATAATAGTCTAGACCACGGCCGATCGATGTTTGGTTTGATTGAAGGGGTTGGAAAGGGGAGTTGAAAATAGGACTGGACTGGCCTAAAAAATACTCCTAGCTATTGGATTTCTAGACTCCTGTTGCTTCTTGTTTCGCACGGGCTGCATGGCACATATTGTCGGACAGGACATGGGGAGCAATCTCTCCTTGCAGCTTGACGCGTTGCTTTGTGTTTTTGGGGTGAACTAGATCGATCTGCCCAGTTCCATGGATTCAGGGATGAGCGTAGGTTTCTGGACTGGCATGTCGATAATATATCATGGATATACGGGCTCATCATGTAATGTCCAAATGCCTGAGGTCGGAACACCCAAGGACTGGAACACATAAGGATTGGGACTGGTCTAAAGCTTGCGGGAAAGGTCCAAGGCGTTTTGCAACAATGGTCACTCCGTGATTTGACTCCAGAGACGTATTGATGCCTGCCCAGCCCATCACACGCATTGAAGAAAGCAGGGGTTGAACCCAGTGCACCTGAGCTTCACAATCCCTATCAACATTACTAGCAGGTAAACGCAGACATCTAAACGGCGATCGTAGACAAGCGGTCTGATACAGCGCAGTATCTCGATGGCGGACAGTATCGCCGCATCCAAGCATACAATCCACAGACAGAGACGACAGTCAACTTTTATTCCATAACCCAAAAGATACTGTACATCACAGCGTCACCACCAGCCCGCAAGTCGGGAAAGACGCTGAGCCACATATCGACACCCAGTATCCATCCATCCACCACATTTCACCCTCACTTCTCCATAGGAACACCCCCCTTCATCCACTCAGCAAACTCCTTCCGCTTAGCCTATCCACAAAACCAGTCAGTCAGCAATCACCCATGTATAAACCATCAAACAGTATAACCCCTCTCCACCAACAAGGTAAAATAAACTCACCCGCACATCCCAAAAACTATACCGCTCCTCCAGCCTGCGAAACGGATTCCTCGCGCCCCCCTCACGCTCAATCTGCCCCGCCCACTCGCTCCAACTAACAGGCTTGAGCTTCTCCGCGCCGAGGACCAAGCCCACAGACACGAAGACGATGGAAACGAGGGCTTCGATCACGATATCGTGCGGGAGGGCTGTCGAGGTTGGGAGTCGCGCGTTGCTGTAGAGGGTGGTGTGTTCGTGGGCGGAGTATGCTCTGTTATTGGATTGCAATTCGTTAGCTCTGTCTGCCTGCCTAGATAGATGTATCTTTGGATAATGCGCTAGCGGCCAATTCTCATCTGGTACGACTGTTGCTATAAGTGTCGCTGGGAGGTAAGCGGGTGGACGTACGCGTGAGCGAGCAGCACCAGCCCGAAGAGGGTGGCTACGCGAGAGATGAAACCCATCCTGGTTGCTGTCTGCCTTAACCACTCAATAAAATAGATAATAGGCGTGCGTCTATACTGCGAACTCAACAAAAAGCCGCCTCTGCTCGTATATGGCGTGGTTTATGCTGGCTGCCAGATAAGCTACGTGGATAGCTACCTACCGTACCGGGTTGATGTCCACGATATGGGTCAGGTGACGGGATCGTGTATTAGTAAGCAACGCCCAAATGCTGTTCTTATCGTATCGAGATAGGCAAGATATATAAGAAAAAAAGATACGGATGCACTACAGTATATCAAAAGGCAAAAATAGTCGCGCCCGGGATCGAACCGGGAACCTTCTCAGGAAACAGAACTTGTGAATGAGAAATCATAACCATTAGACCACGCGACTGTGTTGACGTAATCAGAGGCCTGGTAAAGATATGTTTTTGCCTGTTTGATGTTGGTTTTTAAACCTCTACGGTTGATTGTCAAGGGCGTGGCGCTGGACTAAACCCGAAACCTACATTGTATCCTATATAAAACCCGCTTACATAGGGAAAAGACATACAAGTAGTCTGTAGACTAGACTGACTACCCCTATTCAAATATATGGCAAGGAAATAGTATGTCGAAGAATAAGTATGCCGAAAAACAAAAGTAATCCATCCCTAAGGAACAGAGCCAAAAAAAAAAAAAAAAAGATGATATGCATTAGCAGCTGTTATAACTGATGACATGCACCGCACATCAACCACCGGCAAAAACAAAAATAGTCGCGCCCGGGATCGAACCGGGAACCTTCTCAGGATACAAGACATGTGAATGAGAAATCATAACCATTAGACCACGCGACTTTCTTGCTTACTTTTGTCGACTGATTGCCTCATGAACTAGCCAGCTACTGACCCCCTAAAATGAAGAAAATGCTCAAAAATTTAAATGCAGATTTGGTGGGCTGTCTTCAGTTGAGAGGAACCCCGCCATTGTGGACACTGGGAGCCCAACCTGATTGAGGTCTTCTAGAAAGTGCTTTATTGATTGGGCACCACTTTGTTTCATTTTGGTGGGGTTGATTTCTTTTTTTCATAGCACCTACGGCTGGAGCTGGTGGTTCAATGTCGTTCTGGCACTACACATGAAAAGGCAAATTTGAATTTAAAATGGGTATTTGTTTTTTTTTTGTCTTCATCAAACGACTCGGAGTTAACCAGTCGATTCTAATTCTGATTCATGATACTATAACGTCCGTAGATCCTTCATCACACCATTGCGCTTCATCATAATTGGCATAGCATTTACAGCTTCTGCATAGCAGCAACGTCGGTGGACTGGACGTGGTCCTCGTCCTCCTCGATCTCCTGCTGGAGCTCGTCAAGGGAGATCTTGTCGTCCTCAATGACGATGTTGATCTGGAGCTTCTTGATACCGAAGCCAATGACCTGGAACTTGGAGGCACCCCAGACCAGACCGTCCTTCTCGATGGCACGGACGTTCTTCTCCATCTGCTCAAGGTCGGTCTCATCATCTGCAAGTCGAGTTAGCGTGCTGTTACCCCATGGATTCGCTAGAAATATACATACCCCAGGGCTTGACCTCGAGGGTCACCATGGACTTGGCGATAGCCTTAGGCTTGGCCTCCTTCTTCTTGCGGTAGGCAGCAAGGTTCTCCTCACGCTGGCGGACAACCTCGGGATCCTCATCCTCGGAGCCGAAGAGGTCCATGTCATCATCCTCCTCAGCCTCGGGCTTGTCCTTGGGGTTGGTGGGCATCTCAGTGGCCTCAGGACCGTAGGTGGTGAAAGCCTTGGTGGGGTCGCCGGGGAGAGTGGAGAACTCCGACTCGTACGAGGCGATGTGCTTGTACCAGCGGGCAACGTTGGGGTACTTCTCGGCGTCAGGGGCACCGGAGAAGGCCTTGAAGGTCACGACATCGGCCTGGGTAGCACCGTCACTAGAATCATCCCACGTTAGCTCAATGGAAATTCCATGACATTTGTGTGGATGTGTGGAAGTCTGTAAACGACGGCAAAAACAAAAAGCAAGTTTTCCAGGTAATCAGAAACGCGATTTCTCGCTGGATGTGTAGTCCTACGGCGGGGTCTTAAGCCGCCTCCTAAACACGGACCAATTTTTTTCATCATATGAAGGGAAAACAGGGGGGAAGTGAATGCGTAACAGAAAACAAAAGGCAAAGGTAGGCTTACCCAACAACGTAGCTGCGGTTAGCGAAGTAGTTGTTGGCGACTGAGGGGCATCATTAGTTACAGACGTAAAAAAGGAAGCGCCAGTATGGGAAGAAGGGTAGTGCAGAAAGAGAAAAAAAGAAAAAGAAAAAATGCAGAACAAAAAGCAAGGAGAGGAAGATCACATACGGGTGAGGCCAGCCTCAGAGACAAAGTCGGTGAAACCCATTGTGAATGATTTAGTTATGGATGAAGATTTGTGAGATGGGAGAGAAAAGAGGAGAAGAGGAAGAGAAATAAATAGGGAGGGAGGGGGAAGAGGTGTCCAGAAGTATTTTTTCTTCCCACTGCGGGTCCCGCTATGAATTTTTTCCATTGCGCCCCTCGATGGGACACGTGACCGCGGCGATGAAAATGAGCTTGGTCGGTTCCCGCTGGTCCAGAGAGAGCTCCCGCCACTCATCTCCAACCCGGTGGAGCTTTCGAGAACCGTCGTGACGTTGGGGGGCGCTGAACGGCATCGACGATGTAATTGACTTGTTTTGTCTGGTGGCATCCTTCTCCGATATTTAAAAGGCTTTAAAAGGCTGGGTTTCCCACAAGGATCACTGATTTTTTGTCAGTTGATTCTTATACTTCAACACACTAGCCACAACCATGGCCTCGAGGCTACAGCTGACTCGCTGTCGGCTTCTGCGTACTCCAAGTCGGATTATCCACCCGACCCCGAGATTGCGTCTACTCCCCCAGTCACGGTTACTACCTTCCCTCACCGCGAATGCGACCGGTCTTCAATCGATCCACTCAGTTCGTCACTATGCCAACGGAAGACCTCACCCTCCAGGTGGCACGCACCGAATGAACCTGGGGGATGAGCAGGAAAAATCAGCGTTGGAACAATTTGGTATCGATCTGACTGCCCGAGCGAAGGCAGGGAAGCTGGATCCGGTTATTGGAAGAGACGGCGAAATTCACCGGACTATCCAAATCTTATCGAGACGGACAAAGAACAATCCCGTCCTCATTGGCGCTGCAGGTACCGGAAAGACGGCAGTTCTCGAGGGCCTGGCGCAAAGGATTGTGCAAGGCGATGTGCCCGAAAGCATCAAGGAGAAGAGGGTTGTGGCGTTGGACCTCGGCTCTCTCATCGCTGGCGCCAAGTTTCGAGGAGATTTCGAGGAAAGACTGAAATCGGTGCTCAAGGAGGTCGAGGAAGCCGAGGGTAAAGTGATCCTCTTCATTGATGAGCTTCACACGCTTCTTGGCCTTGGGAAAGCCGAGGGCAGCATTGATGCTAGCAACCTCCTCAAACCGGCATTGGCTAGGGGTGAACTTCAATGCTGTGGTGCGACGACTCTCAACGAATATCGATTGATCGAGAAAGATGTCGCGTTGGCAAGAAGATTCCAGCCGATTCAGGTTCCTGAGCCATCAGTGGCGGCGACGATTTCTATTTTGCGCGGTATCAAGAACAAGTACGAGGTCCACCATGGTGTACAGATCACAGACCGTGCAATAGTGGCTGCGGCAACTTATAGCAACCGCTACATCACTGATCGCTACCTTCCCGACAAAGCCATCGACCTGGTGGATGAGGCTGCCTCGGCCCTACGGCTGCAACAAGAGTCAAAGCCTGACGCCATCAGAGAATTGGATCGCGATATTACAACAATCCAGATTGAGCTCGAATCGCTCCGCAAAGAAACCGACGTCAGCAGTCGCGAACGCCGAGACAAATTACAAAAAGACTTGAAGGTTAAGCAGGAGGAGTCTGCTAGATTGAGTGAGATTTGGGAGAAGGAAAAATCCCAGATTGAGTCGATCAAGCGCGCGAAAGAAGAGCTGGAGCGTGCGCGCTTTGAATTAGGAAAGGCTCAGAGAGAAGGCGATTTCGCAAAAGCCGGAGAGTTACGATACTCGACAATCCCGGGTCTGGAAGCGAAGCTGCCCAAGGAAGAGCAAACTATCGGACCTCAGTCCCTGATCCATGATTCCGTCACAGCGGACGACATTGGGAACGTTGTTTCCCGTGCCACGGGCATTCCTGTCAATAAACTCATGGCGGGAGATGTCGAAAAGTTGATTCGGATGGAAGACACACTACGCCAAGCCGTTCGTGGACAGGATGAAGCTCTTACCGCTGTCGCCAACGCGGTACGCATGCAGAGGGCAGGTCTTAGCGGTGAGAATAGGCCGCTGGCATCATTCATGTTTCTGGGCCCCACCGGTGTCGGAAAGACTGAGCTTTGCAAGAAAATGGCCGAGTTCCTGTTTTCAACAGAAACTGCTGTCGTGCGATTTGACATGAGCGAATTCCAAGAGAAGCACACGATCAGCCGTTTGATTGGATCGCCCGCGGGTTATGTTGGCTACGATGATGCTGGTCAACTTACCGAAGCCGTGAGACGCAAGCCGTACGCGGTCTTGCTGTTCGACGAATTTGAAAAGGCCCACCGCGATATCTCTGCCCTCCTCCTGCAGGTTCTCGATGAGGGTTATCTCACGGACTCCCAGGGCCACAAAGTTGACTTCAGGAACACTCTCATTGTCCTGACGTCTAACCTTGGCGCCAACATCCTTGTTGGAGGCGATCCCTTGCATACCCACAGACAGTCCGACGAGGACAGTGAGATTTCTCCCGAGATCAAGTCTGCCGTGATGGATGTTGTGCAGTCTGCATACCCACCGGAGTTTCTCAATCGTATCGATGAGTTCATTATCTTCAAGAGACTGTCCCGAGAGGCACTCAGAGATATTGTCGACATTCGTATCAGGGAACTCCAATCCAGACTTGACGACCGACGGATTGTTTTGGAGGTTGACGGCGAAATCAAGGACTGGCTGTGTAATAAAGGATATGACCCGAAGTTCGGTGCCCGTCCCTTGAATCGGTTGATCTCGAAGGAGATTGGAAACAGGCTGGCCGATAAGATCATCCGCGGCGAGATTACTTCTGGACAGACTGCGCATGTCTCGCTGGACGCCGATAAGAAACAACTTCGAATTACGGCGGTCAAATCAGCAACCTCAGAGACTGGAAACCCAACAGACAACGAGGTGTTGCCGGAATGATCGGTTAGTTTGGAGGACAAGTTGTTCTTGGAGAGATCTATCCGGATTTGGACATGGTCGGTGTCATTGCAAATAGTCGGTTTCTCAAGAAGCATCCTCACTCAACTCTTGTATAATCGTGTAATATATTATGTACAGTATAGCTAAATACCACAAGCATTCATTCTTTGGAAATTCCTTGATTCGATTCAATCATAGTTGTTGTTCTAGAAGCCTGAGGCAGGCTCCAAATAGTAACCGTCCAGTCTCGTAGTGAGATATTCCGACACCCCATCCTCTCTACTCCAGTTGCCCACGCTGATGAACCAGACATGTCAAATCCAAGTCTGCGGAGACCTGCTATCATGAACCCACTCCAGCGAGATAATGCCATTTACTACAACTCCGATGGCGGTGCTGGCGATCTCACAGACGATGACCTCGATCTAGTAGTCGTGGCTATTGACGTGAGGGATTCTGGTACCATCGGTTGTTCATACTATTCGACACAGGAAGAAACACTGTATCTACTAGGCGACATGCCATCGTTCGGCAGTGATAACATTGACACCTGTTAGTCAAACACAGTTCCATCGCTTAGCTGATACTGACGGTGCGCCAGTGATCCTTCAAACGAAGCCCACGGTACTCCTAACCTCACCTCGTGTGGATCATTTCGACGCGCAGCGATCACAGAATCTCGAACGAGAAGATAGTAAGTGAACAAGAACACCATTATAAGAAAAGAGCGTGATTATTGACAGATGAGAAGGCCAAGGCTCATACCTCCCTTATCGGCTCGACGTCCGTCCATCACAGGAATTCAGCTACCTCAATGCGAAGAACAAGCTAGTGGCCTTGGAAATATATTCCAAACACGAAGAGCGCATCAAATTCCTCGTGCCCCACAATGGATTGATGAACACGGAGGACTTAGAGATAGAGAACTTGGGTTTCACCCTGGAGGAAGCCCGTCACTTACACGTGCTAGGTGCGATTGACGTGGATAGTTCGGTGACGATTGGCTGTGCTGGTGCTGTTCTTACTTATCTACAACGGCGGAGAGCGACGGTTTCGGTGGCAGGGGACGCTGCACCCGGTATTTTCCAGATATTTTCGGTTGAGATGTTCAGCCTGAGTGGAACAATGTAAATGTTACCTCTATGTTCTCCAACATGTTGCTCACAAGACGATAGGTTTGTCAACGAGAGAACCCTGCTATCTCTCCAGATCCTTGAATCCGAATCTCACCCGAGCATGATCAATAAAGGACTAGGGAGAAAATCATCTTCGAAAGAAGGACTCTCCGTGTATGGCCTATTCCAGCGCTTTGCACATACACCCCAGGGACGGAACCGACTCAGACAACTATTCCTTCGGCCGAGCGTGGATTTGGAAGTCGTTCGTGAGCGACATGCTTTTGTCAGCGTGTATCTTCGACCGGAGAACTTCAACCCTCTGAATAAGATTATAAAAAGCTTGAAACATATCAAGAATCTTCATAACACTATGCTGAACTTGCGCAAGGGGATCAGTACTGGAAGTGGGAAAATTGCGGGTTTTAAAACTACTGTGTGGGCTACTTTACTTGCGGTGCGTGGGCTTTCTCGATGTTTATCGTGATGGCATTGGTTGACGATGGTTTAGTTTACCTTTTACGGTATCGATATTCATGATGCGCTCAAAGAAACTGCTGGCGGCCATGAAGTGGATCTGCATAACGAAGTGGGTGTATGAATCAATGGTACATATGGTACTAACATGATATACAGGCGCTAAGGACACTGGAAGCTGCTCAGTTGTTCAAGGTTGGAAGAATGATACAAGAAATCGTACGCCCGCTTTTACTTCTGCCAGCATTTCACATGCGTCTTTACTCTATATACTAAAAAGTCTAGGTTGACATCGACAGCTCCGAAGAACAAGGTAGAACAGTCGTGAAGCCAGGGCTGGACAGGGAGCTCGACAAGCTTAAAGACAGTTATGACGGCTTAAGCAACTTGCTCAAGAAAGTTGCAATAGAAATAGCAGCTACAATACCGGAAGCCCTTGGAATTGACGTGAACGTCATATATTTCCCCCAACTGGGTTTCAATATTGCAATTCCGTTAAACTATAGGGGTACGGCAGCATATAGCAGCACCGGTGAAGACTGGGAACTCTTTTTCATCACGGAGAACCGTGCCTACTTCAAGGACTTTCGAATGAGAGAGATGGATGATAAATTGGGGGACATATATGGGCTTATCTGCGGTAAGTTAATGGACTTGTCTGTTGGCAGGGTACTGATTACAAGTAGAAAAGGAAATAGAGATTGTCTATGATCTCGCTCAACGAGTGCTTCAGCACGAGACGACTCTTCTACAAGCATCAGACTTATGTGGAAAGCTTGATAGGTGAGACCCTAGAAACTTGACTGAGATGGCAGTAAGTTGACCATGGACAGCCATCTTGCGTTGGTCCAGGCCGCGGGCTTCTATAAATTGGTTCGTCCGACGATGACGGAAGAAAATGTCATAAGTATAAAAGGAGGAAGGTAATAGATTGAAAAAAAATGAAGACAATCTGTACGAACTAACATGTGCTAACATGCCGCAAGACACATTCTTCAAGAGCTGACAGTCCCCTCATACGTGCCGAATGATACCTTCATAGTGGGTGGTGGGTCAGCAAGGAATGTGTCAGATCAGACTTCTCAGATCGGACCAAGTATGCTATTGCTAACGGGTCCAAACTACTCCGGGAAGAGCATCTACATGAAACAAGTATGAATAAGACCATCAATCCTGTTTCCGAGACCTAATAGCATGATAGGTGGCCTTGATCGTCTATCTAGCACAGCTTGGAAGGTGTGTCGAGAAATCAACCTACAGGAACAATAGACTGAGGCATATAGCTTTGTCCCAGCCGAAAAGGCAGAAATTGGGATAACAGACAAAATACTAGTGAAGACAAGTACACAGGACAGCATTTCCCAAGTACGAGGCGCGACGCTTTGAGACTCACTGGCTTGGTGTTGACTATATCTCAGATCCAGAGCACATTTATGAATGATTTGCAGCAAATTTCATTCGATTTGAAGCAGGTCACCAGTCGCAGCCTTTTTATAATCGACGAATTCGGCAAGGGCACCAACGAGAGCGGTTCGCCTGACACATACTTGTTGAATTATACCTGACTGACATCCATAGATGGAATTGGGCTCGCCTGCGGGATCCTCAAGCACCTCCTCAACCGCGAGGAACCACCAAAAGTGATTGCCGCTACCCACTTCCACGAGATACTCGAAAATGGGTTCCTTACATCGGGGCCTCGTCTGCAGCTTGGTCATATGGAAGTCCAGGTCTGCGAGGAGCCCCACGAGGGAGAAGACCAGATGACTTATCTATACAAGTTGAAAGCCCTACATATGCGAATGTCAAACTCACATACTAATGAAAAGGATGTAGCTTTCGACCTGGGGTGTGTAACAAGAGCTTCGGGACAATGTATGTTTCCACAGGGGAGGCATGGGAAAGGCTTTGCTTACCGTCCCCAACAGCTGCGCTGCTATGAATGGGATAAGTCAGTCAATAGTTGATCGTGCCAATGAACTGGCGTCTCTTGCTGCTCGGGGTGAGAACCTTGTTGCTGCTTGTGCGGTGGTATCCACCCAGGAAATGCAGGCACTCAAGGAAGCGGTATGGACCATATTACACCTAGGATTTACTTGAGTAACGAAGACTGACTAGCACAGGATGTCGTAGCAAGGAGGTTCTTGAGCATGGATTTATCGGAAGACGTTGCCCCTGAGGTTGTGGACACTATGCTTGATGAACTGTTTGATGGTCTGGGGCATTGAAAACTGTATACTTTATACGATCTGTTGCGTCTGGTACGTTTTCAAAGTTAGTTTCTCTGCTGTCCCCTATGCTTCTTACTCGAAGAAATTCTAGAATTAGTACCCGGTGGAAGCCATACAAGACAACAAGATAGTGCATGTTACATCGTCAGAATGAATTATATATGTACAGGTCGAAATATATTTTTACCACACACATTGAACGCCAAAAACTGCACAAATCCTCTGGATATTTCAAGACAAGCGAACAACCACAAAGAGAGCCCCTTAGAGTTTAACACTCTTAACCAGGTTCTTCTTGATACCAGTAAGTTCACCACCATATCCACCGCGGCCCTCACCACCCTTAAACTGCTGGCGAATACTGCCCAGCTTCTTCTTCTTGTCCTCGTACTTCTTCCTCTTCTTGACACGCGGGTTCCGCGAGTCCTTGTTGCGCTTGGCCGCAAGACCCTTGTTCTTCTCGATCTGGTACGTGATGGCTCGCTTGCCGTCCGGACCGACCTCCTCCTGGATCGCAACTTGTCCGCCTTCACGAGCGGCCGCCGCGTAGGCCTCCGCACGAGCCTTCTTCTCGTCCTTCTTCCCCTTAGACCGCGCCGCCAGCATGTCGTAGTACTCGTCCTCGTCGGACCCCTCGCCCCGGATCTCCTTAGCAGCGAGATGATCCTCGTCATCGCTGTCACCGCCCAGCTGTTCTGCCCCTTGCGCCTTGGCCTTACCGCGCTTCTCGGCGTCGGCCAACAGTCTAGCCTGGCGATCCTTCAGACGCTCACGGTAAGGCAGATCCGCATCACCACCGGCATCGCGACCAGCAGCGGTACGCTTGTTGGCCTTCTGCGCGATTTGGGAAGTGTAGAAGCGCAGAGAGCGCTTCTGTCTTGCTTTCTCCTCGGCCTCCTTGGTGGTGAGAGCGTCCTCGTCGCCGAAGTCGGAATCGTTGTCCTTGGCGGCGGAGTTGCTCCCCTGCGCGGCTCGTTTCTTGCTGGGCTTGGTGACGAGGTCGGACAGATCTGCGAGATTGGCTTCGGTCTCGCGCAGCTTCTCGGCTCTCCGGGCCTCGGCCTCGGCCTGGGCTGCCTCTGCGGCGCGCTGGGCCTTGGAGACCTTCTCGGTCTTCTTGGCTTCCTGGGCTTCCTTGCGCTTCGCGCTCTGCTTCTTGGACTCCGTGGGGGCGGCTTTCTGGACGGTCTCCTTGGTCGATTTCACGGTAGCCGGGGTCGATTTCTGAGACTTGGTCTCGGGGGCAGTGAGGTCCTTCACGTCCTCCCAGACTTTCCGGAACTTGACTAGCGAAGCCATAACGGGGTGTGCGCGGATCTGGGCGGGGGACAGCAGAGGCGAACTGCCGGTCGAATCGTAGGACGGGGACATCAGCATCATGAAGTACAAGCTGATCGCACCCAGGTATGCGGACAGAGCCTGGAACTTGACGACAGGAACGGGAAGGAACTCGGCGTCTTCGGAGACTTTCGTGGACTTGGCAACCTGCGCGAGACCCCGATGCTTGCGCTGCAGACTGATGAAGTCCTTGGCCAGCGGCTCAAACTCAGGGTATCTCGACCTGAAGATCTTCATCTTCTCCTTCGAGCTCATCTTATCCGTGATTTCCACCTGCGGGAGCACTTCAGTGACCACCCCCGCGCCGTCCTGTCCGTCGTCCTTGTCTTTGCCCGATTCGGCCCACTCGGACTCGTCGAAGCCGAAGTCCGCCTCGTCCATCGCCTGCAGATGTTTCTGCTGCAGTCTCTTGGCCTCCGCCTCTTCTTCGAGCGCATCGGCCTCCGTTTCGATCTGGTCCGCATCGTAGAGATCCTTCTTGGAGGAGCCCCACGCGGCAATGCCCTCTTCGTCTTCAGAGTCAAAGCTGCCACGGCGTTTCCGGTCCTTTCCTGAGATATCATCGAAGTCGTCGTCGTCATCTTCTTGCAAGTCCTGACCCTCATCAAACTCATCCTCATCGTCCAGCTCGTCCTCGTCCACAGAATCGTAGCCCATTATCTCCTCGTCGGATAGCTGAAGCGACTCATCTAAGAAAAAGCAGTCAGTACAAAATCCCTGTCAAAGCATCCATATAAGCACATAAGATAGACAAACCTTGCGCAGCGATTTTTCTCCGCCGTTTCGCATCCGGAGCCTCCTCCAGCAGGATCTGATCGCGGCCCGCTTGGAACTCATCCTCCGAGCCGTCAAATCGTTCCTCGACGTTGTATTTGGTTTTCTGGGGAGCGGGCGCATTCTGCGCGGCGGGGCGACCGCTAGCCTTTCTTTTTCCCATGGCGGAGTGTTGGATGATCGACTGGGATTGTAGTCAATCTCGTCGAGAGATTCTCCAAAGCCGATAAACTTCAATCAATAAAATTTTGGGTGGGACTGCTCACCGCCCGCGTGGAGCTAGTCTGAGATAGGCATGTTTGTACTGTTTGTATATTACGGGATAATTACCTAAAATACGGTTAACCACTGGAAAACTCCGCAGAATATAATACGTGAGTGTATCAGAATGTATGATGCAGCCGGATGTTTATTCTCTCCAACCATACTAATTATCTTGCCCGTTCATCGATTGACAATTTGGACCCTCTCGTGCAAAGAGGAATCCCTCAATCCATCCTTGATGTCTTCAATACTGTCTTCACTCTCCAGTGACTTGTCGCCCACGACATTGGGGATCTCAGTCGCTATTTGCGGATTGGTCGTTTATCTAACCGCCCAAATGTTCGGATTCGGTTCGCGCAATGAGTTCGTCGTTGAGGGGAGGGTACGTCGGCCCTGCTGTCTTACAAGTATTCTACTAATATAGTCTTTCAATACAGACAGTCGTGATTACGGGGGGTTCAGAGGGGATGGGCAAGGCCGCTGCCTGCCAACTTGCGAAGAAAGGTGCAAATGTTGTCCTGGTTGCGCGAACCGTCAGCAAGCTGCAGGCAGCTCTCGAAGAAGTCGCGGTAGGCTATACTACCACCCATGTTGAGCAACAAATGATACTAATACTTGTTCTCAGAGCGCAGCAGCAGATACCACGAAGCAACGATTCCACTACATCAGCGCCGATCTTACAAACGCCGAGGAGTGCGACCGGATTATCACGGAGGTCACCGAGTGGAACCAGGGTCACCCACCCGATGTGGTGTGGTGCTGTGCCGGATTCTGCAACCCAGGTTTCTTCGTCGACACCCCGATTCAAACGCTCCGGAGCCAGATGGACACGGTATACTGGACCGCCGCAAACACGGCCCACGCGACACTGCGGAAGTGGCTTTCTCCCGCCGACCCGAGTCAGCAGCAAACGCAAACGCCGGCGCCTCGACGACACCTTATCTTCACGTGCTCCACGCTTGCCTTTGTGTCTGTCGCGGGCTACGGGCCCTACGCTCCTGCGAAAGCGGCCATTCGCTCGCTGTCGGATACCCTCAGCCAGGAGATTGAACTGTACAATGGGTCCCGCGCATCCAAGTCCCAAGTTTCTGCGACGCCGGCCGACGTGAAGATCCATACTGTTTTCCCGATGGGCATCTTGAGCCCCGGATTCGAGAATGAAGAGAAACTGAAGCCCGAGCTGACGAAGCAGCTGGAGGAGGCTGATAAGCCACAGACTCCGGAGGAGGTTGCCAAGATCTCGATCCAGGCTTTGGAGAGAGGAGATTATTTGATCACGACGATGTTCGTCGGCCACATTATGAAGGGAAGTGCGCTGGGCGTGAGTCCGCGAAACTCCGTCATCCTCGATACCCTGACGGGCTGGCTTAGCAATCTGGTGTTTGTCCCGATTATCGCTGATCTCAAGAGGAAGGCTTGGAACTGGGGGGTCAAGAACGGCGTTCCCTCGCCGAGCTCGAAGTAATATAGACCCTATTTGTACATTATGATGAACATATTATACTAAGATGTGATGAGACGAGAAAGATCCGAGTAGTGAATAACTCTAATTCGGGAAATAGATTCAATAGATTGAGCCGTCTAACAATTAGTGGCTTCGCAAAACCCTAAAACGAGCGCGTTGCAGACATGGCGCATAAGGGAACGAGCCGCACGAGGCTTAGCTTTAACAGTTCCAACAATTCAATACCCCTGTCTGGATTCTTCCACATCTTAAAACGCACTTCCTTGAATGATCGATGATCAATAACCCCTCCCATTCTCAATACCCTAGAGGTGCCTGGCATCTGCATTCATTTCATCCACCACAGATCGGATATCCAGATGGATCGGATAGCCAATGTTTATATCTTTTCACGGGTTTGCCCTATTCCTCCTGCTCAGTGATCCGTCCAAATGTAATGTATTATTTGCAGCTTGGTCGACTGGGCGAGTATGTACTTACGGCGGACACACCATGCTTCCTTTCGCATCCCTGCAACAGGTCTCGCCATTGCAAACCACCATCATACCGCCTTCAAGGTCTGGGCAGGTGTTCCCTGGGCAGGAGCAAGCCTCATCACAGAATACCTCAATGGCATCGCACTGTTTCCAACCATTGGGATTGGCGGGCTTGCATCGACGTTTGGAGAGAGGGTCTTCCAATGAAGCTAGGACTCCAAGAGGCCATATAGGCAGCGTCCGGTAAGAGAATGCCTCCAGATAACAGCTGAACAGGGAGGATTCCACCAGTGTACATCCATATCCAAATCTCATGACTATTTAATTTTGAAATACGACCGAGCAATTCATGTCCAACCATAGCAAGCTTGGTGTGGGGCTATAATGGCGAGGGTAAAATCTGAAGCTAAGTTATTTAGATTCCTGAAGATCAGTCCGGCTAACGTGCCTTCTCATCCAATGTACAGAGAAGTGTGAAGTTCACTTGGACTGAGCCTATCCACTATGGAGTTGATCGGCCGGAGCCTTGTTAGGGTGTGTCAACGAGGCTCTTATTGCCTTGATGTGAAATTCTACTTGCATATGGTGCCTCGGGAGAAATCTTTATTCACTGTTGCTTTGACTGAATGCCCCCATTATGGCGACTGGAGATCAATGCCTTCATAGAAGCCGTAGTAATGATTCGTTCTTAGTCGGCCTGATATGAAGTGCACAAAGCATACCTGGATCAGGCTGAGCTTCAACCAGTAACGATCGACCAACTCTTAGCAGCTGAAAGAAGAACCAAGCTGAAAAGAAGAGGCGCAAGTAAAGATTTTCATGCTAGTTGGTAAACTACAACGTCACTGTTGACTTCTGATTGCCACGGATGTGGATGGAGCCTAGTACCGACTCCACAACTACAGCCGCTACACTGTTATGCCTAGGGTTCAGCCTCTGGTACACCATCAAGGATTGCGCGTCAACATCAAGGAGAGTAGCTAGGACCCTTATGGAATTGTGAAAGTGGCGTGGAAAGGAATTGAGAAGGCTGGCTAGTCATTGATGAAATCTATATAAACCTGGCAAGAACCTCTGTACTTCTCTCTAATTCATCATCAACTCTTCAACAATCTTCTTTCAATCTCTCTTGTGTCAATTCAATATCTCTCTACCACATCCTCAGCCAACATCATTCATAATGAAGCTCTCTATCACCGCTATTGCTCTCCTGGCCAGCAGTGTCCTGGCCATGGCTTCCCCAGCTGAGAAATATGCTAGGGAAAGTGGTGTATGGCATTCCTTGTTCAGCATTTAACATTGGACCTTGTTTAACAAAATACAGCTTTGCATCGGGGGTAATTGCGCGGTGGGTGGTTCGCCTCAGTAAGTTATTCCATGAGTCTCTTTATCAAGATTGCAAACTTACATTTGATATCCAGGCCTTGTGTTGAGGGAAGCGTACGTGATCCTGTTCAACTTGTCAGGAGGAGTATGTGAAATTAACACAACTTATTGATTTGAATAGTGTGAGGGTCATGATGGATCCAATTGCCTCAAGACTGATATAGTTCGTTGCCCTGGGGCTATCTAAGTGTGAGTTTTGTTGTTGTCATAGGATATGCGCAGCGGTCGATTGATTGTGCTATTTTAGGTGCTTCCGAACAATTGAGGATAGCAAATGTCGGAGGAGCTGTCAGCTTGACTTGGATAAGTCTCAGAGGTTACCCAGCGGGCATCAATGAGATTTTGCGATGATGATGGTGATGATGTATTGGACACTCTTTTATTAGTATTTACTGGTTGAACTCATAGAAATATGACAATCCATTCTTCCTTCTCCCTTGATCAGCCCAGTATAAAGTTTCTAGAAGCATATGCCTACTGTCGAAAGGTCCATGGACGAATCTTCCTTATCTGACAGACCCATGCGTCTACTTCCATACTGGCTCGTAGCTGGGCGCATCAAATAGGGAGAATCTTCAACAAGACGACATGCCAGGACCCGAAACTACAAAGAATAGAGTAATCAGTCCAGTCATTTGCACGGAATCGGGTACACTATACAGAAGTATGCCCTGCCACCCGAGGCATACTTATGTAGGTGACCACTATCGAGTCTTTCCAAACCCCTAATACTTGGCATGCCAGTCCCTGTAGAAAATCCACCGGGTTACTGCCATCCACGCCTGGTAATATGTCTGTATATCAGAGCGTGTAAAGTGAGATGTCTATTGGATGTGGAGGAATGTCGACCTTCGTATAAGAAACTCCTGTCAAAACAAACCAGGCAAGAAGAGTCGTGCAATGCCAAGTGTAGAATAAACAGAACGGTGATATGATTTACTTAAATCATTCCAAGACGTACTGGTGGCAGAAGAAAATACAAGTGGTAAAGTTGAGTCCCTAGGGTATCTCCAGTGATCTACGGAGTAGAACAGCCCCACCTTTATGGAACCTTCCAAACCCTTTGGAAAGAAGGTAAACTTTGACTCGTAAACAGGCGATGAACACGTACTAAAGTAACTGAGGTGTTTAACAGATGATATGGCACAGCGCCAAGACACCAAGTCGGAGACCGCCCAGCCATCTGACACGCATTGGCGGTGACGTCGTTGACGTCGTGACATGCGAAAACGGACAAAATCCCAGCCTCGTTGTCACCTCAATGACATGATGTTCCTGTTCTAGTAAATCTGGAGAAACCTTCTTCCCAAGAGACTTGTACAGAAACCATGCCTTTGATTTCCAGCGCTACACCTCGCTCAGACAACCCCGAGGACTTGACTTGATTGAATTCAAGCCCACACCAACCGAGCACACCGAATACCTACATATCCACCCAATCTCTCAACCAGGGGCCAAAATGATAGACGCCCTCCTAGGACTCCCAGTCCTCAGCCTCCTGCTGGTCCCGACCCTCGCATCCTACGGCACAAGCCTCAACCTGATCTTCTTCTACATGACATGGACGACGCTCGTGATGTCGCACGATCCCCTCCGCGTCGAGCTCTTCGGCACCCTCGCCGTGCGCCTCGTCTTCTACATCGTGCCATCGGTGCTCTTCTTCCTCTTCGATATCCTCACGCCCTCTGCGGCCGTTGTGGTCAAGGCACAGGGGGAAACGGGCCTTCCGTGCGGAAGCAAGCGCGGCAAGATTCGTTTGAGAGATATCAAGGTCGCGGGGTGGGCTCTGCTGAATCTGGTGCTGGGCTTCGCTGCGCAGGCTGCTGTCGAGGAAGTCCGGACTCAAGTGCTTGGATGGCGTAGTGCGCTTCGCGTGTCGATGAGGTTGCCGATGCCGTGGGATATGGTCAAGGAGTTGTCTATGGGGTTGCTGATGCGGGAGGTGAGAGTGCTTCTTTTCTTTTCTTACTCTCCCTTAGTCCTTGTAGTAACATGAATGCTAACCCCCCTCAAACCATAGGCCTTAGCATATGTCATCCACCGCTACATGCTCCACCCAAAAAAGACAACCACGATCGCAAAGCGCCACAAATCCTGGTACCACTCGCTGCGCGCCCCGTTCCCTCTAACAGCCCACTACGACCACCCGCTCGTATACCTCCTGGCGAACTTCATCCCCACCTACGTCCCCGCCATGGTCTTCCGCTTCCACCTTCTCACCTACCTTCTCTATCTCTCCGTGGTCTCGCTCGAGGAGACATTCGCGTACTCCGGGTACTCGGTCATGCCGACGAACTTCTTCCTGGGCGGCATCGCGCGGAGAACGGATATGCATTTGGTGGGAGATGCGGAGGGGAATTATGGGCCTTGGGGGGTTTTGGATTGGGTCTTCGGGACGTCGGTGGGGGGTGATGAGGAAGATGGTGATGGTGATGAAGAGGAGGTGAATGGCTCGGTGATGGGGGGTTCGGCTCCTGATGCGTCCCTCGAGGAGAAGATCCGGAGGGCTGTGGAGGAGTCGACGAAGAGGAAATGGTCGGAGAGAGAGCGGAGGATGAGGAGGCGACGGGGTGAATGATGGTTCGATATTGAGTCTGGTGATGATGTAACGATAGCACCAGTTCCTACTGCTGTTGTATTAACAGTGTATGTATATGACTGATGAATGGATTGACGAATTGATCGCCAAGAAGACGGTGGGAACGTGTAATCACTCAAAGCTTCTTAGTATGGGACCTAAAAAAGGCCGAGAACAATTCAAGACCAGGCTTATTGTAACCATGTACAAACCTATATTATTAAAAAGACATTATAAACTTAATAAACTTAAATAAGACCTTCATTTCTCAGTTTTGAAATTTCCGCCCGGACCTGGAAATTGGAGATATATCATACTAAACATAAAAACGCCCAGCCTTATATGTAGGGGAACAAGTAACAGCTGGTTAAAAAGAGGTATTCTTTCGTTCTTCTTTTTTTTGCTTCTTTTTGTTTGACATTTCGGCTTCCTTGCCAATCGGCCCCACGCTGGGAGAAACTGCCGTTGAGATCCATATAACCCGATCTTCGGTCCCGAAAGTTATTCGCATAACCTAATAGCAGAAATAAAAAGACGGATCCGTGGAATCGAAAGTTACATGGTTTCATAAAGACCGTTTCCCTCCTGGCGCTTGCTTCCCAACCTTGGGAAGTGCCAATTCGCAAATTTCAAGCCGTCCCGCACATCATCATGATTCCCCCACATGAATTACCGAACCCGCGGCCACCGCCAGGAGACATTTACCACTTCATCTCGTGGGGCTTGTCGCCGTTCCGGAGGCTGAAAGAGCTGGCGAGGTAGCTGCCAAGGTAGTTCTCCTTCTTCACGCTGGCCAGGATGGACTGGTCGACGGCCTTCTGGTCGCTGGCGCGGGCGCTAGCAACAACCTTCTTCTGTTGAGAGATTGATGTATTAGCATCTGCTGGTTTGGACGTAAAACGAAGGGCTCTGGGTAGCCCTTCGGTTTGCATCTGCCGATCATCGAACCGAATGATCGACCATGGTCGAACATACCTGGGGCTTCTCGCCCTGCTGGAAGAAAGCCTCCTCGGACTTCTTCTGGCTGGCCTTGTCCTTGGTGAAGTAGTCCTTGGCGGAGACCTTCTCAAGGGTCTGGGAGTCAACAGCGGAGATATCGACACTGGTGCTGGTGGCGATAACGTAGCGGGAGTTGACACGGCGGAGGGGAACACCGTTGATCTTGAAGGGGCCGGTAACGAGGAGGACACCCTGGTCGAGGTGCTTGAGGAGAACGACACGCTTGCCACGGAAGCGGCCAGCGAGGAGGATCAGGATGGTACCGGGCTTGAGGCTCTCGCGCAGCTTGGCGGGACGGAGAGTCTTGCGGACCTGTATGATGATATTCCGTCAGAAACTCGGTTCCCTTTCACTTAAACCATATCCACACATTCATGGCGAAAATGATATTCCCAGAGACATATTCGATAGCGGCGGAGATAGCGATTCCGATTATCAATTCATGGTCCATTGACACCGGCCTTTGGTTTCCCCCCACACACAACACACAATACACAAAAATACCATCCCAATGACCGGCGCAATCGTCGCATTCATTCATAACAGATCGTATCTCCGGTCGCTCTTCGTTGTTGCTCTGCTTGCATCAAGGGCTGTACTGACTTTCTTGGGCTGCGACTCATCGTCCACGGGGTACCATTTCTGGGCCTTCTGGGCCGGCACGAGCCTCTGGCCCTTTCCAAACTGCTTCGTCTGGCCAACAGTAGAGTCCGACATATTGGCTGCTGGGGACGAAGGAGACCGAAAAGAATGAAGGGGGGGGGTGGGTGGTTGTCGACGGCGGGTAGTTGATGGAGTTGGATGTGTGACTCTCTACTTACGGCCCAGTGCGGAAAATCCTCAGGTTTGTGGGAGAACGAGCCCTAGCCGAAATGCGCTAGTGCCGATTTGGACGGACCGATAGGGATTCTGATAGTGCCTGAGGCAGACACTCGGGGGTGGTGCAAACAGACCAAATGTGTAATCTTAGTAAGCAGAGCTCGAACAACTCGAGCCGCCCATCTGACTGACGTATCTCTCTCTTCCTCTGTGAGCTCTGCTTTCTTCTGTCAACATCCCACCACTGTACCTCAGTCTTGATTATTCTTTCGAGATTGACCGCTGGGACTGACACAGATCAGACATTATTTTATCTATTTCCGATTATCTGATTCCCTCCCACATCCGTCACCATGTCGGTAACGCCGATCATAACATTCAAAGCGGGTATCTGTGACCTGGATGTACGTCCACCTGAGCCTTCGTTTATCCAGTGGCCGAGTTGGCATGTCTAAAGATCTAGTACTAAATATTCAATCTTCCACAGCTTACCGGATCCAACTCCGTGGTCAAACCCCAACCCACTCCCGGCTACATCTACCTCTACTCGGAAGATGACCTCGTCCACTTCTGCTGGCGTCCTCGGACTGCTCCTCACACCGAGCCCACGTTGGACCTGGTCATGGTCCCATCCGATGGGAGCTTTACACCTTACCAGCCTCACGGGAAGGAGCCCACGAACGGTCGGATCTTTGTGCTGAAGTTCTCCTCCAGCTCCCAGCGCTATCTCTTCTGGCTCCAATCCAAGTCCCAGCATGAGAGCGGGGATCCGAGCTGGTTCAGCCCCCGGGATGCCAAGCTGGGCGAGATTGTGAACACGCTCCTCCAGGGTGAAGAGGTCGACGTGGAGGAGGAGATTGCAAACCTTCCCAGAGGGTCGGGCGGATCGGGTGGTGACGATGACGAGACGATGGAGGATGTTGAAGGCACCGACCACGACCCCAACCATCACCGCGGCGGCAGCATGGGCGGAGCAGGTCCTGACGCTACGGGTGGGGATGTCAGAGAAGAGGGCCAGGGGTCCCGGGAAGGTGGTGCCGACGGTGGAAGAGCGTAGGTACATAGTTCTGCATTTTATGATTTTGCCCTGTGTTTCTTGGTTCCCTACAGTTCCGGAGTATCCCAGTTGGATGAACTCCGAATCGTGCTTCATCTCTAGTCTGACCTTCGCTAACTCATTCTGGCTACCTTGTAGGGCGTCCGCCGAGAATCCATCGTCCGTTGTACAGAACTTCCTCCAGTCTTTGCAAGGCAATTCACGCCAGTCGCAGGAACCCGACCGACCCCATACTACTCTGCAAGACCTCCTGTCCCCCGCGAATACGCTTCCTTTCCTAGAATGTGCGGATGACCGAACTGTGGATGGTCTTCTGAGCTATCTACCACCGGCCCTTCTCCTCCTGGCGCAAGATGTCGAGGATGTCTCTGCTGCCGACAGCGATCCGGACATCGCAGCCGCCGCCATGGGGTCTCTCGAACCGGCGCAGAAGAAGGAGATCCTGACGAAGATTCTACGGTCGCCTCAATTTACGCAGAGTCTGGCCAGCCTGACGGTGGCTATCCGGGATGGCGGTCTCCCGAGTATCAGCGAAGCACTCAAGATTCCGGTTGAAAACGGAGGGTTCATGCGTCGTGGAGGGGTGCCCTTAGGCGGGGGTGAAGCGGTTGAAGCGTTTCTGAAAGGCGTTCGCAACCATGTTCGGGGCGATGGGATGGAGACCGATTGAGCATGTTCTTTAGCCTGTTGTAACTACCGATTAATGCTAGTTTATTCAAAGAAAATAGAGTCCAGGAATTGAGGAGGCTAAGCGTTGGTAAATACATACGATAGTTACTCGACTCTCACCCCGTATCTTACCCACCACGTACGGCTGCAGGTACTAGTCCGTACAAAGTATCATGGTGTCCATCAACACTGCCCCAGGGCCTCGAGGAGAACCTTACCTATTTTTGGTTACAACCGGTGGGGAAAGTCGACCCTAGGCAGCAATCATTGGAAGGAGACCTTTTCTCCTCATCCTTCAGTTCGTCAATCAATTCAAAAAGATTCAACCAGTAAGGGGGAGTAGTTAACAGGAAGAGAAGAGCGCTGACAGAAAACGGCAATATCCCCCCCCCCCTAAGATAAGAAGAATGCTCCAGCTGCATCTATAGGGATCGAGATCAGGCCGATTCAACTAGAATGGGGGCTAAGTCCGTGTTACCAAGGGACCAAAAGGTGTCCAATCTAACCCCAGGTCCATTAAAATTGGGGGGGGGGGGGGATGGAGTCGTCGTACGTAAGGTACCTTACTGGGTAGTTTTAGGTACCGCTAACCCGTAAGGCTCGGGTGTTTTTTTTTCTCTTTCCCCTGTGGCGCAATCCGTCTTGGTACGGTAAGGTTAGGGGACAAAGTTAGAAACAGTCAGACTGGACGCCCCAGCTGGACTGTTTCAGCTCAATATGCTACTTAGATGGGTAAATGAGCCACACAATCCCCAGTTGGTCCTGTCCGACACTAAGCTCCCGCCTTAGACGCCGTGTGCAATCTTGATCGATCGAAGGTTCTTCGAGCTGTCATTTCTGTAACACTTTATTCTTCCCTGCCCTACTCTAATCCTCGGGTCTCTGGGCATTTCTCCGGGCCCTCATCCGTCTTGTCGCTCGTTTTCTTGGGTTAATTGCCTAGATCAGGTCTTCCCATATTCAACTAGCCTTGCGGTTATCCTCTCCCCGTCCCCGTCCCCGTCCCCGTCCCCGTCCACCAAAAGAGCAATAACAACGCCGTCTCTCTTCTCCCACTTCCCCAACTGTTTCCCCCAGCCTTATAGCGTCCCCGCGTCTGGATCGCGACACATCGGACACTCCCCCGGTCTAGAGCTGCGGTCTGCGATGTCTGCGTTCGGTTAGCGCATCCGACTCTGCCCACGATGGCTTCGAATAGCCATGTCCGCGGCACCGACAACGACAGCAGCGACAGTAACGATAACCACCGCTCGACACATCACTCGATCCCTTTGCAAGATCTATCTGAACCGCCGGACATTACCAGACGAAGTGGTGTGGGGAGAAGGATACACTCGTTACGAAGAGGATCCGTGAGGGATTACGAGAGGGTCTCCGGGGACTCCCCGACGGAGAGTAATGTCACATTGCATAATACTCGTCGCGATCGAGCCCACTCCCAGAGCGATGATGACCTCCCGGAGGATCCCGGGGCGTTTGCGATGGCCACGGTTGGTCTCCAGCTCGAGCCACCGGAGATTACCTTTACGCCGGCCCGCCGGCGCAGCGATAACAGCGAATATGAGATGGGGAGTATACGGTCGGATGGTCTCGCCAGCCCAGAGGCGGTCGCCCTCCCCCACGGGTTCCTGACCCCCTCCAATTACTCCGACCGTTCGCCGTTGACGGATGCCGGCAATATGCAGCCCATCGATGGAGCATCTATCGAGTCCTTTCCACGATCAAGCGAACAGACGACCCGCTTCCCCTCCTTGGATAACCCAGGGGCGCGCCTGGGCGACGACTTGGAAAATGGCTTCAGCGGCCGGGACCGCGGTGAGAGTAGCACCCGGAGTAGGGCGCGGTCGTTGTCCCCGTCGGCGTCGGGGTCCGCGCTGCAGCGAGCGAGCTCGATGATGAAATCCATGTCCCAGCGTGTCGTCAACTTGAGTAACGAACCGGAGGTGGTGGAGCAGTCGATTCTGCGAGAGGAATTGCAGAAGAGTTCCCGACTCGAGGAGCCGCCGGTGCTACCGACTCTGACCGATTATGCCCACGATGCGCCACATGGTCCCTCGAGAGACAGCCAGAAACCGAAGCGGATATCCGGGAAGATTTGGAGGATCTACAACAACCCGCTGAAGGGGAAGTCCCTGATGCTTTTCGGTCCAGAGAACCGCCTTCGGATGGGACTGTGCGATATCTTGGTTCATCCGTTTACGGAACCCATCATCCTGCTGGTCATTGTGATCCAAACTGTCTTGCTGACAATCGAATCGTCAGCGTGGGTGTGGGATGGAGAACAGTCGCAGCACTGGGGGGCAAACCCAATGGACTACCCGTACTTCGCGATCTTCATCATATACACGCTGGAGCTGATCGCCAAGATCATCGTGTCGGGGTTCATCATCAACCCGACCGACTATTCCACCATCGACCGGTCACTGGGGCTCAAGAAAGCAGTTATAGAGAAAGGCAAGAATCTCATCACCCCACAACGGCAGTTTTCTACGAAGAAGGCGTCGGTCATGCCAGACCAAGCGCAAGCCTCTATCATCCGGACCTTTACCGGCGGCCTTAGCCAGATGGAACAGGAGGTTCCCACAGATGACCCTCTCCAGAAGCGCCGCGTGCGACTGGCCCACCGGGCGTTTCTGCGGCATTCCTTCAATCGTCTGGACTTTGTTGCGGTCGTGGCGTATTGGATTTCCTTCGTGCTCGCTGTGATCAGTGTCGAAGATAGGCAGCGACTCTACGTCTTTCGCATGCTTAGTTGTCTGCGGATTCTACGTCTTCTTGCCCTAACCAACGGAACCTCGGTAAGCGGTAGTCTGTGAATATCTGCTGGTGGGAAGACCGGCTAACCCAGAACTAGGTCATTCTTCGAAGTCTTAAAAAGGCCGCCCCCTTACTGGTCCACGTCGCATTTCTCATTGGCTTCTTCTGGTTGCTATTTGCGATTGTGGGTATGCAAAGCTTCAAATCCAGTTTCAGGCGAAACTGCGTTTGGGACGGCCAAGATGGTCAGGATAACTATCATCTCAACGACGCAGCAGGTAAAATCCAGTTCTGTGGTGGATTCCTCAATGCAACAGGCCATCCAAACCCCTGGGAATATAAAGACGGCATTTCCAGCCATTCTGAACCGAAGGGTTACCTTTGCCCGATAGGCTCTCGTTGTGTTGAACAGGACAACAATCCGTTCAACAACACCATGCATTTTGACGATATCGTGCATTCGCTTGAGCTCGTCTTTGTCATTATGAGTTCCAACACGTTTACAGACCTCCTATACTACACAACTGACAGCGACTACCTTGTAGCCGCGCTGTTTTACGCGATGGGCTTTCTCATCCTCAGTCTGTGGATGGTGAACTTGCTGGTCGCCGTCATCACGCACTCTTTCCAGGTCATTCGCGAGGAGAGCAAGCGCAGTGCGTTCGCCTCTCAGAAGCTCGATGGTGTCAATACAGAGGACCTGTCCGCTCAGAAAATCAGCACCTTGAAACGCTTATATGACAAAACCGAGTGGCTTTGGGTGTGTATCATCATATTTGATCTTGTCGTGCAGGCACTGCGAAGTGCCAGTATGAGCAAGCATACAGGGAACATCATCAGCAATACGGAGATAGTCGTCACCATCCTCCTTCTCGCCGAGATAATCTTGCGCTTCGCATCCGACTGGCGCAAGTTCCACACGAAACGGCGTAATTGGACCGATCTGGGACTCGCCGTCATCACAAGTATCATCCAAATACCGGCCATCCGGAACTCGGGACGAGCGTACACCGTTCTTACTATGTTTCAGATCCTTCGCGTCTACCGGGTCGTACTTGCCTTTTCCGTCACGCGGAACCTGATCCAGGTAGTGTTCCGCAATGCGACCGGTCTGCTGAATCTGATCGTCTTCGTGTTTCTGATTACCTTTCTCGCATCCATCTTTGCAACCCAGCTTTTCCGCGGCCAGATATACGAAGAGGACGCCAATGGGAATGAGGTCGAGATCACGTTCTCTAACATTTACAATTCCTTCGTTGGGATGTATCGGATCCTGTCGAGTGAGGGTTGGACCACGATCCTGTATTCGGTGACGGGGTTTACCCAGCAGTATAATACGTCTTGGATCGCGGCGACTTTTCTAATTCTGTGGTTCGTCGTGGCAAACTTCATCATTTTGAACATGTTCATTGCTGTCATTCAGGAAAGCTTCGATGTGTCGGAGGATGAGAAGCGCCTACACCAGGTCAGGGCCTTCCTAGAGCAGAAACAGGTCAACGCATCTTCGCAAGGCAACCTGTCTCTCTCAAAGATCCTCATGCTTGGCAGGGACCCAGACCGTTACCGGGATCCCCTGGACCACGGACCGGCAGCCTTGGAGATGCTCCTGAAAGACGCCGTCGTGCGGGAATTTCTCGACGAGGAAGAAGGACCGAATGGGACTGGGCGGAGACAGAGCGAGCCGCTGGATACCGCAACCACCACAGCGGAGACGTCAGAGCCAGGAATCTTCTCGCGCATGTGGACGAGGGTAACCTCGGCGATCCTAGGCAGGGAACCGAACCCATTCTATTCCAAGCTACAACTGTCCCGGACGTACGAGGAACTGGATCCGAGGGCTATGGCCAGGGAGGTGGTGTCGGCTGCAGAACAACGAAAGCGAGCGCAGCGAGAGTATCTGATGCGGCATCCCACGTACAACAAATCACTGTTCATATTTGCGCCCGACAACCCGGTACGAAGACTGTGCCAGCGCATGGTGGGACCGGGCCGCGGCAATCAGCGGGTCGAAGGCGTCGACCCGTACAAGCCTATCTGGTTTGCGTTGTCGGGTTTTATCTACCTGGCGATCGTTGCTATGGTCCTGCTTGCGTGCGTGACCACGCCCATATACCAGCTCGAGCACCGTCAAACCGGCCAGAACGGCATCAGAAACTGGTCCACTTACACCGATCTGAGCTTTGCGATTCTGTTCTCGTTCGAGGCCCTGATCAAGGTCATCGCAGACGGATTCTTCTGGACCCCCAATGCGTACTTCCGCGGCTCCTGGGGGTTCATCGATGGGATTGTGCTCGTCACTCTGTGGATCAACGTCGCTAGTTCGTTCTCCGCAGGCTGGAATATCTCCCGAGCCATTGGGGCTTTCAAAGCTCTGAGGGCGTTGAGATTGTTGAACGTCAGTGACAGTGCCAAAGATACTTTTCATTCTGTCATTATTGTTGGGGGCTGGAAGGTCATTTCCGCGGCGTCCGTCTCGTTAAGTTTTCTGATTCCGTTCGCTATATACGGGGTGAATCTGTTCAGCGGCCAGATGGTCACCTGCAACGACGACAACCATGAAGGTCAATTGAACGAGTGTGTTGGCGAGTACATGAGCGAGCCTTATAGCTGGGAAGTTCTGGCGCCGCGGGCGGCGTCGAACCCGTCTTACGACTTTGACAACTTCGGCAACTCCCTTTTCATCTTGTTCCAGATTGTCTCCCAAGAAGGGTGGACCGGTGTGCAGGCCAGCGCGATGGCCATCACGGGGGTCGGCAAACAGCCGCAAAGTAACAACGCCCCGGAGAACGGGCTTTTCTTCATTGTCTTCAATTTACTCGGTGCCGTCTTCGTGTTGACGCTGTTCGTGTCGGTGTTCATGCGCAACTACACGGAGCAAACGGGCGTGGCGTACCTTACGGCCGAACAGCGGTCGTGGCTGGAGTTGAGGAAGCTGCTTCGACAGGTGTCGCCTTCCAAGCGGTCGTTTGACGCCAAGGTCAGCCAGTGGAAGATGCGGTGCTATCGCATCGCGGTCAAGAAGCACGGTCGGTGGGCGAGATGCGTCAGCATAATTTTGCTTCTCCATCTTATATTGCTGGTGGTCGAATTCTACCCTGAACGTGGACCCTGGGACAATGTGCGAGGTATGTCGTCTAGTCGTCCATGCCATTCTGATCGTTCGCACACAGCACGAACGTTAATAATATTTGGCTGTTTGCTAATACCACATAGAGGGCCTATTTATCGTGTTCAACTTGTTCTACATTGCCAACGTCATCATCCGATTGCTCGGACTCGGGTGGCATCGATTCAGCCGAAGCTCGTGGGATGTATTCGCGCTTGTGGTAGTGCCCGGGGCCCTGATCACGACGGTCCTGCATCTTGTCCATTCGACCTTCGTGATCGGGGAATTGAACAAACTCTTCCTGGTGGCCATCGCGCTTCTGCTGATCCCGCGAAACAACCAGCTGGACCAGCTGTTCAAAACGGCGGCGGCCAGTCTGACGTCGATCGGGAATCTCCTGGCGACGTGGTGCGTGCTCTTCCTGGTCTTCGGCATCGCCATGAACCAGGCGTTCGGGCTGACGAAGTTCGGCGAAAACGAGAGCAACAACATCAACTTCCGCGACATTCCGCGCACGCTCATCCTGCTCTTCCGGATGAGTTGCGGCGAGGGGTGGAACGACATCATGGAGGACTTTGCGACGATGGTGTCGCCGAAGTGCACGGAGAATGAAGACAATTTTCTTCTGGGGGACTGCGGCAGCGCGGCGTGGGCGCGGCCACTATTCATCGCGTGGAACATCATCAGCATGTATATCTTCGTGTCGCTCTTTGTGTCGCTGATCTTCGAGAGTTTCTCGTACGTCTACCAGCGCAGCAGCGGGCTCTACGCGATCAGCCGCGAGGATATCCGGCGCTTCAAGCAGGCGTGGGCGACCTACGATCCGCGCGGGGAGGGGTACATCTCCAAGGAACAGTTCCCGCGGCTGCTGGGGGAGCTCTCCGGGGTATTCGACATGCGCATCCACGACGGGGAGTACTCGATCGGGCGCATCCTGGAGGAGTGCCGGGTGGACCAGCGGGATTCGTCGCCCGTTGTGCTCAACCGGGTGTTCGAGGGGGTAGATCTGGACAAGCTATCACGCATCCTGCGCGACCTACCGGTGGAGACGGTGCGCATGCGGCGGGCGCGGCTCAATACGTTCTACGAGGAGGTGCTCGTGTCGGCCGACCCAGAGCGCGGCATCTCGTTCCACTCGTGCCTGATGATCCTAGCGCACTACAACGTGATCAGCGACAGCAAGAGTCTACGGCTGGAGGAGTTCCTGCGGCGACGGGCGCGGCTGCAGCGGGTGGAGGAGACGATCCGGCGCAACACGGTGATCGGGTTCTTCGACACGCTGTACTGGTCGCGGGAGTTCCGGCGCCGCGTGGACCACAAGAAGTCGGCGCGCATGAGCATGCCGCCGCAGTTCACGGTGCCGGAGATCTTCGTCGACGACGGCGAGGAGCCCGACGAGGCAGACGCGCGGCGCATGGCGCAGGAGGCGCTGGTGGGCGAGACCACAATGCTGTCGCCGTCGTCGCCCGAGACCGGGCCCTCGTCCCCGCGGACGAGTGGCGGCGCCGCCCTGCCGCGCATCGACACCTCGCTTGCGGGCGGACTGTCGGGTCGCATGACGGCGACCAGCTCGCCGACGGAGTGGTCGAGCATCAGCCCGTCTTTGTCACCGCGACGACCGCGGGCGCACACGACGTCGTCGTACGATCCGGGGCCGGGGATGGACGAGGAGGAGCCGCCCCTGTCGGCGGCGTTGTCGGACCGGTCCCGGCCGGACAACACGGCGAGCGTGCAGGATGTGATGCTGTCGTTCGGTGATTCGGCGTGGGGGGAGAGTATCCGTCGCAGCTTTACACAGCGACGACCCTCCGAGCGACGACCCAACCGACGACGACCGTCGGAGAGTTAGTGGGGGGAGAAAGTATATGATGAGATGAGAACGGCCGATGATGTGTATGGATATGATAGATGTCCTTTGTTATTTTTTTCAATTTTTTTCTTGTTATTATACTACTATACCCTTTTTTCTTCTCTTCTCTTCTTCTCTTCTCTTCTTGAATTTTCTTCTTTTGACTTTTTTTCTTTCATGTACCGATTTAGCAAAAATGTTGAACCGAGTGGAATTCGTGGATGGTTGAACCCTTCGGGATTTGATCACTTGTATAAGATTTTGGATAGGATCTTGGATACGATCGAGGGTTGCATTGAGACAGTCCCAACACTGTTGATTAGCGGTAGCGTGGTATTATTGACATTACGCGTTTTCTTTTTCTTCTTTTTCCTAGAAAGGATCAAGGATAATAGTTCAGGATCAATCTCAAGGGACGATAGTGTTCTCCCTTGATCAATAGCGTAACTTGCAAGGGTGGGAGGCCGGATTCGGCGAGTCAACAGCTCCAGGGGAGACCTAGGGGGGAGGTGAGCTTGATTGTGGTAGATTTTTGTCGTAGTGTGTAGTATCATCTTGAACTGAATCAATAGATAGGAGATACAGAGGACTCCATAGATGGACGGATAGAAAGATGAAAGCGGATTGATGGACCGTTTGCGGAGGCGGTGAGAGAAGAGGCCATCCACTTTCTTTTTCCTTCCCCGGATTCTCTGTTCCCAACATTGCGATGCTTCCATACTTTCAATACTTTCAAGGTTGGATTCCACTTTGTGGATGACATTTACTCATCTCCATCACTCGACAGATCCGTCAGAGTTAGTCTGTTCTGTACAGAGTATGGATACAGATACAGATACAGAAGAGTAGTATGGATCCCTGATCGACAAGGATTGTCGCATCCGCGCTGCATTCGTCATCCCGAGTGTTCGTCGGCGGTGGTCCCTGGTTGGGACTCCACCTTGCTGTTTCCTTGCATTTATCTTATCCTATCTTCTTATTATGGTTGTTATCTCTTGGGGTTTGGATCTTAACTGGATTTCAAATTTCCAGGAGAGGAGGATCGTCTCCGTCACCAAGGGGAAAAGAAGGATACTATAAAACGACCAAGACAAGAAGACAAAAGAGATACGATACGATACTCCTGACTCTCCTGATCTGCTAGCTCATGATTGACACGACTATTTAGTCTTTACCAAGCCAAGCCCGCTGCACGCAATTAATTAATCTCTCACGTTTGCGGGCTTCCTTTTTCATCTATCGATCGTTTTGGGCTGGGAGGCTGTGCTGTTGGTTTTATCTTGGTGTTTCATCTATTTTCTTTTTTTTTTTCTCCTTCTTGATCTTGTTCTCTTTCTTTGTCTGTTCTACTTTGTATACTTCTGTTGTTCGTTCGTTGGTGGTCGTGGGTTCGTTTACTGTCTTGTCGGCTTGTCGGTGCTATCTTCACTGCCTCCATTCAGGCTACACAGGTCACGAGAAATAAAGGAGAAGTCTTCGTTGAAAGAAAAAGAAGATCAAGATGTCACCACATCTCTCCCTCCACACCTCCTTCGACCACCCTCATCCGCAACTATCCCGCCGACAACCACCCCCGCAAGATCGTCCCTACAACAACAACACCACCACCCCCTCAGCTCAACCACCACCTCCCCCACCTCCTCGCCCACCTCTCCAGCCTCACTCACGGCCACCACCAACAAGAACAACCCCCCAAGACGCTGCCTCTTCCACCCGCACCAGCGCCCCTTCTCCTCCATCGAACCCACCACCCCGCCCCTATCATCCGGCTCAGGATTCGGATCCCCACCCAGAACCCCCGTCCTCCTCCGCCGCCGCCCCTCCAAAATAGACATGGCCCTCTCCGCCGAGCGCTCCCGCTACGACTGCGACGCCATCGAGCGCCAGGGCCTCGACTTGATGGAGCCGCGCCCGGTGGATCCGGCTTTCGCGTTCGAGCCTCTGACGCCCGCCGGCCTGGATGCGTGGGGGGCAAGCGGAGCGGGGTGTCGGCTTTCTAGCGCGAGTGCGTCTTGCTATTCGGAGAGTGGGAGCAGTTGCAGTGGTTATACGCGGGAGGGGCGGATGACGCAGCCGAAGTTTGTTATGGGGGGGATTTTTGAGGTCATGGAGGGGAGGGCTTGACTTTCCTTTATTCTATTTTATTGGTGTTGTCTTTTGATGGGTATTGGTTGGCGGTTTGTTTCTTGATTTGTTTTCTGGTTGGGTATGATTGGGTTTGGTATTATTGGCTGTGGTACTGGATGGATGGACGAATGGTTACACTATCGGGTGATGGTTGGTTTATCTCCACCTGATATGTTGTGGAGTTCATCTGATATGAGTGGTTTGGAGTTGCAGGTATTCTAGGTATCATACTGGATATTATCAAAGGATTTAATAAAAATCAGTCTACCCTTAATAGATATCACATACCATCCACATCCCAAAAAGCTATATATGAAAAGAAAAAGAGATCTATAACCGAAACGGATGCGCCTCGGTATTAAATACAAACTCATCCAAACTGAGCACATCCGGCTCACTAAACACCAAATAAAAATACTTCAGCGTCTCCGCCATCCAAAAGCTCTCCATACTATCTTGTTGCGCCGGTTTGCCCCCATCCTCACCGTCAGAGCCCTCGGTGGAGGAAAAGCTCGTCCCTGTGACATCTAGCAAGGCAGCGTTCGCGTACGGCGTCCGCGTGAGCTCGTCGATCGCGGTGAACATCTCCCAGGCGTCGTCGCGGTAGCTCTCGTCGCCGGTTATGCGGTACAGGTAGAAGACGCTTTCGATTGCTTCGGGGCGGAGCGCGTAGCGTTTGTCGCGGACGGAGGTGAAGTGGTTGTTGTTTTTCTTATCTTTTTGATTAGAGGAGGAGGATGAGGATGATGAGGAGGAGGGGAAGTCGCATTCGTCGAACGAAGGACAGGCTTGGAGGGCGAAACTCTCCGGCATGATGCCCGTCGGCGAGTGGCGGTACAGCCAGACGCACCCGTCGGTTAGTTTCCGGCCGAGCTCGACGTGCGTGTCGTTGGCGAAGAGCTTGCCGCCGAGGGCGTACATGCCGCCCACGAAGCAGGTGAGGTGTTCGCCGGAGTTGTCGCGCGTGATGGTGTCGCCCTTGGGCGAGGCGCGGGCTGTGCCTGGGATGAGGATGTCTGCGTTGTCGGGGGTGCGGGGGCGGAAGAGGAGGTGGTCGATGCCGGCTGCCGTGGCGCGCTCGTAGAGACGCTTGTACTGGGTTGTGGTGCCCGCGAGCAGCTGGTGCGTTTTGCCGAGGTATTCGAAGGCGGAGTCGGCCATGGCGCCGAAGCTGAAGGTGGTGCCTGTTGTCAGGTCTGGGGTTGCGACGTCGATGCCGACGGGCCAGAGGCCCGGGATGAGGGTTTGGGATTGCTGCGCGTCGAGCGCGTCGGTGATGCGCGAGATGGCGTCGTAGTAGCGCATGTCGCCTGTTAGCTGGGAGAGGCGGGTGAATTCGAGGCTGGAGGATGCGAGCTCGGCGATGATGCCGTTCTCGGCGGCGAACTGCTGGTGGTGGTCTTTGTCGGCCGGGGTGGTGGATTCTGCGGCGGAGATGGCGGCGTGGGGGTTCCAGCGGGTGATGGGCATGCGGGAGGGGGTGTCAAAGGAGGCGTAGATCATGTCGCCGAGGCGGACGGCGATGTCGAGGAGGCGCGTGTCGCGACAGGCTGTGAGGTCGTAGGCGGAGAGGAACCCGCCGAGGTAGCGGATTGTGATCTCGAAGAGGTTGAGCGTTGACTGGGACGCGCTCTCAGGGCGGAAATCCGTGTCCATGATGGCTGCGACGGCGCGCTCGAACTCCGGCTGCAGGCCCATGATGAGCAGCGTGTCGAGGTTGTCGACGAGCGTGGCGCCCCAGCCGCCGAAGGTCGTCTTGGAGGTTCCGGACAGCGGGGCGAGCTCGTCCTTCTTCCATGCGTGCGTCTCGTAGGACTTCCATGCGCGCTGGAAGCTGCGCTTTACGGCTGCTTGGCGCTCGCGGCGGATGGCCTCTGCTTTGCGCGGGAGGGGCGTGAAGTCGTGCTGGACGCGGGGCAATGGGGCCGCGGCGGCGCGCTGGCGGTGCGGGAGCTGGGCCAGGTGGTCCACCGGGTAGCGCGTGGGGACGTCCCGCCAGCTGAAGCCATCGCGGGGAGGCGAGTAGGGGGGACTCGGCGGGGTGATGGGACAGCTGTGGGACGCGGCGGTGTGGATTCTGGGGACGACTCGATCACGCGAGGTGATGAGGAAGAAGAGGATGGCTGCTGTGGCCAGCAGGAGGGTGGATCGTCGTCGTCCAAAAAGCCATGTGGGCATAGTGTATACCGTATAGGTGGTCGGAAGGAAAGTCCTGACGGATCAATCATTCAGAAGATGACAGCGGGGGATCCGATCCAAGAATGTTCACGTTTACATCGACAATTCCACGTCTGAATTGAGATTGAGATCGAGTCCGTGAATCCATGGCGGAGGATGAAACGGACAGACAGTGGCCAAGACAACTCCGAATCCCAATCTCGTTCGGGAAGAGATCGTCATCTTATCTAGCATCTCATCTATCATCTCATGTATCAGCCTATATACAACTATAAATTACGGGGTATATCCTAACATTTGTTGTCAATAATTGATTTGAATTCAATGGCTAATACAGACTATTTACTCGGGGTATTTCACTTGCAATAATCTCCCTCTTAGAATCAACCCAACTCCAGAGAAAACAATAAACAAAGAAATCGCTCTCGCTACGCAATGCATCTTCAGAGCCACAAAAGATCGAAAAAGAGACTCCCTCACAGAACACAGAGATTACTTCGTCCCCTTGCGCTGATTCGGCCACAGCTGTCCCCGACAGTTCTTCTCTCCACACAGACACCGCACCGCACTCGGATCGATCTTCGTCGGCCGCCCACTCTCGCGCGCCCCGGGGTTATAATCGAAGGTAAGCTCCGTCATAGGCGGGATGTCACGAACTGCGAAGAAGGCCAAGTCGTACAATCGCTCGTCGCCAGGGGTGTGGGATACGGGGATCATCCTGCAGTTGGGGTGACACGAGTGGTTCATGAACCGCGCCGGCCCGCCGAAACGCTCCCCGTCGACGACGTAGATGCCCTCCGTTTCGTCAGACGGGGGGTAGAAATCCAATCCGAAGAGGTACGAGTGTCCGTGCTGCGCTGTCGCGATCTCCTCGCGGATGTCGGCTTTTTCCTCTGTTATCACCTCCCCAAGATAACAATCAATGAATTGGCCCGCGCGGATGGTGTCGGGGGATCGGAGGCCTACCACCATGTTAATATCTCCATATGAAAGGGGTGGGACAGTGAGAAAGGAAGAAAGAGAGACAAACCGAATCCTCTCTCCCCAGTATGAAAAATCTCCAACCGAACCGTCCGCCCCCGCTGCACCACGCGATTCCAACACGCCTTCTCGCAATTACAGCGCGCCCCACACTCCACGATCATCACCGTCCGGTGCAGTATCTCCGGCCTGAGAACCAACACAAGCGGATCATCTGCGGCACCACCATACGCAATGAGCTTCCGGTCGGAGTTCTCCTCCTCAGTCTCAAGACAAACACAGCGAGTCGGATCGCAAAACCCACTGCAGCCACAGCCGCCGATAAACTCCTCCTTAAGAGGCTCAACACCCGGACGGATCTTGTACGCGTTGATGAACTCAAAGTTAGACGCAAAGTCCGCCAGCAGATGCTCGTTGCCAGCTGCAAAGGTAACGGGGGGTCCCTTGATAGTCGCTAGCTTGCGCTGCAGTGCGCGTAAAAGCTGGTCCGCTACACGCGGCCGCTGCGCGGTCAGCACCGGGGCAGTGCGACTGATGAAGAGCGACACTGTGCGGCGGTCGACGGGGTGTGTCTTGGCTACCGGGTAGGCGCCACGGCGCGCGCGCTTCTCGTAGTCATTTGTCGGGAAGAAGCGGTCTGACAGCCCCGACAGTGGAGGCGTGCTGTGGGGTGTGCTCTGCACGACGCGGGCGCGGTCAATCTCCTTCTTCAGGTGGCGCGAGGGGGAGGGCACCACGACGGTGGGGAGCGGTGCGGTGGTGGGGTCGAGGCCCGGGCTGGGGGTGCTCGGGAGACGCTGTCGCTCTGTGTGGGCAGCATGAGAGGTGGCGGCGGCATGAGACATGATGGTGTGGCTCTGCACCCGGTGCGGGACGGACTGTGAGGGGACATGGCCATTTAGGGTGACCGAGTTTAGCAGGGCGCGCGTGGGCTCGGACAATGATGGGATCTGTTCCGCTGCTGGTTTTCTCTTCTGAGGGACGACAGGGCTGACCACGCGATGGGCCAGCGTGAAGGAGGGAGACGCCTGTCCATGGGTTGCGTATTCCGTCCTCAACTAGATCTGGTCAGTGGAGTTTGGAAGTATGGACGTGTAGTGGGAGTGATCCAAAGCGCGGACTGGTCTAGGCCACAACCAGTCCAAGATCACGGTCAAGTCAGACCATATAAAAAATCCATAGATCTATAATACATGTAGCATAATGAATGGCCCCGATATACTAAGATCCACCACCAGATCACAAAATATGAACAATATAATTGGACAACGCCACGCGTGGCCAATCTACACCCAGACCAAAACAAAGTATCATCTATAAAATAAGGCACAGAAAAGAAAAAAGAAAGAACCCACCTGGGACTGGATCTGATCTTCCGAATCCGAATCGTTAGTCAAGTCGATGACCATATTGTCCGGGGACCGAGACACCATCCAGATTAAAGATACAGGATTATTTTGATTAGGATTAGATAAGGGGGGGTTAGTAATCCCAAGAAATAAGGTTAAATCAGCCAGGCCCTTGACGATCAAAGGGTTGCAGATCTGATTCGGGACATGGGAATGGAGCTGTCGGAGCCGATGTGGGGAGGCGAGGATGATAGGATCGATAGAGGCTGGCTGACTGGGGAATGATTGATCGGAAAGGGTGGTGATGATAGCGAGAAAGAAAAGAAACTCTTGGGAATGGCCGTGTAGAATTCGGGGCTAGTCTGTTTTGGGTGGTGTGTTGCTTAGTCAGGTTGATATCAATTCTAAACTTCTAATTTGTTCATATAGATCTGAAATTGTGTTTATAGACATAAAAGGAAGTTGAACTATTAGGATTTACTGTTTCATTCTATAGTAAATCAGTTATCCTGGGTTGAAACCAAATGAGAATCAATAGTATCAATGCAGTTCGAGGCCATCTGAAACGCTGATAGGAACCCGCTGAAATAGTCCATAGCAAAACGGATATCAAAATGTAGGAAACCGAACCAGCTAATCCATAGCTTCCGCAACTCCGCAAGCCCCAGAGCCCGAAAGCTTAACTCAACCCTACACCACAAATTTGAGATATTTTACATCACAAAAGACATCAGAAACTGCAGCAAAACACACAGATTCAAGCCCACCAACTTTCATCAAAATCCACCCATTCACGCGCTCATAAACCCCCCTCAAAGCATGGCCAGCTATCTATAAATCCAGGGTCCCCATTTTGATAGGGCGTATCAATGCCAAGACGGGCGCACACCGCCTTGATCGGCCCGTCCAGTGTCCTACGGGGCCGATCTATACTCCAGCGTATTATATAGTACGAAGATGGTATTTTGTTGACCGTTGTATAGCCTTGAGATTGTAGTAGATTGAGTCAATTGATTTTCAAGATAACTTATACAGAATATAATCTCCAGTGCTGGGTTTGATCATGGAGGCGGGTGGCTATCCGAAACACCAACTGGCGAGTCTTGTCTGTTGATCTATTCATGATTACGGTGATGTATACAGTTTACAGTGTATAGTTGGTTGTATACTTTCTTTGTAATGATATGAGCATTATTGAGGGAAATGTCTTTTGAATTAGATAGTTCAATTGTATTCCTAATAACTATGACTTGTGAATAAATACTATGATATTGAACTATTTATTAGTAAGTCCATATCTAGCATGTGAGGAGTCCTCCACAGTAAGGAGGAGTCCTCCGTGACGGGGAAGAAGTTCTTCAGGACATAAGTTCTCCCTGAGTAGTTAGGTAGTACTTCACCTGTAACACTTATTACACTTAACTAGAAATATCAGTGATATATCCAGATCTATACATATCAAGTAAATTATCACTGAGAGTGAGACAGTCTTACTGATGATCACTCAACAATTAAACCAATACTTGGTACAGAGTATATCAAGTCCAAAACATCTATACCCAATCCCTACCACTAAAGCACTCATTACAAGTATAACCACAATCCCAGCTGCTGTCTCATCCCTGACCCCATCCCTACCCTACAACCCAATAATAAATAATACCCAGGTAATAGACCTACATCAATTAAACCATATCCATAGAGATATAAAATCCAAATTTACAAAAACAGCCATGGCCCAAGTCACACAAACCAGTGTAACTCAAACTAAACTCAAACCCAACACAACCCAACAACACAAATAAAGATGCATCCCTACTCAGCTTCTATTATACACCATGTCAAGGCCCCTATGAACCCACCCTCAACCCCCAGAGACACCTACCGCGGTGAGGAGCCAGCTCAACTGCAATAACCACAATCAGAGGTAGAATCGACTCTGGATAGGGCTGGGGCTCATAGGACGCGGCGAGTGGGAAAGCATCGGATTAGAAGAATGGGAATGTAGTACACCATAAACAGAACTGAACTCAAAAGGAAAGAAAGACAAAGGAAATAGTCACAAGTCAACAAAGAAATAGAGAAAAAAGGAACACGCTCATGTGATACATCACCTGGGTGACGTGGGCTTCTACTCCATCTACAACTTCAGCGCATCTAGGATCTTCTTGGCCATCTCCCGATATTGCCACATGCCACCTGCCACCTTCTTGAACTGGATCCCGTGCAGCGAGAACAGCGGCACCTTGACGATGAGGATCTCAAACCGCAGCACCAGGTTCTCGCCCGTATCGCTCTGCACCCGCGTCGTCGTCTCCCCCATGACCCGCTCCCCGACGACCACGGTGGGATCGCGCGACGCCACGTATTCCTCTGAGCCCTCCGAGTTGGTCACGAAACTGCGGTCCGGCGCCCGTGTCCGTCGCGGAGTCCGTGACTGATGCCCGTCGTCGTGGTTCAGCAGCCCCCCGAAGCTGATGCGCCGGCGATGGTTCGAGACCTGTCCCTGCCGCTCGGGGCTCGGGGGTCCCGTATCCACCACTTTATCCAGCTCGATGCTCGGCGCATGCCGACAACTGAACCCTCCTTTGATCTCCTCGAAATCCACCGCCAGCTGCTTCAACACCCGGATGATATCGGCCCGGATGACGGGGAGTGGCTTGCTGCTGGTCGTGGACACGCTGAACAGGCCCTTGAGGTACACGGGCTTGGACAGATCCTCGCCCTCGTTGGCACTCTCCAACGCGGTCCCCGCCCCCGAGATATCTGCGTCGGTCTCTTCGGGGACGTTGGCTTCCCGGGCCGCCTCCCGACGGGCCCGCCGAGCTTGGATACTTTCGCGGCGGGCGTGGCCCAGCGACATGGTCCGGGAGGCGTGCGAGCGACCCGCGAGCCGGGTCTCCCGCGCGGGGTTCGAATCCTGCTGGGTGCTTGCGCCGGCATGGTCGGATCCGCTGGTGGCGGGCGGATGGGCCAAGGCGTCGGCGTCGCTGCGACGCTGCACCCGCCGGGGTCGGTAGTCGGCCGAGTTGACGCTGGTCGACCGGGCCAGGAACTTGTTGGGTCGGGAGTCCGCCTCGGCGGTTCCGGGGGCTTTGAGCAGGCCCTGGTGATGGGGCTGGCTGCCCCCGGACGGGATGGTGGATGGGGTCGGGTCCGCACGCTTCCTCCGGATGCTGAGCCCCCGGCTCAACGGGGAGGCCGAATCGACCGGCGGCTGGACGTTCAACGACGGGGGGCTGCCGACCCGTCTCCGGTCCGGATCGCGGCTGCGCTCTTTGGTGCGGCGCGTGCTGAAGCGTCGTAAGATCCCTGCGGCGGTGCTCTCCTTCCGCGCGGGGGTCTCCGGCTGCGATGCGGGGGCCGGAGATCCCTGTTCGGCTGGTGGAGCGAGGTTGACATTCTTGAGCCCGTCCGTGATGTCATCATCCCCGTGGGTCCGGGCGCGGGGTCGAGAGCGCCGGCCGGCGTCCTTCTCGCCGGGGACCTGGTACTGGTTCGTGTGGGCCGCTTCCGGCGCGGGCAGATCGGGCATCTGAAGCATCGCGTCTCCCGACGACTGGGGCACTCCGAGAGCACCGGGGTTGGTCTCGGACCTCTCCCGATCCATCTTCTCCTTGACCAGGTAATAGACGGATAACAGGGGACTGTACGCGTTGAGCGGATCCGTTCCCAAGGGAACCACCTCCGCGGATGGAGCTGACAACGTATCTCGGCTGGCCGCCGAGCTCCGCCGCTTGTAGAAGTCGAAGACGCCTCTCTTCTTCTCGCTGTGGACCGGAAGTGGCTGCTCACGGACATTGGTCTTGACGGCGTGCTGATAATCCTCGGACTCGAGGATCTTCAGGAGTTGGTTCGTAATATAGTCGGGGGGGCCAAAGTCGAACCCGGTCATCTTCTCAATGACATCCGCATCGAGGGGGAGATTGACCGGTTCCCGGCGGGGGAGAAAGTTGTCCGGAGGGGCACTGAACCCCTTGTTCATCCAGGGATGGCTCATGATCTCCGCCAAGCTGGCCCGCTGTTTGGGATCGGTGACCAGCATACGGGAGATGATACTGCGGCACTCTGCACCCACCATTAGTATCCAAGAGAGAGAGGGCGCGAGGATCAGACGAAAGAGTGGGTACTAACCTGTAGTGAGACCCGGGGGATACTCAAACACGCCTTGCTTGATTTTCGCATGCAGCTTGGGCATACTCTGGTCATCAAAGGGCACCTTGCCACAGACAAGCACGTACAGAACGATGCCAAAGCTCCACACGTCCACCTCGGGACCGGTATACTGTCTAGCTTGCAGGAGTTCCGGGCCGCAAAATAGAGACTGCCGCAGAACGTCTTCAGCAGACTCCGGGGAGAGAACAGGTTACTAAGACCGAAGTCAATGATCTTGATGTCGCCATTCTTGCTGATGAGAATGTTTTCAATCTTCAAGTCACGGTGCACGATACTGTTGCGATGGCAGTAGTCCAGGGCACTGGCAATCTGGCGGGCGAACTTGCGAGCTTGCTTTTCCTTCAATTTTCCATGGGAGATGATGTAGTCGAGCATCTGGCCGCCGTTGACCAGCTCGAACAGCATGTACCAATGGTAATTGGTGCGGACGACATCCCGCATGCCGCAGATATACGGGTGATTGACAAGACTGACGATGGCGGCCTCGCGGGCCGTGCGAATCTCCTTGGAGCGATCGGCTCGTTCGGCGTCGCGCGAGCTCCGGTGTTCTTCCGTCGACTGCCTGGGGACGATCTTAACGGCCACCTGATTGACATTAGTTCTTGTTTCGCATTTTATATATGTATATGTATATATATATATATATTTGTATATATATATGTCAACTCACCTGTTCGCCCGTTTCCAAGTTCTTTCCCACTTTCACCTTGCCCATGCTCCCGGCCCCTAAAGTTTTCCCCAAGGCCCATTGACCGGATGGAGTGGAGATGGTGGTGCGACGCTTCGACTGCATGGTGGCGGCTGGGGCCAAGCGCGACGCTGAACTGGACTGCGAGTGGGCGGCGCCATCACCGGCGACCGGGCCAGCAGCGGCCATGTCGATACTGTCTCGCTGGTGCCCCTGGACGGCGAGATTCCGGCGGGGTTTCTGATTGGACGAGGGATCAGCGCGGTGGGCGGCGGAGGAGCGCTCCTGCGAGCGATCGGAACTCTCGCGGCGAGTGGAGACGGGTTGGGCAGTCCTGGCGGCCTCAAGGTCCCGACGAGAGAGGTGATCGAAGACGGCTTGGTTGGACGGGGGCCGACGATCATAGGACTGGGACTTGGAGTGAGAATGATGGCCGTGCGGCTGGTACTGCGGCTGCGAGGAAGGATGCGCTGCGGTCGCGGGCCTGAGCGCAACGCTTCGGGTCCTGTGAGGCAGATCGGATGGGGGTGGTCTCTGGGAGGGAGCGTGGGAGGAGGTAGAATGGCTGCGGACGACGGACGGTGACGCAGATGACGAGGCGGCTGTGGACATCACGACCCGAGAAGTTGGGAGAAAGTGTACCTCGGTCGATCAAATCGGACAGCCTATTGAACGCAAGAGCTCCGAGGAGACGATGGAAGGTGTAGTGTCGTTGAGAGAGGAGGGGAGGATTTGATGAGGGGTGTCGACAATGCCCAAAGATGGACTAAGGGATCGGTCGGGGGGCGGGCGGGGGAGATGGTGTGTGCTGACGACGGGCGCCCCAAGGAAGCAGCAGCCAGCGTCGGAACGTCCAGCAAACAACTCGAGATGACCCCATGTACAGTTCAAAATTTACTATAAAAGGGGGGGTGAAAGGATGAAATAACAAAGACGTAGACAAAGAAGTTGACAGGACTATTAAGATGGGAAAGCCTGAAAGGGAGACAGCGATGAGGAGAAAGGAGGACGATCAGTTCCCCGTGAGAATGACGGGGGGAGAGCTGAGAAGAGAAAGGAAAGACGGCTTAGATGAGCTGCGGAGAAGAAAGCACCAGGGACAACGACCCGATCAGTGATAGACTATGGAGACTCTCGTCGTGAAAGAAGAGGAGGAGAAGGAGGAGAAGGAGGAGGGAAGAGAATGAGAGGAATGAGAAAGAGAGAGGCTGGTCAGTTGTTCACAGCATTAGTTGTGATCACAGTGCCTGCTAAGTTAACAACTGCTGCATTACAGACAATCCAATGGTTCACATGGAGAGACTCGTGGGAGCGACAGGAAAGGCAGGCGGTGAGGGATATCTTGATTATTGACATGGCTGGGACTGCATATGGTTAGATCGGTCTGGTCTTCATCTAAATATATCTCGGCATTTGAACTATCCAGGAGTCTTAATTCCTGGCAAATAAGATGAAGTGATAGAAACATTGTAAAACAAATTGTAAAAAAATACAAAAAAGCGACTCTGGCGCGGCTCGAACACGCGACCTTTGGTGCCGGAAACCAACGATCTACCACTGATCTACAGAGCCGTAGATTGACTGAATGAATCTGCAGTCTGACAATAGTAATAGCCACGTTCTGCACTCGTCAGCCACGGAAATGTGGCGCCCCACGACCTCATCCGTCATTCCTCACCACCCATTCTTACCAACCACTCAACCGATCTGGAATTGATCTCAGGTTGCCTTTGATTTCTAACGGCAACATAATCGGTAAGATTGGACTTCAAATGTCTCGAAACACCGTTAAACTAACCAATACTCCCTCCCAGCTGACCATGATCCCGAGCGACAACTAGTGGACAGAATCCACCATGGCCACCAAACGAACCCGATCCGCCTTCGAAGCGGACCTACAGGCGCACGAATCGCCCTACGCCTTCTACGGCACCCCGCTCCCCCCCTTAGATGCCGGCGCACGCGACGATGGCTCGTACAAGCCGGTCTGGCAGCAGGAGGTGACAGACGACCGGGGGAGGAAGCGACTGCACGGCGCCTTCACCGGTGGATACAGTGCCGGGTGAGCCCACGATTCATCTACCGCGTTGGACAGTTTCACTAAACTGGTGTTCTCTTTTTCTTTATTTTGTGTGTCCAGATATTTCAACACCGTCGGATCCAAGGAAGGATGGACCCCCGCGACGTTTGTGTCCTCGCGCCAGAACCGCGCCAAGGACCGTCCGCAGGCTCAGCGCGTGGAGGATTATATGGATGAGGAGGATCTTCGCGAGGCGGAGGAGGCACGGCAGGTCGAGGCGAACGAGGATTTTGCTGGGTTTGGGTCTACGGGGGCTGACGCCGTCCGCCGCGGGGGTCTGGTCGATCTGTTCAAGACCAGCGGCGAGACGATGGGTGTCAGACTCTTAAGGAAAATGGGCTGGAAAGAGGGCCAAGGGATTGGACCCAAAGTCCGGCGGAAAGCCGACCTCGACGATGGGAATGCCGACCCGCACCAGACATACCTGTTTGCTCCGGACGACCCGCCGATGGTCGCGTTCGTACACAAGACGGATCGCAAGGGAGTCGGATTCGAAGGGGAATCCCGTCTGGACGCCCCGAAGGCGGGCGGCGAGCCATCGGACGAAGACGAGGGCGACCCGTTCTTCGGGCGGCGGCTCACGGGCACGGCGAAACAGAAGCCGACGACAAAGGGACCCCGTCGGGGAGCGTTCGGTGTCGGTGTGTTGAACGATACGGGCTCAGACGATGAAGACCCATACTCCCTAGGCCCGCAGATCTCATACAGCCGCGTGATCGGTGGAGACAAGAAGAAGAAAAAGAAGGCCAAGGCCGAAGATGCGAAACCGACTGTCGCCGCGGCTAATCCGCTGTTGAACACCAAACCGGTCTTCATCTCCAAGAAAGTGCTGGCGTCGAAGAATTCAGCCGGGTTCCGAAAATGCCATGACGGCCGCTTGCCCTTGGACGGCTTTGTTCTCGCCGACGGCATCTCGATCCTGACGATCTCCTCGCAGGAAAAAAAGTACGCGCCCCCAGAGATCCCCAAGGACTGGAAGTCGAGCAAAGCGCCGGCGCAAGAACAGGATGCATCCCCCTACGTTTCAACGGCAGATGCCGCCAAGGCATCCTCGCTGGATCCGACGTCGCGGGCGGCGCTTCTAGGAGAAGCCCAGTTGCCCGGCAAATCCATCTTCGACTGGATGACCCCCGAAGCCCGCGAGCGGATCGCGAAGCTGACGGGGAAAACGGACCTGCCTCCCGCGCTGGGGGAGAAAGCCCCACCAGGACATGAGCGCTCGGACTCGCAGCGGCAACGAGACCTATGGGATCTGGTCCCCAAGTTGGGCAAGCATGTGGCAGCCCAGGCGCTGGCCCGGGCCGCCAGCGGCTGGATGCCCTACGCAGAGGATCTCGACAAGCGATCCCGCTACCGGGTGTTCCTAGAAGTCCGCGCAGGACTGCGCGATCGACTCCCCGACCGGGTTCCGGGGTCATCGACGGACGAGTGGACGGCGGAGTTGAATGAATTCGCCCGGGCGGCGGAGGTCTTCAAGCCCATGTCGGGCGCCATGGCGTCGCGGTTCACGTCCGCCTCGTCGGGACCGAAAGGGTCGTCGGACGAGGCCGCCGATTCGCCCGATGCGACAGGTCTTCATCGACCAGCGGAGAAGCCCCAAGACCCCGCGGAGGCCGCCGCTCACATCGGCATGTTTGGCCCCATGACGCGCAGCAGCATCTCGTTCTACCCGACGCGTTTGCTGTGCAAACGGTTCAACGTCAGGCCGCCGGGTCATGTGCAACAGGACCCGGGGGCGCCTGCGCCGTCTGGCGGTGCGCAGACCGCTCCTGGTCCCAAGGAGCTGGTCTCGCAGGCGGTGATGAACGAACTAGTGCATGCGGTGGGTGCCACGTCCGGGTCGGCACCGCCGCCTCGGCCGCCGGTGGTGGTGGAGCCGGAACGCAACGACGCGTTGGAAGCGGATCGGCCGGGGGAGGCTGTTTTCAAAGCGATCTTCGGGAGTGATGATGAGGATGAGAATGAGGAGTAGACGTTTACTAGTATAGGGGTGTCATGGTTTAGGGGGGAGACTTGGTCAGTCTACTATACACATTTTTAGGGCCATTGTTTAGGGTTTGCGATCTCAACGGTCTAAGCAGACGATGTATTATTTCATGAACTTATTAGCCAAGCTACGCCACAAATTTCAATTTTTTTCAAAAAAGAAATCAAATGATTTAATATCAATAGATAAAATGAATCAATAAAAGTGATCTGTCCTGCGTGTGACACAGATTCGCAAGTCAACACGAGTCCGCAGCTAATCCAGCTCCAACGCGGGGAAGCTCCAAGCACTTTAGTCAAGGTATACTCCACTCTACAATATGCATGGATTGTTGTTATGATTTTTTTTCTATTATAATGATAGTTATGGTAGGGGTAATATACACCGTATATTCATATGACTGCATCTCTGCAATCGACAATATTGCTTTCATTGCATGAATTATTCGTATTGTTGTTATTGATGTTGTTTAAGAGGGAATAAGCTTTGCGACGAACCATCCGGCGGTGCTTTAAGCCTGTCACCCCCTCTTCTCTTCTCTTCTCTTCGGTCTCTCATCCTTTGTTCTCTTCCTCTTCTCTCTTCTTCACTCCCCACTCACTCGCTCTCTCCCTCTCCCTCTCTCGCCAATAAACTACTATCTGTTTGAAATGGCAGATTAACCCTGTGGGTCCATCCAGTCTGAAGCCACTGGGTCGTCTGATTGATGGGCAACCACTTCCCCCCATTTTGACCCGGTTAATTTCCCCGACCGAGTATCCAATTCTCACGTCACCAGCATCACCCTGATTTTTTATATTCCATTCTTATTATCGTCCCTCCCCCTTGCTTTCTTCTTGCATGCCTGCATGGTCGGCTTCTTTCTGCTTTGGCTGATGGATCCGGATCACCGTCGTTTTGGTCAATATGGTACGTATGCCCATCCCATCCATTGTGGCGCAGCGCATCCACGTGGGGTGACTGCATGGAATATGCCTTACTCCCTAGTCCAGATATCAAGCCAGATTAGAATAAAGAAAAGAATTGAAGAAAGAAGGTGTATAGTCACAAACGAGAGCTAATCTTCGTCAACAGGGCTGCTGCTTCTCTGTGTCGCGTGACGACAGCCATTCCAGCGCGGGCCACGATGAACATCCCTCAGAGGTCCTCCCCGAAGCGCCCTCTTCGTCCACCACCACCTCCACCGCCGCCGCCGCCGCCGCGCGCAGGTCTAACCGACCCAACCTCCCGCCGACCACCCCCCATATAGTCGTCCGGACCTCCTCCGACCAGTTCCCCCTCGACGTGCACTTCAACGCCCCCGTCCGCCAACATATCTGGTACAGCAAGCGCCGCGCGTGGACGCGCACACAGCTCGACCGGGAGCGCCGAGAGTTCTTTGAAACCCGAGTCACGGGACGGTCGGAGATCTGGGCTGCACTGTCGACGGCCATCGCCCTGATGTGGGCGGGCGATCTCGCCACCGCCCAGAGTATCGTCGACGCGGCTGGCGTCACCGTCCCCACGGGAGATCTCTGCCAGGGCTGCTACGACGAGCAGGGCGTGCTCTATCGGCTGCCACAGTGCATCGTGAGCGATCCCCAGAATATAGTCCGGGAACCGCTCCCCCGTCGCGACGATGATGACGACGACGACGACTTTGACACCGACCACGGCAAGCTATCCCTAGACGAGGCATCAGACGACGAACTCATCTCAGACGAACTCGAGCGCCGTCGCGACGAGAAGGGGAAAACGAGCGAGCGCGATCTCATCCACGTGAAGGCGCGGTTGAGCGATCGCGGGGGCCGGATATTCTCGTGGTGGTCAACAAGGCACAGAACGTGGCGTTCATTGCCCGGAAAGTGCAACAGGAGGCGGGAGTACGTCAAACCATCTCATAGTATGATGTGATATATAGTCCCGAACTGACATGTGCATTGCAGATCGCCAGGAACCAGCGCGTGCGGATCGCATATCTCGGGAGAGTCCTCAATGAACACGTTCCCCTCGTTGACCAAGGATGGAATCCAGCGCACGTGGTCAACGCCTTGGTCGTTTCTCGACCGTCTTTATCTTAGCCAATTCTTTCATCACCGTGTCACGACCTATGAACTAATCGAGCTCGACAACTGACGACAAACCCATCACCCACCTACACAGCTTATATCAGCACGACCGCAAACATGAACAAAGTTTCCATGACAGACGCCACTATTAACACTACTATAACTACTACCACTAGTACCTACTAACCCTGTGGATCCATCTATCCATCTATCCATCCCCAAATCATTAGCCTATGTTGTCTTTCCCTTTCTTTCTTTTCCTCTCGAGGTCATGGTCATGATTGCTCATTTGCATGCATAATACCCAAGTATTGCTGTTTATTTATTTACTTTATCTATTTTCTGATTTATCTCTATCATCATACTGTTCATATCAATCTTTCATAATCATTCCATATCTATCTTCCACATCCCTCGTCTCCCCCATACCATATGACATAACCTATTGCTTTATTCCCACCGCTGCACTTGCCATGTCTTGTCTTCCATCCACCAATCAATCAGTCTGGTATAGTTCAATCAATCTGGTACACTTTGTGGCAGACAGATATCTCTGCCTTATGTATGGTACTATAGGTACTCAACACAATACATACATACATACCTAGCTAGCTATTTATCTACTTAGCTAGGTCTACTCAGTATCGTCGTTCTTTATCTATATACGTATAGCAGCAGTCAATACAGGGCAGTGGCTACCACACACAGCTCGCAATACAGATAAATCAACGCCATCCTTGATCAGAGAGATAGTACCCACTTAGAGAGACAGAGAACGGGTGTACTGTAATAAAAGTACCTATCCTGTATGTAACTGGTTGATTCTATCTACAAGGCGACAAGCAAAAAAAAAACAGTACAAGAAAGAAAAAGAAAAAGATAGTGCATCATCCGTGAATCGAACACGGGCCTCATCGATGGCAACGATGAATTCTACCACTAGACCAATGATGCTGCTTGTTCAAGCCATACGAATTGTGATTCGCTGATGAAATTTGTGGTTCCCTATTTGATTCAAACCTGGCTTCACTTACCAAGCCCTGGTTTATATTCAACTACCTACCTGATAGGTACGATACATGCAGAAATAATAGCAAGACAAGACTGAACATCCACTGAAGTAATGAGACTCAAACCAATCGTCCATTCTCTGCTTCCCGCCCCTTGGGCGTCTCGCCTGAGCGTCGCTTGAACACCCGACATAGGAACTTTGCGCCGCGCACGAGGCCACGGATCGGGGATGTGGGGTTGTAGTGCTTGACTCGGAAGAGATAGTATAGGACAACTGTGCCCATGATGTTGAATCCGATGTAGGCCCATCCGAGGCCGTAGTTGCGCCAGCGCTCGCTCCAGACTGTTTCACGTTAGCATGCTGAGACCCCTAATGCCATTGTCGGATGGGGAATGATAAGAAGGAAGACTTACATATATTTGTCATCGAGAGATACTGGTCGGCGCTCCGGAACTGGCAGTACTCGCAGCCATGTGTCGCGGTTGGGTTGGACAGTCGGCCTGGCGCCTGCTGTAAGTATGGGCCTAGGTAATCCCCGCATGTCGTTCCGGACGGCGGGTTGAAGACGCTCAACTCCTCGCGGGAGCAGATGATGGGTCGGCTGTGGAGCCCCGTCGCTGTTAAGCCCGCGATCAGGTATGTCAGTGGGGATACCCGGTACATGAAGATCCAGAAGCCGGGGAGCGCGTTCGGTGGCTGCATCACACCGTTGAAGACTGTTGCCATGATGAACAACAGCGTCGCGATGGTGCCGCCGGTCTCGGCATCAGGGAGGGCCGCGATAATGAACGAGGCGAACGTCGAGGTGAAGAGGTAGAACTGCGTGACGAAGAGCAACATAAGGCCCTGGCGCTGGGGCGACTGGTGGGAGTCGTAGATCGGGAAATAATACGAGGCCCATGAGATCACCCCCGCGAGGATCTGCCAGGGAATCTCCACGATTACATTGGCGATAAGAAAAGCAGCCCAAGAGTATGCCTTCGAGGGTCGCTCGCGCACCTCGTACAACGAACGTTGGACGACGAACTTGGGCATGATCCTACGATTTATGTTAGCTTCAAAGAAAGGAGTAAGGACAAGACAATACGTACTGTTGCACCAAGGTTGAGAAAACCGCCGTGAGCATAAAAGCGCTGAACAACACGTCTTGGAACCCTTGCATGGAGCTTTGCGGTTTGAAGAAAGTGAATCCAATGAACACAGCCGAAGCCGCCGCCAGGATCAATTTCGCCCATATGTACGCTGGTTCCCGCCAATATTGCTGAAACACCCGATGCGTGACATACCACAGCTGATAAACGAAGGGCATGGCATATTCCTGGTGCTGGGTACCATCGTCCGTATCAGTGTCAGATGTCGATGCTCGCTCGTCGTGGATCCGATCGATCTCTCTTTGCACATCCTTTGCCTCCTGGCTCTCATTCCAGACTATCGACCAGTCTTTGGTGGATTTACCCGATGCACCAGCCCCGATGATCTCGAGCATATATTCGGCCGGCTAGTTTGGACGTTAGGGTACAGTGAAATATTGCCAGGTTCCAGAAACTTACATTTTCTTTGGAGTCACAGGGGCGTGCTCCATTCCGTTCAAAGTACTCGAGCATTGTATGAGACTGCTCTCCAATTTCCCCAAAGTAAACGGTCTTCCCACCCTTCGCCAGGAACAGCAGACGGTCAAACTGCTGGAAGAGCAGTGCGCTTGGCTGATGGATCGTGGACAGCACCGCCTGGCCATGAGCCGCCAGCTTGCGGAGAAAAGAACAGATTGCCCAGGAGCTCTGTGAGTCCAAACCACTTGTCGGCTCATCCAGGAAAATCAACAGGGCAGGTTTCGCAGCCAGCTCGACGCCAATTGTCAGAAGCTTCCGCTGCTCAACGTTCAGCCCTTCCCCAGGGACTCCAACAATTGCGTCTGCAAAGTCATGCATGTCGAGCATCTCTATGATTTCTTCGACAAATTTGTATTTCTCGCCCTTGGAGACCGACTTTGGCTGGCGGAGGAGTGCGCTGAAGCGCAGTGCTTCCCTTACCGTGGTAGTGGAAAGGTGAAGGTCTTGCTGCTGAACATACCCTGTTTTTCGTTGGAAGCTAGTGTCAGGAGGCTTTCCATCCACCAACATCTCACCGGAAACAACACCGATAGACACCCGCTTGGCTAGAACATCTAGTAAAGTAGTTTTTCCTGCACCAGAGACACCCATCAACGCTGTAAGTGTGCCGGGTTTGACCCATCCAGAAACATTGTCCAGGAGTCGTCGTTGCCCTCCCTTGACCGGGATATCATAGCAAACATTTCTCCAGGTGAATATGCTGTGTTGTTCCGGTATAACAGAAGCATCTCTCTCTGGTGGGTTTTCCTTCTTTTCATTACTATCTTGACCAATATCTCCGGGCGTATGATCCATGTTAGCATTGGGGTCTTCGAGATGGCGCATTTGCGGCGGTACGTGACCACGCCGGAAGACTAAGAATTCGGCTTTCGACGACGTCGTGGAATTGAGCTCCGTAGCGATCAGATAAATGACCGTGAAGAAGATCCAAAACCCGATCAAAATACCCAGATTCCTCCACTCGTGTGTGTAGGTGTAAGTGTATTGGGCTCGAATAAAGGTGTCTCCATCAACGGTTCTCTCTCCAGCAACCGCCCCCCGAACAGCGCAGATAAAGGAGTCGCCACTCAGGGTTGGATATGCAGGCACGAATTGAGAACAAATAAACCGTCGACCGTGAAACTCGTTCGCGACCAAGGACTCGAATGTATAGAAGACAGGGTTGATCCAACGGATCCAGCTGAACCATGGAATGGACGACATCTGCGGCACAGGGATCACGAAACCAGTGTAGATGACAATAGCCAAAACTATCACACCGGCCATAGCCATCGCCTGTGCCAATGTCTTCGTTGCTGCGGCCAGGGTTCGAAAAACTCCAGACATCGCAAGTGTGCTGAGGAATGTAAAGAGGAAGAAGATGAAAAACTGTGATGGCGCATAACGCTAGATGAAGTGAGTAGAAGGCACCAAAGATGTCACGGATTTGGGGTACCTACCAAACCGGCTAAGAAATAGAATATGACATTGAAGATCACAGCAGAAATGAATTTCACTGGAAGATCGGATACAATACCCCCAAGAGCTTCAGCGAATGGGTGAACAAAAGCATAAGAGGCTTGTTTCTCGACAACGGGTCGCTGGTCATAAAGCGAGTTGATCTCCGTGATACTGATAAGGGCGTTCATACTAATATTTTGTTAATAGATATACAACGAGATACTCCATTGGATATATTCCAAATCAATGGTATGCAAAATAACTGGTACGGGGTAGAGCGAGACTCACAGCACAGCAAAGAAGAGAGCAGCTCCCTTGCTCTGAAAACCCGCCGAAGCATTTGGCGTCCTAGGAGGATAGTGAGAAGCCGCTCTAATCTGGAGGCTATATGGGGAGATTACCCGTAATATATAGAGCCAATAATGAGAGACATTGCAACTCGCCCAATAAACAATGTCAATGTCGAGGGTTTATCGTTCCAGATCCTGGGTGGTCAGCATCCAACAACGGAGTAGACAGGCTCGAGGTTATGGGCCGGATACCTTTGATAAGCTCTGATTGTGCACATCTTAATCTGCATGGGGATAGAGATAACATAAGGACTCTTCGGCCGGACATGCTTGGCTTGCCTGAACTTCTTCATCTCCTTAAATGTCTGTTCTGACTCGCCCCCAGGTGGGAACTCCTGGCGATATTCTTCGATCTGTGCTTGAAGGTCGGCACAAAAACGGCTTTTCTTCCAATAATCAACAAAATCATCGGGTGTACGGGGGACCCTATTCTCCATCCCTTCACGAGCTTGACGTTCTCGGGGGTTTGTAACGGAAGTCAAAAAGTCACCCGTCGTCTGGCGCGGCGGACAATCCCAACCCATCTCCATGAAGTAGTCTCTTGCTTCGCTGCAGGGACCAAAGTATATTTCTCGGCCTTCGTAGAGAACTATGGCTTTATCGAACTGATCGTAGATCGGCTGCGAAGCTTGGTAAATGGCGACTGCGTGGCATGATCCGACCAAGTCTGAAGAAACCCGCAATGCCTTGATGAACTCCAAAGCACTGGCAGAATCAAGTCCTCTGGTGCTGTTGTCCCACGCCGCGAGAGGTGCCCCGGACACTATAGTTGTTAATATAAGCGCGAGGAGCAGACCACTTAGGCCAGCTACTTACAGGCCATCTCCGCGATACTAGAGCAAAATATTAGAGAAGCACAGCATAGACTTGTGAGGGTACTAACCTAACTCGCTTTCTTTCACCCCCTGAAACACCTCGGACATAGTCATCACCCACTGGAAGTATCGTTAGCGATATGCGCTTGAAAACCCAGACGAGGGGGTGGAATTACCCTTCGTGTTATACGTATGGGATAGACCGAATATGGACATTGCGACTTTGGTGATATGCTTAGCAAATGTTTGTCGTTTGACCCCATGCAATCGATGCTCTGGGGTCCTAGCTGCCGCAGCGAATTCGAGCGTCTCTCCAACCGTCAAGTGAGGGAAATGTTTATCCACCTCCTGGTTATACAGGGTCTCTCCTTTGAACTCTGTGTGCATCCTCTCCATAGGTATCCCGTTGTATTGCATCTCGGAGCTCTTGCGAAGCTTCAGTCCGTGCAGTTCTCCGCAGATAGACTTGAGGAACGTGGAACAACCACTACCGGGCCGCCCCAAGACAATCAGCAGTTCGCCGCTCTTGAGAAGTCCATTGAAGTCGCGTAGGATGTGTTTCACCGGCGCTTTTCCAAACCTAATGTAGTCCTGTGGTCGAAACGGTGCTAACAGCAAATCGGGCACGCAGTTCTGGTATTGTAGCTCTGAGCCGGACCCAGAGATGTTGAGGTTTTGGAATACTACTCCAGTCGACGGAGGTCGTGGGATTCCCTGTCGGTCCATCAACTTGAGCATCATCCTTGACCATTTGTAATGGTCGAACTTATCGCCGGTCGGGTCAAGGGCTGGGTCGTCGAGGTTGACGCTTCCCGCAGTTTCCTTTCTCTTGAGACCTTGGCCATTAATTCCGCTGTCGGCTGTCTGTTGTTTGGGAAAGTTGGATGCGATGCGAGCCAGCTCCTCTCTATCTTCGTCGCTCAGTTCCTCAAACGCCCTACTGTTACTGCGCTCTTTCGTCTGCGGTCGCTGGTCTTGCTGCGGGGCTCGAATTCCTTCATATTGACTGGATTCTGAGTGAGAGCTGGCCACATCGCTGTGGCTGCCACTCTGCTCCATGGTGTTCAAAGCTCCCAAAGCCTTGGAGTTGGCGGTGTCGAGATTGACAGTGGCTTGATGTTTAACCAGAATTGACAGTCAAAATGAGGGGGTGGGGAAATCGGCTAATGGGGACGATACTCAGTGAGTAACCAGGAGTGATGAGAACGACCACTGAGGATGACGTCCCTTGAACATCAGCAGCAAGAACCCCTTTTCCGCAGCCTACCTCATGACTTGGATAGGTTGGGTACCTATTGATTGGTCAGCGGAACCTCATCAACGACAGATTCATGGACACAATCTAAGCACCTGTTTGCTGCTCTGGTCTGATCAGGGCATTACTAGCTTGCATTGGCCTAGAGGGTGGTGGTGACGTCATGAGTGACACTTCGGTTTGGGCACTGTGCAACAGTCCACAGCCAGTGAAGAGAAGAGGAATATCCCATAATCTTGGTTTATCTTCATCAGTCAGACAAATAATCTGAATTGATATGAGAGGACCAACTGCTAAGGCTGTACACCCCGAATACGGAAGAAGACAAGACTGGACTTCACGGTCTGCTGCGCTGCGGAGAGAAAGTGGGATGACAAAGCGGAAGAGAAAACCTCCGGGCTTCCATGAGATTTACGGGTTAGTTTATGCATCTCTCATGTTGGATTTGATCATTCTTTGTTCACTATTGCTTCATATGCAAGACTATACCTTGCCGCGACGCGCCATAACGAGACGCCGTAAATCAAAGCCCATAAGCATCGCCGTCCCCTTAATCCACGAATTCTATAAGATTATATTCAAAGATTATCCCTTCTTATCTTTCATTCTCTTATCCTTGATATTAAAAGGTAAAATCAAACAGAACATCGCAGGAACTTATGACTAGAGATATCTATCTAGGCCCGCGCGGGAGATCGGAAGATCGGCGTACGTTACTGCGCTAGGAAATTCTAAAAAGTGGGTACATGTCTCCACTCGCGAAAAGTACATCGTAAGGTACTTAGTTTCCTTCCCTTATCCACAGATCTTATTAGGCTTGACAGCCAGCCCCTGTCACCGCACTCTATTCTAAATCTAAAATGCCATAGAGGAGTTCTGTCCAACTAATACGAATGTACATCTACCCGACCCGGAGTTATGTCCTACATACGAGCCCTTGTGACGCCGAATAGCCAGTCATCAAAAATGTGACAAGAATGAGCTACGGAGATGGCATTTATACCCCTCACTAAGATATCCTAAGTCTAATTCAACAGGAAACCGTCAGCGTGGATTATTGTCTCACTGCCAGTGCGCTGACATTCTAGTCCCTCCCAGCTCCTCTCATCTTACTACAATAGCCTTGCATATCATGTCCCTTGGCCTCACAAAGTTATCGGGTTAATAAAGAGACATTTGACGTTAAAGAAATTCCAGATACTTTTCGTAATATGAGCAAACGTATATCAACGATTGAAACATTGAACATATTTAGGATACCAGTGTACATAACCATGTACCTTTTCAAGGACATAGCTAATAAAGGGAGTAGAAACAAGTAAAGTGACACGATTACTAACTCTATTCGTAAAGGTCCAATATACCTCAATCCTTGACCCGTGGAGCTGTTGGGGGTATAGCAAGGACTAATAACTTCTCACTCACGCTTATCAAGGACGATAATTGCGACCCGAATCACCCGAGTCGATGCCGTACCCTCGTTCTCCACGTCGTGGAGCCACGCCATCAAGTGGGTCGAAGCTTAGCAACGTTCCACCCACAATACTACTTGATCAGTGGAATGACAACGCTTCAAGTCAGTACGAGTGCGTGATTTCACTTTTCACTCCGTACTTCTGTCTGATTCTCTATAGAACCCTTCCATATACAACCCAAGTCGTAGGGAAGCAGGTAGTAATGCCTATAGATTACTCGATATGGACATGGTGTGTATAGAACCTACCGCTTGAATTGGGTCTCGATCTTCAAATTATGACAGAAGATAATGAAATAATTGTATCAGTGTAAATTTCCGAAAACAAAGTATGATATATATATACAGAAATTGACATGCGGTATCATTTACATCAACGTGCTGTCCAAGAACCAGCCGGATGACGCGGTTGCAATCTATAGTTTGGTTCCTTGCGAACCCGCTCCCGCACAGCGTAGGTCCCGAAGAAAAATTGTGGCACACTTTCAAAGAGCATAACCCCCGCTAAACGCCGTAAGAACCGCAATAAAAAAAAGTAAGAAGAGAAGGATACCAGCTCCCCTCAGGAAGACCCGGTCAAGCCAAAATGCAAACAATCCAAACCCTCTCTCACCTAATAGTGTGCACTCCGACCACTCCGACCACTCCGGCGATGCTTGACTAGCGATCTAAAGAATCTCCGAATATACTGTCGAATCGCGGATAGGAAATTCCTCTTAGGGTAGGCGGAAGTCGTAACCAACGGCGTATCATCCAGATCTACATCTTTCTCGGGATCAATCTCGTCGATATATGTTGACGTGAGGGCGTTTTTGGCGTCCTCGTGGGCCATGCCGACGGTCAGGTTCATGAGGCGGCCGTGGCCGATACAGCGGCGGAGATCTGGTTCTTTGTTCTCTGCTTCTTGGCTGAGTTTGTCGCATGAGAGCATGGCGACGTGGTAGGGCGGGGCGGATAAAGAGGCCCGGCGTGCGGATGGAGTGAAATGGGTATTTGCTGTTTGATAAAAGGAGGTTTCGTACAGTCCAGTCATTCTTTTCTGGGTATTGTCTGGAAGGAGAGGAGGGAGGAAGTGGAAGATTTGATAGTTCAAAGAATCCAGGGCACATTGTATTGCTACCACGGCTGACTTTATATATAACCATAGTTTGCCATAACCTTGCTTTCAGGACATGTGCTACCAGATGAATAAGAGCGTGGCAAGAGCCCACGAAGCTGGGTAAAACGCCCCGTGTGGCCGACCCCAGATAAGGTTTGCCCTGGCTGTACTATCTGTGCCTTTCTTCCTTAAAGGGTTCCTCTGGCTGATTTGTTCTAGAACCGTGGGTCATGGTACAGTCTGCTTGGGATGGCGACGTTCTTTGTTCTAGAACTTTTTAGGGTTACGGGGACATCTGTTCTATGGTTCCATAGACCGTCCCTTATCCAAGCACTGCATCCAATCGCCTTCTTTTGTACCTTCCGTGACAGGGTTATCTTCTGTTCGGGCACGTGTCAATATTCCATGGTTTTATGTTTCGCTGACTGGTGGTCATGGGTTGCAGCATTCGAAGATGTTTGATTGTGGTCTGTATGACCTCATTGTATTCCTCACTGGTGGAGACCGCCCACCCATGGAAATGGTGAAGCCGGCGCTCCCTCTACTTTATTGCGCGTTATTCTGGCAACTTCCTTATGTGGCAATGAAACAGTTCGAGCAGTCAATCATTAGCCTTCCAGGCATGTTAGTTACCCCAGCATGACCAGTGCCACCTCCGCCCGTTCCTCCCGGGAACAGACACCTCAGTAAGATAACCAAGGCCACGTGCGATCGGTCCTTGGTTCGCTGTTTTAGAACTGCTGGCATGGATAAGCCCTGCTTCGTTGCCAGTCCGTCATCGATGGCCTGCTTGCTTTCGCCTTCTATTTTTAACCCAGTGAACCCTGTGTAGGTGATCAAGTCGTCTTGCCATCGATGGCATAGACATGTTAGCATATCTTCTTATCTTTTTGATGTCCAACAAGACCAAGCATATGTCGAAGAAAACAGGAGGTTGTGACGAATAATCCCAGACCCCAGGGTACTAGAAATATATATAGTTACTAAAACCCACGTTTGTTACCTAAAGAGATTCGGCCATTCACAAAAAACCAGTTACTATTCTTTAGTAGCAATATATTACAAATAACATCACTCTATGATACACAACTACATAAATAATTTACATTCACCTACTGATGTAAATCATACTAACCGGAGAATGTCAACTCTACAAATAGACCGTGTACAATTAGCCAAAATGCTAAATACCCACCAACAAATGGCAAGATGGCCGAGCGGTCTAAGGCGTTGGATTCAAGCGAAAGCTTCTACCAGAACACTGGAAATCCCAATACTCCCAGAGTGCGTGGGTTCGAATCCCACTCTTGTCATAATTCTTTTTTACCTTTTTCTTTTTATCCAATACTTATCATTTCCTGGAAGAAGAAAGAATGTACATGTGTTCCAGACTTTTTTTTATCCCGTTCACTGTAGAAAAGTTCCACCTGCCTGTCGCATAGAATCTACTACCGCGGATAGCCTCTCTTATACCTATTGACTGATATACACTTCCTCCACGTACCTTTACATTTCCTGGTCATCCAGATAGAAGGACACCCATGCTTATCATTGCCAACTTCATAAATAGTGATTTAGTGACCTATCATCACCTACTACATCTACTACGCCGCCCAGAGATATCATAAAGATCATGGATCCATTCTGTACATACTGTAGCCGCAACCAATCACACCACCAAATCCAACGTCCCCACAGCAAACCAAACAAAACAAACATACCCTCCGAAAAAAAGAAAAAAAGTAAAAAAAAAAAAAGATATCACCGCTGCATCTGGTAGTATCATACTACAAATCCAACCAACAATCGCATCGCATTCACATTCGTCCTCTAACAAGGACTGTCGCTACCATACCTACTAGGTATAAACAATCCACGAACGACCACACCAATCCCTACCGGTGATAGCAACACTCGAACCGCATCGCATCATCCATCGCAGACGGACGAAGAAATCAAAGATAGTCATGAGCGACATGCAAAAGACTCCCTTTGTGAGGGAGCTCGCGTCAAGCGGTACCAATCCTCACCACCTATTGTTGAAAAACGACAACGCCCAATAACTAACTGAAAAACGAAGACAAACGCATCCGCGACAAAGCCACCGAATCCCTCACCCTCTTCCTCCGCTCCAAAACCGACCTCTCCCTCGTCGAGCTGCTCAAGCTCTGGAAGGGATTATTCTACTGTATGCCCCTCCCCCTCACATTCAAATATATCCATCTATATACAAATACTAATAAAAATGTGAAGGCTTCTACCACTCCGACCGCCCCCTAACGCAACAATCGCTCGCGCGCGCCCTCACCTACAACCTCGTCCCGACCCTCCCGCGCAGCACGCTCCTGCCCTTCCTGCGCGCCTTCTGGATAACCATCGGGCGGGACTTTCACTCGCTGGACCGGTTGCGCTTGGATAAGTACCTGTATCTGATTAGGTGTTTTGTGGGGGTTGCTTTTGAGGTTTTGCTCAAACCTTCTTCTTCTTCCGTGTCAACCAGCGAAAGCGACAAGAAGCGCAAGAGGGCGGACGACGCTGCTGCTGCGTCTAACAAGAAGAGAGGCGGGAAGAAGGGCAAATCCGCCCCTCCCAACGACTCCTCCTCCACCACAAACCAACAAGAAGAAGGCCAATGGTCCACCCTAGAATCATACATCACCCTCATCTCCGACGGCCCCCTCTGCCCGCGCAACTTCGACCCCGACCAAGCCCCCGCCGACGAAGCCAACGACTACGTCCCCATGCCTCACGGCCCCGACGGCCTGCGGTACCATATTCTGGACTTGTGGGTGGATGAGCTGGAGAAGGTTCTTGAGTTCGACAGTGAGGATGAGTCGACGCGGAAACCGAAGGAGGGCGGCCCGCCTGCGGAGCTGCTGCTTAGGCCGATTGAGACGTTGCTGCGCGAGAGCCCGTATAAGCCTGTGAGGGTGCGTGCTGCGGAGGCGTTGGCTGATGAGAGGCTTGTGCAGTGGGGGTGGAAGGAGGCGAAGGTTGAGGAGGATAGTGATGATGGGAGTGAGTGGGGTGGGTTTGAGTAGGGGGGAGTATTATGAAAAAGAAAAGGAAGGACGGTAAAAGTATAATGAAATGAAGATGGATGTTTACTATCAAGACGCTATATACATGACAGTCTAGCTATCCATATCCACAACGCAAAACGAAACAAAATGTAAGAATGTATGCATGCCAGTGCCACTGGGTCTTGCGCCCGGGTATCTCATCAGGTGTGCGACTTGAAACAGTAATGATACAAATCATGGTAGACATGTAGTCGCCAAAGTCAAAACCAAAACCAAAAGCCAATAACAAAATAATAAGGGGAAAAATCTATCTCAAGGCCGAGGCCCGTCCGCCTCGTACAGGTGCCCCGACTTGGACAGCACAGTGCCCAGCCCCTGGTGCACCTCGGCTTGGAATCCCTCGAACGGGATCGACTCGCCGTCCACGCTGATGTAGCCCTCCTTCTCCCGCGGGATCAGTCGGTAGGCCACCACTTTTCGCACGTGCACGTCGGGCATGTCGAAGAAGGTCCCTTCCGGGATGGAGGTCATCATCTTGATGGACGTGGCCCGGCTGACCGTCCCGTCGATGGTGACCACGTCCATCAGCCCGTCGTGCGGCACCGCGGCCGGGAAGAAGCTGGTATCCTTGGACATGATCGCCATGTTCCCCGCGTAGAAATTGCCCATCGTCTCCCCGGGGATGACCTCCCAGTCGCTCGGGAGTTCGTCCTGGACCGTGCCGTACTGCAACTCGGGTAGGCCGCCGGAAGGAACCTCCTCCGGGCGACCGGGCGCCGGGCGGCTGGCGTACTCCCGGTAGTGGTCTTTGATGGTCTTCTTGTCGTCCAGGACCACCTTCATGGCCAGGTCGCACGGGTAGATGGTCCGTCGCATGAGTCGCACGAGGAAGCCGTACGTGAACCGATGCGCCCCCATCCAGCGGATATCATCCGTGCCCAAGTCCGATTCCGCGACGATCCCGAACGATTGCGACAGGAAGGAAAGGGTCCGAGTCTGGCCCTGTGTGAGGGAGACCAAATCTATGGGGGTTTGAACGCCCTTGGCGATCGTCAGGGCGGCGACGGAGACACTCCCCGTGCCATAGAGGTTCCACGACATGGCGTTCCCGGACCCGCACGGCAGCATGGCCACAGCCACCTTGGCGAGGGCCTCCCTCGCGTTCGACTTCTTGGCCAGACCATTGAAGACCTCGTACGGCAATCCATCCCCAGAGCAGCAGACGATCGCATCGTAGGCGTCGACGTCGATATTCTCAGCGATCTCGGTGGCGTGGCCGCGGTGGGTGGTCTCTTCCACATCCAGACGACACCCGGTAGCCGCGAAGACGGGCTCGGCATACTTCTGGTAGTATTTTCCGGCGCCACCCTGTCCGCCAAAGGGATTGATCAGAACCTTGAGGCGACGATGGCGCTGGGCGGCACCGTATGCGAGGTCGAGCAGCTTGGCCACCCACTTTTCGATCTTTGCTTTTTCCTTCTGCGCGACCGGGTAGCGGAGGGTGGCCACGGAAATCTCCGATTTCGGTTGCGGCGCGGCGTATGTGATGGTCAAGTCGGTCGGGGAAAGATCGGCATCGAGGATGTTAAATAGGGCGATGGAGTGGGTCTCTTGGGGTGCTGTGACAGGAAAGGCAGGTTAGTCGCTCCGCATGATCTGGCGAGGAAGGTCATGCATTGTACCTGATAAGGGGAGGAGGCCGCAGCACGTGCGATCGGCTTGGCGCGACGGGCGCTCGTCTGCATAAATGAATTAATGATGGAGACGCGGGGGGAAGAGATAGAGAGAGAGGAGTTGGGACATACCAAGGATGGTGAGGGAGTCGCCGGCCAAGGTGAGAGAGACGGATTGTGCGACCGTGAGGGAGGCATCGTGCGCCAGCAAGTGCTGCTGGGAATCCGGCTGATCCGGATGGGTCAAGGGTGGACGGGAAGCCCCATTGGGAGAAGGTGAAGTCATGGTGCGACGAGAGGGAAAGAGAGCATCATACAGGGTGCGCCAGAGAAGGAAGAGGAGAGGGGTGGAGACGAAGAGGAAAAGAAGGAGAGAGAGAAGGAAGAGAGGCGAGAGAGAGGAGAGAGGAGGAGGAGACGGAAGAATCGGAGGAAGAAGAAGAAGAAAGAAGAAGGACATAACAGGAACAGGAACAGGAAGCAATTCCCGGTTGGAACTAATCAGGCACTAGTTGGTTAGCCTGAGGACAGACTCGCCAGTTGATGGCAGACTTACCAGTTGACGACGATGTGCCTGATGGATAAGGATCATCTAGACAAAATCAGGCGACCATCGTTATTATAAAAGAAAGAGTCGGATCAACACTCCACTTTGCCTCTCCCTCCAGATCTATTTCTGTTGCCTCCGGAACCCCACCCCCTGCCAGGAACCACTTTCTCTATTCTTTGTCATTCTGCAGGATATTCGGCTGGTTGAGGCGATAGGCCGCATGCGGAACAAGCCCATTGTCGGTGGCCAGACCTGAATGGATGCGGAAGGGCGATCTTGTTCGACTCCCCATGCGACAGGTCATCCCCCTATTTTTATCTTTCTATCCCTCAAGTTGGACATAACTGAAGATATCCCTTGGTCAATGAAACCCCTACGAACAAATATTGAATATACTCCCCGATCTATGCAATTGAAAGAATGAAGAGGAACGGCCATGCAGCCAAGGATCATCTGCCGAGGTCGCGCCGCGCGGGGTGGTGGGGCGCCTGACTACGAATCAGATCCACCTGTAGATTACTTCCTGTTATCCAGAAACCTGTCTATTCGATATTCATAATGGAAACAGAAAGTAATAATAAAAAGATAGAAAATAAAGAAATCAGGAAGAAGAATGAATAGAAGAAAAAAAAAAACAATCCTCATCCAGCTCCGCAAAAAAGATCAAACATGTACTCAACAAATTCATCCATCAGAAATAATAAAAAGAAATTGATAATAGGAAACGGTTACAAGATCCCCATCCGAGGAGCTATGAGGGTGTATAATAAGTCAATAAGAGGGTAATCGGTATTCCAACGCTGCACCGTCGACGTCCAGCCTGCCATCTCATGCCGTCTGCGCCTTGAGGCCCTTCAGCGATCCCAGGCTTAATGCCAGTCCCTGCGACCGACTGCGGATTCGGACAAACCCGGTGATCGGTCCCTCGTCCCCTTCCATCTCGATGCTCAGGTTCGCCAAAGCGTCCTCGCCTAGGTCTGGTTAGCGCTACTGTAGATAACAAGACTGGTAAAAAGAAAAGAACATACCAAATACACTCCGGGCATACAGGTTGGCACTCAGGAATCGGCAGTCGCCCTTGAGCGAGGCATCCGGAGTCAGGCACGCCATGTTGGTGCTCTCCATCAGCTGCCGCAGGAACTCCCGCAGATTCTTCGCCTTCGAGTTGATGTTCACCTTGTTCTCCCACTCGAACTCGGTCCACATCGTCCGGAACTGCGTCTCCGTGCAGTGCGCCGGCTGGATGTAGTCCATGATGTCCGCGTGGATGTCGTTGAGGATCACCACGTGCGTCTCCGTCGAGCTGGCCCCGTCGTACACGATGTTTCCGAAGATCACTCCCGTGTCCGTCGACGACACCTTGACTGTAGCCTGCACATTCAAGAAGTCCCGCGGCCCCAGGTTGTGTGTCGCCGGCCGCTCCACCACCTTCAGGTCTCCGAGCGTCGCGAACTCCACCGACAGGTTCTGCAGCGTCTCCAGCGTCTGGTTGACCAGCAGCACGTCCAGAACGATGTCGAACTGGTGCACCGTCACGTACGCCTCCGCGTACACCGCGTCCGAGAAGCCCGTCAGTTGCACCACCCGGCTCAGCTTGGACGACACCGACTCCACCGTCGAGTCGCCGCCCGTCGCCTTGGCCAGGTCCAGCTCGATCTCCTCGGCGCCCTCCACGGCCGACTTCTTCGTGAATTGGCGGATGGGGATCGCGTCGTCGATCTGCACCGCCGTCTTGGCCTTCTCGCTCGCTTCCTTGTCGGCCCGCTTCCGATCCTCCACCTGGACCATGGCCCGGAACGCCGCCCGCGTGTCCTCCAGGAACGACGTCTCCAGCTCCTTCTTCTGCGAGAACTCGGCAAGCGAGCGCACGCAGGTCATGATGCGGTCAACCGAGTCCTCGTCAATAGGCGCCTTGACGAAGTGGGACTGGCCCACGCGGATGATCGAGATCATGATGAGCATCGCCTCGGCGCGCAGGGCGTTGGTCCGCGCCGTATCCTCGGACACCTCGGAGTGGCGCATCACCAATTTGGTCAAGGTCGACGACAGAACGGTGGCCAGGTAGTAGTCGCCGTCCAGGATCAGCTGGCGCAGAGGGGGCTTCTGGGCGGCCTTGACGGCCTCCAGTCGGGCGGCGGCCGCCGACTGGCTGGTCAGAGCGCTTTCCGTGGCATAGGTGCCGTCCGCCAACACCTTGCGGGATCCGGTGGGGGCAGACTGCTTGGCATGGCCGTTGATCTGCTCCTTGAGCGCATTGTCGTCCGGCACCTCGTCGAGGAGCCGCTGCTCAGATGCGAGAATAGGGATCTCGCCCAGGCTCGCCCGGATCTTCTTCCAGGCCTCACGGATATCCTTCTCCTCCAGCGAGTATTCACCTACGACCCACAGAACGCCCCGATATACCTTTCCGGCGCGCACTTCACTCAGGGTCGAGACCAAGCGGTCGACAACGGAGGCCCGCAGGTGGGGGAACTTTTCGACGACTTCCTTGACGAAAGAGATGACGTCGACGGCGGAGTTGTTGTTGAAGTCGGCAATGAAATCCATGAGAAGGTCCACCACGCTGGCGGCGATTTCGGAGAACTTGATGGCGCAGGTGTGGATCGATTGGATGAGAAGCTGGCGGTATTCGCTGTTCTGTAGGCCGAGTCAGCATCATATCATTCCCGATTGGCGTCGACAGGCTCACCTTCTCGTATTGCTCATCCACGGTCTTCGAAAGCTCTTTCTTCAGGAGCATGACGATCTCCTCCACGTTCTTGCTCGAGACCATCTCCAGGGCGATACCCAGGGCTTTCCGGCGGACATCGATGTCCGGGCTGGACAGGACACGGAGGATCTCCATGGTGAGGTCGTCCAAGACGCCCTCGTTGCGGATTCTCAGCTGATCCACTCGGTCCAAAACGATGAGCTTGACGTTGTTGTCGGCCTCCCGAATGCTCAGTTCGATCAATTTCCCAGCAGCGGCCTTCACCGCGACCGGGTTGCTGGTCAGGGCCGTGAGAGAGGTCGCCGCCTCGTAGATCACCGTGCTCGTAGACGCATCGAGGAGATCGAAGATCAATCGCAAGTATTTACCCTACCGAGCGGTCAGCCATGGGACAGAGATCGACTTGCGCTGTAGCGACCTACCTTGTTCTGCGTATTCTGGATCGCATCTTTGCGGATGAATTCCAACTCCACCAGCTGAAGCAGCTCATCGGTATTCGGAATGCTGTCGAACGTAGTAGCCAGATACTCCAGCGCCTTCTGGTGGCTAATGGACATGAGAGCCGCGAAGGCATTTCGCTTGCAGGTACCATCGGTTTCCGTCTCGAGGAATGTCTGGATGAGCTCGGGGGCGTCCGGGATGAGAGACTCCGAGTGGGTGAAGATCGAAGCCACCGCCCACACGGCGTTCTTCCGCACGTAAGAATGGCGGTGTTCCAGACACGAGCGGGCCGACGACAGGAGAGGTTCGATGAGTTCGGGCTCCCGAAGCTTGCACAGGAACCGAAGGGTATTTCCGCGAACATATTCATTGGGGTGTTGGAGGTCGTTGCGAATGCCGTTACTGTGAGACGCAAGGGTCAGCACGGTCTCAGCATTGAGACAAATTGGATCGTTGCTTCTTACCAGACCAGAATCATCTCCTGCTTCAGTTTCCCACTAGCGTCCAGCTTGGGACAGATCTCGTAGTAGAAGTACAGGAGCTTTTTCAGGGGTTTGCTCCGCGATGGCATAACAAAGCGAATGATGTGCATCAGGAGGGCCGGCATCGGATCGCCATTGAGCATGATCGTAATGACCCTCCTCATTGTCTCCAGCTTGGTCTCATCAGTACCCTTCTCCAGCTGCAGCTTCAACTCCGGCAAGGAGGGCTGATCAGCGGTGTTGTCCTGATGGATCAGGCTGTATGCATTTTCCAGATACAACGCCATGATGACCGGTTATCGAAAAGTAATTGGGGGGTGGAGGTGTGACGGAGGGAGCGAAGGTGGGAGGGAGGAGAGCTAGATGGTGGTCGGGTCAGTCCATAAGTCCAAGGTGTCCGATTGTTTTGACCCTTCAGGGGAGGGAGGGAGGGACCAACCGCAGCAACTCTCCTCTGAGATGGTATTTGATGGTTGGGAAGTGTGACTTAAAACAATTGAACTCCCCTCACCAGCCTTGGATTCATGTGCGCAAAGGTAGGCGATTCTCTTGGGGTGGTTGTATAGGGACACTTGGGGGGTTTCTTGATCCAATCTGTCCATTTGCGCGGCGGAGCAAGCTGGCCGGAGTGTGTGGATGACTCAGCCGCCTGGACCATCCCGCCCAACTCGGGCAAAAGCAGCCTCCAGCATCTGCTATAACTTCCCGTGCGAACTGTGCGACTACGTGGGATTGATTTGATTGATTTACTGGTCGCTTGTGGCATCGCTACTCACTCTTCAAGATGACCACTCAAGGAGACCCGTTCTATCTCCGCTACTAGTAAGCTGGATTGGTGTCGCCCGGGTTTCCTCCGCTGCCGCTGACAACCCACCGCAGCTCAGGTCACTCTGGGCGGTTTGGGCATGAGTTTCTAGGTGGGTTTCTTCCCTGGATTCATCACTGTTTTTTTTTTTTTTGGAAGCTAATATCCTTTCTGTCCCTAATAGAATTTGACTTTCGCACTCTCGGCGATGGACGCAGTGCCGCTGTGCGGTATGCGAACAATTCGAATTACCGCAATGACTCCCTGATCCGCAAAGAAAGTGAGTGCTCGACAGACTTCGATCGCCTTGAACTTCACTGATGGATTGCACTTCCAGTGTGCGTGAGCGCGGCTATGATCCAGGAAGTGAAGCGCATCATCAAGGAAAGCGAGATCTTAAAGTATGTGACCTATCCACCGCCCGGAGAGTGGACTCCACATGGATATTGATGCGATGCAGGGAGGACGATTCGAAATGGCCCCAGAAGAACAAGGATGGACGTCAGGAACTGGAGATCCGACTGGGGAATGAGCACATCTCGTTCGAAGTGCGTTGTGTTGACCCTCCTACTTGACTGCCTGCCCTTTCTAACTGCATGTGTTTGGCAGACCGCCAAAATCGGCTCTTTGGTGGACGTGACCGAGTCCGCGGACCCGGAAGGTCTCCGGGTGTTCTACTATCTTGTGCAAGACCTGAAGGCCTTGATCTTTTCGCTTATTTCGCTCCATTTCAAGGTAATGAATGTTGGGATAAGTTGGTCACCCACGTGCTTGCTAACTGTGTTCTTTTTTCTTCAGATCAAACCTATCTAAACTTCAAACCCAATGTGACCTGGAAATGGCATTGGACGGTTTTTGTTATTTATCGAGGGGAGAATACAGGGCGTTATTGATTCCATAATGAGGGTATTGAGAATGGACAGTGATAAGTTCAAACTGTGATGACGCAATGCAAATTGAATAGCCAACTCAATCAAGAGAAAAGAAGCCAAATATAAGTATATATGTATTAAGATCAGACATATTTGAGAAGCAAAGTTGTACGATCCACCATACTGTTTTAGGCTGTGGCTTTCGCTGTTCCGCCTCAGGCGCCCGAATTTGCCTCCCCCGCGCTCGCATGATCCGCCCCGGGTCGACTTAAGCCTGTTTGGGCTTCCATCACTGATTGATTCATCATAGCTCCAGCTTCTCCTTCTTCTTGTCTTCTATCTCATCCTTTTGTTGTGCTTCTTCTTCCTTTACTTCTTCTTCATCCACATTCACGGCCTCCCTCCCTTGTCTCTCTCTGATCGCTTCCTGTATCCGATAACCTTCCTTGCTACTCCGTACACACCCAACAGGTCGATCCGATGTCATTCATTTTCTAAATTCGCCTCAATGCCGACCCCCAGTGACAACACGCTTCGCCTCAATGCTGCTTCGATCGCTGAAGAAATCCGTACCACCTGTCCACCGGAGGTCGAGCGATTACCTGCCTGGAGAGATTCCCCCGACTCGTCAACCGCGGAGAGCGATGTCCCCGAGAATGCTCTCTCCCCCGCCTCGGCGTCCTCCCAGTCCGTGCTGACCCGGTCGGACGATGCCATCGCACCCTCCCAGCCAGATTTGTTGAGAGTGAGGAGTAATACGGTGTCCGGCGCTCCTGCAAAGAGTCTCAGCAAGCCGGATGACGAGCCAGTTGGGGGACGGCTAAGTCCGCCCACGAGGGAGCCGTCGTACCCAGCCAACCCGTCGCCATCAGTCACGGCACCCTCAACGACTTCCCTGTTGAGTTACGAATTCTCCAACATCAGGGTATGTTGGCAGCTTGGGATTTCTCGTTACGCCCTTTGTATCAACTAACTTGAGCGACAGCTTTTGCCTAATTACACATCCTCGTTTTTGCGCCCGGGGAGTAAGTTCACGGGCACGCAACAGTCGGATCGTCAGGTGTACAATGTCGACGTGGAAATCAAGCATGTCGACATGGTCGAGTCCTACCTCTGTGGCTATCTTCGCATCCAAGGTCGGTGATGTCGCCCGGGTTCGATCGATCTACATTCTAACCGAGCGCGTTTTGTTCAGGTCTCACGGAGGATCACCCGACCCTGACAACATTCTTTGAGGGAGAAATCATTGGGAACAAACATACCTTCAAGACCAGGAATGAAGCGTGGGGGGCCACCGAAAAGACCGATATGATTCATTGGGCGCGGTTCCCCGCCTGGCACCCGTTGGCCAAGCAGGCCAAGCGACCGGATTTCACCTACCGGAATTTCGCCCAGCGGGAACACATTTTCATGCGATGGAAGGAGTACTTCCTTGTCCCGGACCATCGGGTGAGGACGATCTCGGGCGCCAGTTTCGAGGGATTTTACTATATCTGCTTCAACCAGGTGGAGGGGACCGTGACTGGGATATACTTTCATGCCAAGAGTGAGAAGTATGTGTCTAACTTTCCTTTGATTATGGATGTTGTGCTAATGAGATATAGGTATCAACAACTGGAGCTTAAACATGTGGAAGACCATGGATGCACGCCAGCGATCGAGTTCCGTTGAACAACATACCATTCCTTACGCGTCAGTCACTCAGCCACCACTACACACATCTTCTTTAGCCTCATTCCGCCTCTACCTCGTCGTTCTCCACTCCCATTTGGCCCCGAGTTTCCGGCTGCGACGTCTACTTCCACGATGCTTCCAAGACAGTTGTCTCGTTCTGTCAGCTCCTGGGAAGCAACCTTCTTCCACCCTATACCGTAACGCTTTATGATGGTGCTCTTCTTTGAAATGGCGTATCTATTGGACAAACAGGTTTTGATCATTGACTCTGCATGTTCAGTGTATCCAGATTTTCCCCTCTCTCTTCTCTTTTTTTTTTTTTTTTTTCTCTTCTCATTTCGTTCTTCCCTTTCTCGTTTGCTTTTTTTTCATACGTATGGAGCGATATTCGAATTATTCCGGTGGCGATAAGGACATCTTTTTCTTTCCCTCTCTTCCACTTTATCTATATCTCTGTTCTACTTTAATTGGGTCGTTTGGGCATGACGAATGCAATGATTTGGTAGCCATAGCGTCTGACTGCCGCCGCGTATTCTCGAAACATACCCTGAGAGAATACTGCGGCATTTGAGAAATACACATTTTCCCCCCTCCACAAGACATTGCAGACTATCAGATTCGATAGACTCGTTCTTAGTAGAAGCGATATCTCGAATCCATCCTATACATAAACATAGAATTAGCCTAACCGGTCCCATGGATGATCACACCCGCTCTCTCCTTCTCCCACGTGGGACCCTGCCTAGACAATGATAATTTGTCTGATTTATCTATCACACACTGGTCCTGACTTCCTCCTGAATGTCGCGTCTCATGTTGATTAATGTGATTTGATTTACTTGATGAACAATCTCGGAGGATTGATTATTATACGGAGTAGTGAGTGAATAATGTATAATATCTATATCTTCATTATCGACTATAGTAGCTTTCTCTCTCGAGCAAGCACGGGCAAGCCCTATTGAAGACCGAATCAGGGATGAAAAGAAGAGGAAACAAGCCACAACCGGCCATCGATACATAAAGTAGACACCGACTATGCGTGAAGAATGGGATCGATTGTAGACCGTAGCATGATATGATTGAAACAAGAGTAGTATTGATTGGGAGGGGTATCAAATGCAGTCAATCCTTTGGGAAAGGTAGGGTAGTCATGAGTGATCGCAATAAAGGAAAAAAAACAATAACTAAGAAAAAGGGGAGGAAAGGGGAAAGACAAAAGAAAGAAAGAGACGAAGACAAGCCAGACAAAGGGATAAATACACAACTCTTGGTTGAAAACAAATGACAGGCTTTTCTAGGAAAACAGTCTTTCCATGCGTATAGCCGGGAATACAAGCTCGTCGGCTTCCCCTCAAGATAGAGAGAGAGGGCAGATTGGAGAGGCCATGATGCGACAATAACCTCATCCGGTAACAGAACCATAGCTGGAATTCTGTCGGCTCCCGCTGCTCACACTGCCGCTGCTATTATCACTCCCAGGAGTGGTGGGATCGAGCACGACTTGGGTGCGAATGGAGACGATCCATTCGTGCTGAAGTAGCTCCGCGGCAGTCGGCCGCTTCAGGGGATCGCACTCGAAACAGCGACGGAGGAAGTCGATGCCCGTATCGCCGAGCTGGTCGCGGCCCGGCAACGCAGGTTGGCTCCCCTGGGCGATGTTGTACATGATCGCCCATTCGTTATCCAGCGTCGACCAGGGTCGTCGGCCAGTGGCCATTTCCAGGATCACACATCCCAGGGACCAGATGTCCACGGCGCCTTGGCGGTGGATCAAGTTCGATGAATCGCCGCGGATGACTTCCGGAGACATGTACATCGGAGTTCCGGTCATGGTCTTTTGATTCTTGCCCCGCGCGTTGTCCTTGGGCACGATGGCCTCCTTGTTGCTGGGACTGGAGAAGGTATCCATAGGGAGCACGGACCGCCCTTGACGCGCGATGATCTTTGCAGCGCCGAAGTCGACGTACTTAATGATGCCGTTGTGATCGAGCAGGATGTTCTCCGGCTTGATATCGCGGTGCACAATGCCGGCTTGGTGCAAGTACGCCAGTCCTTCCAGCAGCTGAAGGGCGTATACTTGGATGACGGTTTCGTCCTCTACACGCCCGTGCTCGAGGAGACTCGCGAGCGATCCTCCCGAGCAATATTCCATGAAGATGTACACCTTGTCGCGGTGCACTTCAATCCCGTGGTATGAGACGATGTTCGGATGGTCCAACACTTCCAGCACGCCCATCTCGTCCCGGATCTGCTGGGCGATCTTGGGAATCAATTGAGGGTCTTGAAGACGGATTTCTTTGACAGCCATGAGGTAATTGCTGTCCAGGTTAATGGCAGCGTAGACCGAGCCGAACGTCCCGCCTCCGATGAACTGCCCTTGTTGCCAACGTAGGGTGACATTTGTCGCTGACGCCGATAGCACAGTGAGAGACCGGTCGGCCTCGTTGGAACTCTCCAACACCTTGCCTAGTGCCTGGCGTTTGGCGTCTTCTTCGACTCTCTGGTCTTCAATGCTGGTCAAGTGGGCAAGGCGCTGCTCACGAACGAGCTTCGAAGCCTCCTCGTCAGTCAGAATCCGGCCAGCACCGATCTTCCTTGACCCAGCTCGCTCTTCCATTCGCTGTTTCTCCGCCTGGGCAGCGCGGGATGACCGCGCACCCATGATATCGAAGTGCGATATCAGCAGTGACATGCACCCGGCGACCTTTTGCCTGAGGTACTCAAATTGGCTGTCATGCATGGAGATAAGGTGCCGGCTTGAGGTGATCGCCATGGCAAACTCGAGAGCGGACACGGCCCACTTGAAGGTCTTCCGATCGGCGGCGTCACAATCATCGCAAACGAACGATACCCACTCCAACGACAGGTCCACAAGCCTCGCGCTGTTCATCGCGCGCCGATTCGGATCAACGTTGGCGGATCGTTTACCGAACTCTGTAGCAAAAGCGTAGCAGGCCTGGATGAGATCGTGGTTCTCCACGCATTTCTCTATCAGTTGTTCCCGGATGAACGCAACGCTATCCATGATGGTCATGGAAAGCTTGAACGAGATTTTGTTGATCTTGTTGAGCTCCACATTGACCCGTCCAAGATTGGCGCGCTGTTCGATGGCCATGTCCAGGTGGACGCCCGTCAACTGGGAAAATTCGAGCCGGGCATTCGACAGGCGCTGCTGGGTTCCCTCAACAACTAGACGGAGTTTCCCAAGCCGCAGGTCCGTGGGTTGTTCTAAGATGTCCACCAACATTTCCTTGCCAGCCCAAGACAGGGGTTTCTCGGGACGGACTACAAGGATGTACGGCACATGGGGCGAATCCTTTGGGGTATCTTCCTCCCTGAAGTGAGTGCCCAGGATCGCTTGAATCTCCGCGTGGCGGTCCCACAGGGCGTGGTGTCCAAAGAGATAGACACCCTTTTGTCCGACCGACTTGTTGGACTTGATAAGGAAATGATCAGAAATCAGAAGCGACTCGAAGAATTCATACGCAATCTCAGCCGGCAGATTATACTCCGTGGCATTTTCAAACAGCTGACGAAGGAACCGGGCGAATCGATAGAGCTTTCGCTGCCGGATCCGGGTCGAATCCAGGACGCTCTTGTACCTTTTGTCCATGTCGGCTGGATCTTCAGTCGGGCGCGTGGCTAGTTCGCGCTCAAAGTGGATCATCAGACGTTGAATTGATTTCGCAGTCAGGGCACTGGTCGCCGTTAGTCATGGATCGAACTGCGGTAGGTTAAGATGTACGTACCTAAACTGTTCGGCCACTTCAATGTCACCACCCTCAAGCTGACGCCCGATTTCGTTGGAGAATTCCCAGTCTTGCTCCAGAATTTCTGCCTCTTTGAACGTGTTCTTGTTGGCATTCAGTTTCCAATTCAGAAGCCGGAAATAGTACTTCATGGCATCCAGCACCACTGAATCGAAATTCTCGTCGATGCAAGGAGGCAGATCCCAGCCCGGCTCCGGTTTGGCGATATCGAGATAGCGCTGCTTGATTTCCACTGCAACTCGCATCAAGATTTGGAATTGCGAGATCATTTGGTCCACCAAGATGGGAGACTGCTGTGCCGGATCTCTCATGTTCTTTGCGTAGGATAACCGTACCCGAATGATCTCCTGGATGAGACGCGAAGGGAAATTGATGAGAGTCAGGAGCTCTTCGATATAGGGGGGTAGGTGGCGTCTGGCGAAAGACTCGGCATTATCAATCAATGTGTTTTTTGCTTTCCGGATTACCTCGCCAATGCCGTACAGCATGTTGTGTTCTCCCTGGAGCGTCTTCAGCCCATCTTCCTTCATGATGCGGTCCAGAAACGAGGAGTCGTCACTCAAGTCACTGTTGGCCGGCTTGACCCGCGGCTTGCTGAAATCCAACTCGGCGTTTCCAACCCATTTCTGCAAGATGGAGAGCTCGGTATTGATGAGGATGGTGGTATTGTGCCACGCAAAGATCGCGTCACGGCTAGAGCAGTATTCCTCCGAAGCCACGCGGGGGTGCGCAGTTTCTAGTTCGCTATGCGTGGGATACAACCGCTCGCACCTCTCAATGTGCTCGACAAAGTCCTCCACCTGCTTGATTGGGGACTTGCCAATCTCTGTCTCCCCCTTGATTTGAAACTTGATGATGTCCTCGACGGTAGCACCCAAGGCACCCCGGGCCTCCTCGATGATTTTCCGCTGCATGGCGACACTTCGCCCGCAGGTCCTCGCTCTGACGCCCAGCCATATCTCATTGTTTTGAGCCGCCGACCGTTTCGTTTCCGTGGTTCCGATGAGCCGCTGCTTTTCCTGCTTCACCACATCGCCCTTCAGGACCGAGGCCAACATCGAATGCCACTCCAGCCGTTCCTGGTTCTTCGGGTTCTTCAGTTCATCGAAACTGGGCTGGTTGTCGTCCGAGAGAAACAACTGGGTGTCCGGGTCGTAGGTGTCATCGTCGAAGGGGACCTCGGAGGAGGGGGAAGGTTCCTCCAAATCCGAATCGGCCATGGCCGCGGCGTTCATATTCTGGGCATCTTCAAACCGACCGTACCAAGCCTGGGGGTCCGCGCGAATTCGCTGAACGTAGGCTTTCTCCTGGGCGCGGTATTGGGCGTTGGGGTCTCGTCTCGCATTTCGCTTCACGGAGGACGACCTCTGACTCGGACGGTCATTCTGTAGGTTGATGAACTGGGGAGGGCGCCGCTGGGGGGCATATGTGTTGGAGGGGGTTCTAGCAGGACCGGACGGGCGCTGTAGCCTTAGGTCACGCTCCGATACCGCGTGCCCATCGGGGAGTGGGATCTTCTCCAGAGCAGCGGCACCAAGGCTGGAGCCACGAGGCCGAGAAGAGGTGGTACTGCTCCACGATGGGATGGCACTGGCGGCCGACGGGGGAGGAGAGGAAGTTATGGTGGACGTCGGGGTGTGGACAGCGCCATCAAAACTGTCGGTGAAGCTCGAGGTGCTCCTCACATACGGTTGTTGCACGAGATCGTCGGACGACCCCGAGCCATCGGAGTCGTTGTTATTCATATCGGGATGCTCCATTACTGGAAAATCAACATCTTGTTGAGGGTCCATTTCGCATGTTGATTCGGGCGGTTGATGACAGAACCTGTATGAGATAGGGGCGTGTGAGGGGTGCTGTCAAGCAAGCTTTGCCGTTGGTCAACGCGTCCCGGGGGGTGATTGGGGGGGTTTGTGAAGAGGCGGAGGCGGCGGCGGCGGCTTGGGAGCTCAGTGGACTCCCGGTTGACTTGGCCGATCGAAACGAACTAGTAAGGATTGGTGGAACCTGTTCGGGGGACCACCGCGGCCACCTTGAGATCGGTAGTTTTTATTTATCAAACGATGGAGTCAACTGATGATCCATGCAATTTGGAAGGGAAAACCCAGCGACAATAGAGGACGAAGAAATAAATGAAGGCGAATGGGAGGTTCGTCGTCGTTCTTGAGGATTGATGGATTGATGGAGTTGGAGAGGATGAATCAGCTTCCTGCCGCTCCGTCGCTGACTAAGCGACTTTTTGGATTCTCAGTTCACCACCTGGAACAGAAATCATACTGGAATCAATCCGGAATACTCCGTAGTTTGAATCTATTTCTAATTGTTCTTCCAAACGTTACTCTGACAAGCATGGCAAAACATAAGTGGGAAGCCATGGATTCTCTTAGTGTATTGGACTCTTCGGAATCCTACTACACCCTGAGAAGGAGATGTACTAGGTATCAAGCCAGAACTAATGACATTTATCATGACCTTCAACAGGAAAGAAGTGAAGAGACAACCGAGACAAGCTCAACGCGTCGGCTGAGATAGCTAGGGCGGTTGTTAAGATGGATGTTGCCTTATAAGTAGAGAAATCTCAAGATCCCCGCTATATCAACATGCTTCGGGCGTCTGATTATCCTTCTATCATAGTGCTGCAGGTCTGAGTCGCCAATTGAAGAGGATCATTGGATTTTATTGTACAATACAACTCGTCAGAAAGACCAGAAAGATCCAATCTAGAGCACCCACTAGGTCAACCTTCAACAGTGACAATTTCGAGAGTCAAATATGGCCTACTACACAGTATAAGTCCACCTACACTTTCTAGAAGATAGGTCAACCATCCTATTTTATAGAAGTATCTAGCCTCCACACTACTGCATCACTATCATCCTACCTAATACAGTCATCATGCCACAAAGATCGAAAGAACAAGGCAATGTGTGCCAGGCGGAGAAGGTTGCGGATCAGTGGGACCGAACGCTCTCGCACTAGCGGGTGCAGCGGGTCAGGAAGGACCAGGGGTTCGTGCGTGTCCTCCTGGAGTAACATCATGGGGCAGTAAAGCTGACATGATGAACAGTGAAGTGGTCAAGTAGAAGTTTACATCACTGTACGTGACTTCTTGGTTCAAGCTTGGGGTTCGTTTTTCGTGCCGCAGTGCCAGGTTTGAGAGAATTGGAGATACCGGCTGAAAACTATTCTGGACTGATTCCACAACTGCAGATGAGTTGTTATTCTTCGAAGGCATTCTATATACTAAGTACCTAGGTACCTAGATATGTTCAGGAGCAGTTATGGTAGGAGAGGATGTCTCTCCAAGGATCTTACCTCAGGGGGTACTTCTGCCCACGATGATAGCGGTGCCAAGTCCGCTAAATCCGAGTCAGTCGGGATGCCGAACATGAATGTCGTCCTGGCCAATTGAATTATCCCAGCTTATCTGCCTCGTCTTCTCCATCTATACTGGGGGGGATTTGGTTATCTCACCCACTGTCACTGTCCCTGACATACCTCCCGCGCGATACCTACATGATACTACCTCTTGTTTGGCGCATCCCGTCACACATCCCCTATTCCCCGTCCATCATTTGTTGATCCTCTGGCGCAGATCTTGGAGTTCATTGTTTGAATCCAAGCGGAGAAGCTACCTGAAACTCCAGTGACTGCAGTGATCCTCACTCCTGACAATGGTCAATCAGTTGATGTGGCATGGAAATACAAATCGGTGACTAAATATAGAGTCGCTATCGTCGTAACAATGGAATGCCACAGTCGGATGGGACTCAGACATGAGACTTTGATAAGCCACCAGGGCCAGTGCTGATTGGCCATTAGTGTCCCTGATAACGGTTGATACCGCGCTGTGATATATCAAACTCGATGGAGTGGCCGTGTCAATCTATTTACCTCCACTGACCCTCCGCGTTGGCTTGGCCTTCATCCTCCGGGCCATTTCCTTCCAACCCCAGCGTACGGAGGACAAGCAAACGGACCAAAGAGAGGGCGTTCATGCGAACTTTATTCCGTGCCCAGTCGGGTCCAGTGGTTAAGATCATCGCCTGCAATCCTAACCCAAGACTGACAGATAAGGGCTCAGCCTTTTGGGCATACGATTCGTCATTGGATATATGAAGTACCTGCATATCAACATAGGTACGACGCCCTAATGGTCCGCGGACTTATTGCATAGAGGAGGCTAGGTGATTGGCACCTGAGCCGGTTATCTACAGCCACTCCCCATGGGCCTTGATCTGACCGTGGTTCATTTCCATTAATTCATAGATTCAAATCAAATAGATATCTAAATCTCACACGATCATGGGCTCCCCTCAAGCTTGTTGTGGGATCTAGGCACTTTACTCACATGCCTTAGGGAATGACCTAGCTAGGACTGGTCAATCGTCTCCCGGTATCTATGATTTGCTTTGCGCTTATCCTGTCTAACGAGTGTCATAGTGCGGACCAGATTCGTGGGTTCAGGGATGACTGGTGGTCTCTTATCAGGAATATTATTTATCAGAAGTGTCTTGCCCAGTGATCACCATCTCCCTGGTGTCTCTTCCCTCCTCTTTCTCTCTTCCTTTGCACTTCCTAGATCTCCCTGTAAATTTTCCAGGCTAGACCCTGTAAGTCGTCGGTAGCCAGGCGAGACGTTCATCGTGGTTTGTCGGAGCCGTGTTTCAACTCCATTGTGGTCGCTTTTTTCCTCCATCCCAAACAGCACTACATTTCATCATGGCGGACAGTCCGGTGCCCTACAAGGGGGCAGCCGATGGCACGGGCGGCGACTCGTTGCACGAGGACCTCAACATCTACTACAATGTAAGTCCTCCATGACAACCTGTACGATCTGACATCAGAATAACTAACACTCCCCAGTCAGGCGACATAGCATGGGTCATCGTGTCGACAGCTCTAGTGCTGCTCATGATCCCAGGCGTCGGGTACGGCTTCACCAGCACCAGCCCTTCCATGTACAACACTGACAAGACCACCCAGATTCTTCTATTCCGGCCTCGCACGACGAAAGTCCGCCTTATCCCTCCTATGGCTCTCCATCATGTCCGCAGGAATGGTATCCTTCCAATGGTTCTTCTGGGGCTACTCGCTCGCCTTCTCCCACACAGCCGGGAAATACATCGGCAACCTAGACAACTTCGGCTTCAAGGGCGTGCTCGCCGCCCCGTCCGTCGGCAGCGACAAGGTCCCCGACCTCCTCTTCGCAGTCTTCCAAGGCATGTTCGCCGCAATTACGTGAGTCACATAACCCCCCCCTCCTTGAACCTTCCATCTCTTCCCAGACACCCCAAAACTAACAAACCCCAAGCGTAGCCCTCGGCGTCGGCGCCGTCGCCGAACGCGGCCGCATGCTCCCCTGCATGGTCTTCATCTTCATCTGGTCAACAATCATCTACGACCCGCTCGCCTGCTGGACCTGGAACTCCTCCGGCTGGGTCTACCAGCTCGGCGGGCTCGACTTCGCCGGCGGGACACCCGTGCATATCGCCTCCGGCGCAACCGCACTCGCATACTCCCTCATGCTCGGCAAACGCCGCGGCCACGGCACCCACGAGCTCAACTACCGCCCTCACAACGTCACGCACGTCGTTATCGGCACTGTCTTCCTCTGGGTGGGCTGGTTCGGGTTCAACGCGGGCTCGGCCCTCAGCGCGAACCTGCGTGCTGTCATGGCTGCTGTCGTTACGAACCTCTCGGCTGCCGTGGGCGGCGTTACCTGGTGTCTTTTGGATTATAGGCTCGAGCGCAAGTGGTCGACAGTGGGGTTCTGCTCTGGTGTGATTTCGGGTCTCGTCGCTATCACTCCTGGGTCGGGTTTCGTTACGCCTTGGGCGGCGTTTATCTTTGGTGTCGTCGGCGCGGCAGCTTGCAACTACGCTACTAAGCTGAAGTATCTTCTTCACATTGACGATGCGTTGGATATCTTCGCCGTACACGGCGTGGGGGGCGTCGTGGGGAACCTTCTGACTGGTCTTTTCGCCGCGTAAGTCATCCTCTTTTTTCCCTCTTTCTAATACCTCCCCCCCCCTCAACCCCAAGAGAGAAAAAGAAACAAACAACTAACACCCGAAAAGTGACTACATAGCCCACCTAGACGGCACCACCGAAATCGACGGCGGCTGGCTCAACCAAAACTACATCCAACTCGGCTACCAACTCGCCGACTCCGTCTCGGGCCTCGCCTACGCCTTCTTCGGCAGCTGCATCATCCTCTTCCTCATCAATCTCGTCCCGGGATTGAGTCTCCGTGCGCCTGAGGACGACGAAATCATGGGCATGGATGATGTTGAGATTGGGGAGTTTGCTGTATGTCCCCCTACCCTCTTCCTTTCCTCACACAATATTCCAATCTAGAAAGAAGTGGAACGTGGGAAGAAACGAAACTAATATAATCATGAATAGTACGACTACGTCGAACTCACCCGCGACGTCATCAGTCCCTCGCCGAGCGAAAACGGAGACGGCTCATCCACGAAGCGGTCTATGTCTATCCCTCAGACGGGGATAGCCACCGATGGTGGTGTCGATGAGGCGAAGGCTTGATTGGCCTCATTCATTCATTTCTTGCCTTGGCCTGGCCTGACCTGACCTGGCTACTACTAGGTAGTTTATCTACTATTCATTTTATTCTTTTTTATATTATTGGAATTATATACCCTTGCCTGGAGAGGGTAAACAAACAGAAGGGAAGAGGCGTCTACCTTCTGACTTTACTTTGTTGGTACTTACTTTATCCGATTTTGATCTTTCTCATACCCTTTTGTCCTCTTTTTTTCTGTTTGATAATGGGTTGGATGTTATTGTGTATACTTTTATCATATAATAGTTACTTACCAAGTATATACCTAATTGATCTCCTTTCTTTTCACATCTTGTTTTTGATATTGGTTGGTGGTGATATCAGTGGTCAATCATCTCTAATAGGGTTACCGCATGTATAGACAGTCTCAAGTGTTTAGGCTGGATAGCACTCATGATAGCCTGGTTGATTTGAACCCACTACACGACCACTACGAGACAAGATACAAGAGACTAGTCTCTGATTGCTTTTAAACTATGTGCTACTGGTCAAGTTTCAGGCTCCGTTCGGCCTAAGAAAGTAAAAACAGGAAAGAAATTAAGAGCGCTCCGATAAAACAAGTCCATGACGCCGACCGGATGGCCCAGCCAGACTCATAGAGAACGAGGGCTTATCAAGGGTATTACTGCGAGCAGATCTCAATTTGCGTCACGATCGGTCGGGGCGGATTTATTCCTCAACCTCAAGGGGCTCCTCCTCGCCGCTGTCAAGCTGTTAGTCTTATTGATCAATGGGTGTGATAAGGGTGATAACTTACTAGTCCTCCTCACCCTCGGAGATGGAGGCATCCTGGTACTGCTGGTACTCGGAAACCAGATCGTTCATGTTGCTCTCAGCCTCAGTGAACTCCATCTCGTCCATACCCTCACCAGTGTACCAATGCAAGAAAGCCTTGCGACGGAACATCGCAGAGAACTGGTCACCGACACGCTTGAAGAGCTCCTGGATGGAGGTGGAGTTGCCGATGAAGGTGGAGGACATCTTGAGGCCGCGGGGGGGAATGGAGCACAGGGCGGTCTGGATGTTGTTGGGGATCCACTCGACGAAGTAGGTCTGGTTCTTGCTCTGGATGTTGCGCATCTGGTCCTCGACCTCCTTCATGGAGACCTTACCGCGGCTAGAGAAGGGGTCAGCATGGGGATCCTATCGTTGTGGACGAATCGAGGGAAACATACAAGATGGCGGAGCAGGTCAGGTAGCGGCCGTTGCGGAAGTCAGAAGCAGCCATCATGTTCTTGGGGTCGAACATCTGCTGGGTCAACTCGGGGACGGAGACGGCACGGAAAGAGTGGGCGCCACGGCTGGTCAGAGGCGCGAAGCCGACCATGAAGAAATGCAGACGAGGGAAGGGAACCATGTTGACAGCCAGCTTGCGGAGATCGGAGTTGAGCTGGCCGGGGAAACGGAGACAGGTGGTGACACCGGACATGACGGCGGAGACCAGGTGGTTCAGGTCACCGTACGAGGGGTTGGAGAGCTTCAGGGTACGCATGCAGATGTCGTACAGAGCCTAGATACCAGTTAGTGTGACTGGGGTTCGATCCAACTTTTCATATAATCCAAATCCACCACATACCTCGTTGTCGATACAGAAGGTCTCGTCGGAGTGCTCGACCAGCTGGTGGACGGACAGGGTGGCGTTGTAAGGCTCAACAACGGTGTCGGAGACCTTGGGGGAGGGCACGACGGAGAAGGTGGCCATCATGCGGTCGGGGAACTCCTCACGGATCTTGGAGATCAGGAGCGTACCCATACCGGCACCGGTACCACCACCCAGGGAGTGGGTGATCTGGAAACCCTGGAGGCAGTCACAGGCCTCGGCCTCACGACGGACGACGTCGATGACATTGTCGACCAGCTCGGCACCCTCGGTGTAATGACCCTTGGCCCAGTTGTTACCAGCACCGGACTGGCCGAAGACGAAGTTGTCGGGGCGGAACAGCTGGCCGAAAGGACCGGCACGGACGGCGTCCATGGTACCGGGCTCCAAATCGACGAGGACGGCACGGGGAACATACTTGTTGCCGCTAGCCTGAGGAAGGAATTAGGGATCTGCCGTGTATTTTCAGAGCAGACGATCGCGAGTACGAACCTCGTTGAAGTAGACGTTCATGCGCTCCAGCTGGAGGTCGGAGGTGCCATTGTACCTATTCTTAGCGTTAGACGGACCGACATCCCCTTTTCCAAGCGCTCTCCCATTCCCGAAGAGGGTATATCCGTGGGCGTCAAGGCAATACTTACACACCGGAGCCATCAAGGCCGTGCTCGCCGGAGATGGTTTGCCTGCATTGTTGTCAGCGAATCAATGTTATCCAAGAGAGACCTGATTGGCAGCGACATGACGGAGTCCCTCATTCCATGTGACCCCGCCATGCCTGTCCTGCACTCTGTCCAAACATACCAGAAAGCGGCACCAATTTGGTTACCCTATGATCACCCAACCCCAAATTTAGCCCGATGTGTTCCTAACCAACCAGATCCGCAACACCCCGCAAGCAATTCATAAAACACGTCGTCGCACTTACACACTGGCCGGTTTGCAGGTGAACCTATATGACGGAGGTAACATTAGCAACGCTGTGTGGTCAATAGGAACCGGTGGGGTCTCCATCAGGGGGGTAAAGTTTCCCGGGACGCGTTTCCACGAGGGAGGGGAAAGAAAACAACATACAATCTCACGCATTTTGGCGAAGTGGAAGGGGTATTAATCGAATAAAATTATGTGGAAGGAAGAGGAAAGAAAAAGAAGAAGAAGGGGGAGTAATGAAGAGAGAAGTGGGACGAGGAATGTCGATGTGAGGGGAGGGAGATGGGAAAGAAAGGAGAGGAAGAGAGAGAGAGAGAAAGAGGAAGGAGACGGAACTAGTGAGTTCAAGTTTGTTGGGGGGGGGGGAAAGAGGAGCCTGAGGAGACTTTGAGCGGTGAAGGGGCCGAGCGACTTGTTCGTTCGTTGTGTGTGGATTGTGGGTGTCAAAAGGGATCAACAGTCAGGCAGGAGAAATGCAGAGATGTAAATAGCACTAGACCCGCTTGGGTTTAGTCAGTCTTGCGATTACTGGCAAAGACCTGGGCTGGTCTAATAGGGGGATTCCTGTTCGGGCTTAAATGGTCTCCCTCCACGGCACTATTGGCCATTCAGGAGGCTATCCGTGTTAGAACGAACCACAGGTGGCATCTCATGGCTACTCCACTTCCACGTCGGCACGCGTCCCAAAGATCGGACTGTCTACTTGGTGGTCAATGAGGATGATACAATGAGACAAAGGTGTCATGGTAAAGATACTACTAGTATGGTACAGACCGGACATGCGTCGGTCGTCAGAGGGCATTACAGCAACAACGTCAATGAAAGTTCACAGTTCACAAGACAACGGTTGAACGGACAAGGTATCCTGGTGGCGATCCCCCGTCACGTTCACTTGGCTGTATTCTCCACGGTATGAGAGCTTTCCAGCCATGTGCCAAACTCGTCCAGGCGTTGATCCTCTTCGTCCTCCGCATCCAGACCTTTCTCGGCCAGATCTTCCAACGCCGCCCGTCGCTCATTGGTCTTCTTAAATTTCTCGCTGCCATCGGAAATGTACGCTTCAACGCGGGTACCGCCGAACCAACGGCCGTCCATGACCTAGGGAAAAGCACCGGCATTAGGTCCGGTCAAATCATCGGGGGATTAATGGGGAACACCTACCTGGACGCACCGCTTCGCCGAGTCTGCATCCTGGAAGCGGGCGATGGCCACGCCGGCCGGTTCCTTATCGTAGAGAACGACGTTGGTCACTTCGCCCAATTTCGAGCACTCCTCGCGAATATCCTCTTTGATGTCGAGGATAGCCGCCGGATCCTCCTGCCAATGGTGTCAGCTCCCGTCACGTGCCGTAACAGATTACAGAGGGGGCGCACCTCCAGTTCCTCCAAAGTAAACATATGCTTCAAAACGACAATCTTTTGGAATCTAGAATTTGTCTCCGGCAGAGCGGACGGATCGTCGTCATCCCAATCGGCGAGTTTGCTATTCCCTGCGTATTAACACACTGCGTTGGTCGGGGTTCAGCTGGTAGGACGTACCTATTGAGCCTTTGGGTCCGCTGAATGATCTTTCGCCGGTCCTTCATGCTGGCCTTGGGTGGCGCATCTTGTTGGCTCTTGAAGGAGAAATCCGCAACTTGAACCTTCATGGGGCCCTGAGGCCCTGGGACTCCTAGCCGGAAATTCGTGTCGTCCAGCATCTGTATCGCGAGGTTGACGGACTCCGGTCGGAAATACACGACGAGAGCCTCGCCCTTGAAGTTGCCCTGGTCATCCACATACATCTTGATTCGCGGACGTCCGCTGTCGATTTCTTCGGCGATGACGCCGCACTTGGAAAAGACATCGCGAAGCTCCTCGAGCTCTGTATCTAACGGGATCGAAGTCACGTAGACGGCGGTATTGACGCGCTGTTTCTTCTGCTTCTGCTCAGGGCCCTGTAAAATTCCCACTCTCATTAGCTCCTGTAGCTCACTCCCCCGGGGTCGCGAGCTCCCGTTAACAGCGAGGATTATTTAACTCACCTCATCCGAACCCGCCTGCTGCTTCCGTTTGTTCCGAAGTTGCGCAGGCGTGATCTGCTCGTCCTCGTCTACCCCGTGGACTTTGTATGCTTCTTGCTGTTTCCGAAGCAAGTCATCATCGACCTGAGGGACATCCACGGGCGCACAAGCCGCGCCAACCGAGAAATCAGTTTCACGAACCAACCAATATCCACGCACTCACGGGACTCCCCAGTATACTTCTCGACAAAGAACAAGAATCATGGTTCGCATATCACCAGTATCGTAGACACCATATGGGAATGAAAAAGCAGGAAAGGGGTTCAAGGGAGAGGAGGGGTGCAAAAACGAGTATTCAACGGCCAGAAAACGCAACAGGGACCATCCGGCTGGAAAGAAGGCGCGCACACACCGTCGGAATCCATCGTTTCAACACCGTATCGTATTCAAATTCCCGGCCGTCGTCTGTCTCTAGGATGAATTTGTCGTCTAGTTTTGAGAAGGAGATTCGGGGATCGCTGTCGAACTCGGAGGGTTCTTGGGGGAAGTTCGACGCGGGGGGCGGGGCGCCGCCCTCGGGGCTTGGGGACGCCATAAGTGTTGACTGTGGGTAGACAAGGATAAAGATCGACCTGGTTGGAGGAATGCGTAGTTATAGGAATATTTGTTGAAGAGGAGTAGTCGAGAACTTGGGTGGAAGAAAGAGACGAAATGAGATGGAGAGCTGCGGGTTGAAGATGCGGGAGACGCTAGGACTGTGAGCGGCGGAAGGGAGCTCCAGCGCAGTCTGTCATTGGCCGGGTCATTGCTTTGCGTCACGCCCTCCTCCCTATAGTCATGCTATAGCTAGGGTCAATCGATAAACTTCATACGTAATTTCTGTAACTAGTAGATGAGATATCTTTAGTGATCAGGAGGATTGTTTGAAACAACACATTATTGACATATAATCCTCAAGTAGTGAATAATCTATGGAGTAGCCATGTTGAGTGCATACTCCACCAATATGGCAGAGGTGACCTTGCGACGGTCTAGAAGAAAAACATATCATAAGACATCCAAATAATATACGTAAATCAAAATTAATAGGTAGCAATTAAATTATCTTCTGCGAAGCAGATGCTATACAGCTCAGGGACAACAATCAATGAAACGGACATTGGCCTGTTCGCGTCTTCTTCAATCCTTCCACGGCGTCATCCAGCGCCTGTCGACCCTTGCCTTCAAAGTACTTCGGTCCTACATCAGGGACATAGTAGCCTTGCGGGTAGAATTTGCTACCCTCGTCGCCAGGCAGAGGTCGACCAAGTGCCCAGGTGTACCAGGCATTTGGCCCCCAGCGGTTCCAGAAGGTCGGCTTGACATAGTAAGGGGCTCCGTCCCATTGCGTGAGGAAGTTCCGGTCATTCTCATCCGGATTCTCGGTGAACGGGCTGCTTCGCATGCAGTAGGGTCGCGGCAGTGCGAGATAGCGCAGCGCAAATCGGCGAATAGATATAAGCGAAGAAAATACCTTAGTGTAAGAGGCTCCCGGGGCATCGTACCTGGTTTATATTAGCTCATTGCTTCTTTTGGTCAATGATTCTCCTCGGGTCTTACATCATCGCCTTTCGAAGACGGTCATCCATCATGAAGGACACGAATTTTAGTCCGAGGGGATGCAGAGGCCGAGGGACCATGTACAGAAGGACTGCGGTGGTCTGATCGGCAGTCTCCCGATTGCTGACGGCCGGAACCATGCAACGGACTTCATAATCGTCACTCCAGGCCGCAATCTCTTCGAGCCACTGTAGCCCGTCCCGGAAACCCGTCTTCCCGGAGGGAAGAGCGTCGTAGCTGACTTCCAGACCGTCACCGACGCTTTTCCAGAACGTGCCGATAGCGCATTTTTCGACATCCGTCAGCTGTCGCCATTCGTACTTGTTGATGAATCGCACAGGCTGGACCGCGAAGAGGCCCAGTGTGTACAGCATATCATCATCCAGAATCTTGCCAGAGGCACGATAACTGCTGTGAACCCAGCGGGTGCGCGCGATGGAGACCAGCGCACGACTCGAGGCGGGGGAGTGGCCGGCGAATTCCTGGATCAACACGCCGGTATCGCTGTACCGCTTCAAGGAAGTCTCTGGTTTTGAGAACTGGCTCGTCTTCGTGAGAAGACCGGAGATTGTGGGTATCCCATATGTCTGAACAGACCAGTGGTTAGCGCGCTTCTTCGCACCGCATGCAAGGGAGACCACGCGGGAGGGCGTAGGAACTGACCCGGAAAAGCGCAAATTGAAGGGCTTTGGCGAACATCAAGGGAAACTCGGTTTGCAGCAACACCTTCTGAATCTCGAAGGCATCGTCGTCTGTCATGCGGGCGAAGGATTCCCGAGTTGGATAGTTGTATTTTTTATGCACCTTTCGCATGCGGCGGAATCGCAGCAACGACACCAGGACCGGGTACGCCGACACAACCGCCAGTGCACACGCGACCAGATCGCGAGAGGGAGTTTTCTCCAGGAGAACCCTGAGGTCTATCGGAACGGCGCCTTTCATGATGACTGAGATTGTACTGCCCTATTTCTTGCGTGGGACTAAATGCGCTTGACCAGAGAAAAAGGAAGAGGAAGTGTAATTCCAATTTGTTCGGGATGACAACTGGCAAGGGGCGCGGAGAATTGCCAATGCCTGCTTCAATACTATGCAATGACAAACAAACTCACGTCAGTCGACCAGAAGGACAGGGAGGGCGAAAAAATGAAGATTTCAAAGTAATCAACTTGGTCTATGCAGGCTTTATGTGCGAAGAAAAATAGAAGCTAGTGTTAGGGGAAGAAGGGACTGTTAGTGGCGTAGCTGATACTCTCCGGATCTGAAGGCCTAGTAATCCATTCCCCGCACCTTCTCGCTCTCCATCTCCATCTCTTCTCCCCTCACCGCGATTCTCGGTCCGAACCTCACTTGGCTGATCTCCCCACTGCATGGTTTCTGGGCTACTCTATCCAGACACGCAAACACCTACACCTGTCCGTCTTATGTGTGTTGGACTGATAAAATCCGACGCACCCATTCAATCCATCCAACGAACGGTATTCAACATTTACTCGAAAGAAATGGCTCGAGCGCTCGTGAACATGGATAACTACTAACCGCTTACGGTTGAAGGATTTAGTACTTGCCGACGGTGCGCGCCGATCCTGTCAACCAGACCCTTCTCTCCCAGAATCTCGAGGCTTTTTTAAGTTCTGACAACTCATAACACGAAATGTGTGGACTTGAGTCTAGACATGATAATCGCTGGTCCATGCAGTCAACGTCGCGTGGTTGATACCCATAAGCTTTAACCAGCAACGAAGACAAGAGGAGACGACAACGAAGGCATACATTAATATCTTGTTTCTTGATCGGCTCCATATGGTACAGAATTGAGTATAACTAATAAAACGTACATACAAAACGTTCGTATTCGAACATTTCGACTCCACGACGGTGGGGGGCTTCCAAATTAGCGAGCGAGCTAAAACGCCAATGGCATGATGCGAGTTACTTAATGCAAGCCAATGCAAGCCATGGCGTTTCTTAGCCCCTACCTCACGCCCCAGCTCAGATATGGCTCAGCGACCGACATATTTCATCTCTATCAGTCTGAGCGGCGGAAACGCAATACCCGTGAAGCCAATTCCGAGCCAGATTCCTAAATCACACCCCCCGGTAACCGCGCTTGCAATTGGACCGGTGTAGTACACTTGATCCTGTTGTCGACATATCAGTGACCCGCCCTTCCATGTCACATATCAAATCAGGGGACATACCATTCCGACGATCGCCCCCGCCCAGCCGATGAGAAAGGCTAGAGAGGCCGCGAAGCCCGACGGCAACCTCTTTCGGTCATTCCACGCAGACCAATCGTACCCTGTGCCGCGGTTGAACAACAGGTCCTGTTCCAGAACGATCGTGAACCAGATGATGGTCCAGTAGCAGATTAGCGGCAGGAAGTTGCTGAAGATCTCATAAAGCGAATCGCGCCCACCGATGGCACACGCGGTATAGATCACCGTGCTGAGACTTGTGAACACAGGACGAGGAACCTTCAGCCACACATCGCCCAGCATCTGAAAATTCATCGACATGGAGTAGGAGCCGGGAGCGTTGTTGGATACCACGCTCAGAGTGTTGATGAAAGCGCAGATTTTGCCAAAGGCACCGAGTCTGTCATAACCTGCCATCAACAAACTCCCCGCCGTCCCGTCATAGATGGCAGACCACTTTGGAGTGTGGGCAACGCCGGACCCGAGGCCGATGCCAAGTAGGTGAGTGAAAGTGATCGCTAAAAATGCCCCAACAGTAGTGACCATCCATGTTGTCCATCTCCCGAGGGTCGGCGGGTAGTTCACAAAATAGTCCGCGGCGACTGGCAGCCATGAAAGACTGGACGACAAACAAAGAGATACAAAAGCTAGGCGATTCCCGTTGATCTCCTGCGGTGTCCCAGCCGATGTGGTAGCAAAGTCAAACCGGGGTCCAGCTGAGCCGAGGATGATGCACAGAGTGATTAACTGCGCGATCCACGCGTATCTGGAACCGCGGGCAGTGGATGAGCATAAGTTCACAACAGTCACCAACCCGGGGAACACAATGCTCACCGTTCATAGAGCTGGAATATGCGCATGCCAAATGTGGCCAAGAGCCAGCTCGCCACGACAACAATCACTATCCCAACAACAACCGAAACCTTTCCATCCGATAGTTTGGAGAGTATCTGGCCTCCCACCATTGAGCTCATCATCCCATAGCCCAGATTGGTCAGCACATTCAATAAACAGCAGACCTTGGCGGGGTTATATCCCATGAAGTATCGGGCCACGATCTATCGAAAGCCAAATGAGCCATAAGTTTTCTGCCTGCGAAATGTAGCCGAGTGACAAGGTGGCCGAGTAAGGGAACAGATCAAACACAACGTAACGCAATAGGTGGATCATACAAGTGTCCGATTTCCACTCCGAGGCCCCCAGGTGCTCATATAGCCCACCGCCAACCCGCCTAGGAGGTTTCCAAAGACCGCGCAGAGCGCAGCGTCGGTGAAGCTTAGCTGCTTTCTAAGGGTCCCCATTGATCCGATGACGATGTTGTTCACAGCCATCCCCATACTGAGCCACATGAGGAACATATGCAGTAGAGCCGTCGAGCTGGGATCTGAGCGTTCCTCAAGTGGCACCGGCTCGATGCCGCGGGTCTCGAGACCCTTGATATTTTGGGCCCATCGCTTATATTTCGAGTTTGGGACTACCTCCACAGGCGCACGGTCTCCCAATTCCTCTGCGGTCACGCTGTGTAAAGACGCCGATCCGTGGTCTTTTTCGACATCTGCTCCCATCCTGACGTGTGCGAGGCTGATAGCCTAAAGAACGAACAGCGAGAGCCGTGGTATCGAATCCGTTTGCTAGATATAGAGATCAAGAAGGGTATATCCAGACGTAGCAAAAGATTGCGGGGAATGACTGAGTCAGACTAACGGTATATATAGGTCCAAGTAAGTCGCTGAAAGGCCAGAGAGGAATCGAGGGGAAAATTCCAGGAGAAAAGGCACTGCCGTTACTTCATGGACCTGATTTGACATCACCTTATTGTCCTCAGCGTAACACCTGCACGACCTTGGTATCGACATTCCACGGCCGATATGCACCAGACCGGACGGGGCCCTACATACGCTCCTCCTGCAACTTAAGGTACAGAGCGGGATTTCCAAATCAGAGATACATCATCTAATCTGCCCCCTTTTTTGGTGATCGCCCTGTAGGATGACGAGCAAACAGGGTCGTTGCAGAAAAAAAAGGGAAAAAAGCGCCGTGAAGAAGTACATGCTGTTGAAAAATTCCCGCACGATAACACAATCCAGCAGGAATTCAGGAATTCGATTCCCTCATACACGCTGATACAGGTGACAAAACGGTTGTTTCACGCGCCTGGTCACATACCAGTGAGTGTGCCCATATTGGTGATTTAAGCTCTCCCAGCCCCGTTGTCCGGTATGTACTGCCAGCAAGGAGACCACAGCCGACCAAACCCCGGGGAGTTGAATGATTAGACGTCAGGATGAGCTCATACTGGTCTGCTAGTTGGGAAGAATGGGGAGTTCTGATTTGTAACAGTAGTTAAATCAAAGACCCCGTATTTGGGTGGACAGGAAGTGAGCATATACTACATGAATATTTATACTTCTAAATCTCACTTCTTACAGAACAACACGTACCAATCCAGAACTAACAGACAGCCACTTCCACTTCTAGCAAGAACCTTCGGATCCCACCCTCAGGCTCGGGGTGTACTAAAAGCATACAAACATACATACATTCCTAACTCTCGCACCCACGGAGCGTGATCCTACATTGATCATTCCTGCTGATAATGGACGCACTGGCCTATGGCTCCTAGCTTGCTATTCGCTGTTTATTTCGGGGCTCATCCTGCTTGAATTTCGTCACTTAGTCAGTCATTCTCTAGAGCTGGCTACTTGTCCAGTCAGTTTAGGATGGGGCTCTTTGCCTCTTCTTCTTTTATCTTTCTCTCTCTTTTCTTCACTTCTCTTCTCTTCTTCCTTTGTTTATATCAAATAGTTTCGCGAGATAGAGAGATAGCGACTGGGCCAATGTGCAAAAGAAAAGAATGGAATGCAATAAAAACAAGAAAAAGCCCACTCACCACTCAAACCACCTAATCTCATATGACCTACCTCTAGGAACTCTCCCAGAACTATAACTATATGTGTGTGTGCATGCATGCATGCATGTGTGTGTAAATAATGAAGGTGCAAAATAGACAACGTCATTAACTATTAGGCTATCACTCCAACAACACAATCATATTATATTCAGCAGAGTATGTCTAATAGATAGCTACTGCCTACACCTATACCCATACCTATATTATGAGTATGGCTACCAACACAAAATGTACAACCAGCAGGGATCAAATGGAAGTGAGGACTGCATTGTCCCGTGTCTCTCTCACACACACACACGCAAACAGCTCCTGCCATGTGAAGGAAGGTCAGCGTTGTAGGATATACATAGTAGGTTCGGGTATGGGGTAAGGTATATATGTCGACGATATATAGTGGATAGGGTGACGGACTTGCATACGAGTATGTACCTTATCCTTGTTTCAAGTCCCATGAAAGTCATTTCATTATTCGTGGAAGTAGAAGACCTTTTCAAAGGTGTTGTTGGTGTGTGCCCTATATTGGCATATTTTTATCTTGACCATTTGACCCTGCAAGAAAGAAAGAAAGAAAGAAAGAAACCAATTTGGCGAGTGAGATGTTCTCAATATCCAACACCCGAAAGGCAGCCCAAACCCAGAACCAAGAAGTATACCGGATGGTCCTAGGACAGAGAGCTTCAAGAGCGTCTGATATGGTATATTATTGTGAGACGACAGCCTCAACCACTGAATGCTTAATTCAGCCATGCTAGCAGCCCTTCCTTCTTATATACCTAGTTATAGTTATAGTCACTGTTGCGTGTAAAACCCGCAGACCAGTGAATATTTCTATAAGACTTAGATCTATCTATCCTATTTCCCCTTCTGTAAGCCCTACCAGGTTCCCCAGTGGGTACTGAGTAGTACCCATCAGCAATTGCATCCAACCCTATACTTACGAGACACCCTCAAGAGAACAAAGAAAAAAAAGAATCCCGTGAAGGTCTATATATTTATGCTGACTCGTTGCCCGTGAACTGTCCAAGGCCCAAGGACCGTGTTCTGGGCACAATTTGGTTTGACAGACCATATCATATTTAGATATAAGCGGTACAGCCAATAGCTGGAAGGCCTCGGGTCTATTCAGATGGAGGGGGAACTGTGAGCTAGTATATGTTGTTAGCATTTCTTTTATTTTGACCTTCACCCACCCCCCCAAAAAAAAACACCAATTAGCGAGTGCATGGTCTTGACATACTACATGTATAAGAGATGTAAGCGCTATTCTAGTGACAGGAGTGATGGACACGTGCCCTACTAGATATAATCTCTCTGACTATAAGATATCTCATCTCTTGAGTACCTGACTACGTAGTGCACTCATCATCATAATGGGTATCTTTCTATCTATCAGTCAGTGATAGTCATGTAACAGCCATAGTAGTAGTAATAGCAATAGCAGTAGCAACAGTACCAGTAATGACAATAATACTATTAGAATAACAATACAAATCGCACAAACCCCATAAGAATAAAACAAGTGGACTGACTGACTGACTGACTGCGGTCACATATGTATGTACCTACCTACCTACCTATGTACCTACCTATTTACTGAGGACAGGAACAACATCAGTCCATCACAATTACACGGAGGAAAAGAAAAAAGACGCAAAAAAAGGAAAGAAAAGCTCACTCAACCACCTTTGCCTACCCCCAACCCTAACTAACATCCATCAAATGAAATGACTTATTGTATAGGGTGGGGAACGATACTAGGCCAAGGGAAGAAAGAGATAGAGATAGAGATAGATAAAGACAGTGCAGGAAAGAAAAAAGATAGCCCCTCTTGCTCCAGGTCCAAACCAAACCCTATGCGAGAGGGGTATGTCTATTGAACAGAAAGATAAAGTAAAAGATATGAAACCTTCTTTTCGTTTTTCCGACCACGTACGCCCAAAGAAAGTATTAATAACGATAAGAAATAAGAAACACGTATCAACACGGAGAACTAAGATAAGATGAATAGGAGGGCGACGGGGTTTGAAAAGTTAGGAGAATACAAAGTAAGCCCATTAAGGAGGGTGAGAGGGTGAATCATGAACAGAAAGAAAGGAAGAAAGAGAAGATAAAATAAACAGAGTAAGATATTAAAAGCAACGTAAAAGGGAACACGGAATTAAGAAGTCTATGGACGAATCTGGGGCTTCATTTGTGGTGGGTTGGAGGAAGGAAAGTGGGCTGGAGGAAGAAGAAAAAGACAGGGTATCATGTACACAGAAAAGGTATGTATGTATGGAGTCCGAGGCTAAGCCTGGCTATGGCTCTGGCTCGATCGAGATCGTCTGGACGTCGATCGTGCACTGCGGTGAGAGGGCGCGCGTGCTGGCGGAGCGTGCTCAAAGAAAGGGAGAAGGTCGGGGTTCTGGCTGGGAGGTGTCTTCGACGAAGACAGGTACTCTCCCACGACGTTATCGTCGGCCGCGGTTTCCGGGTGGATCTCGATGCCAGGCTGACTGCTCAGCCCGCCGTGAGGGCTCGTGGTGAAGGCAAATGTATCGCCATTGCTGGGCCCCCGTTCGATCGGCGACCAGCCTGCAATACTTCCGGCCACCACGCCTGCCATGGCGGCGGCGGGCCCGAACGCGGAGTTGGACCGAGACCGGGTCTGCTTGCGCGACCGTGACTCCGGTGTCGAGGGCGGCGGCGTGCCTGCGCTTTCGTTGACTGGGGTTCCTGGGGCTGAGTTCTCTCGTGACCGGGAGCCACTCCGAGATCTCGGGAGTAGCTGCTGCGGGTGTTGCAGTTTGTGCTTTAGGTGCTTCAGCCGTCCGCCGCGGAGGGTCTTGATGAACTTCAGTTGATCCCGAATCTCCTCCAAGGCGGGGTTCCACTCGTATCGACGGTCTTCGTCCGACACCAGAAGCTCCGGCCCCTTCTTGCGGTGCCAGAAGGTGGGGATGAGCTTCGCAACAAGTTCGTCGGGAATCAATCGGATAATGATTCCAACCGGGAGGGAGAGCACGCCCAGAACCAGAGAAACACCCCATTGAGGACCGTTGAGGGGCGTGACTGAGAACGCCTTTCCACCGACGAAGATGATCAGCACTTGGCCGCCGACAATGATAAACTGGATTCCAATAAACCATCTGTTGCGGAACACCCCTTCAAAGATGTTTAGATTATTATCGATGCGGCGGGAGCTAGTCATAGTTAGTTAGTCCGCATGGAGGGGTAGCTAGGGTTTCGTCACGTACTTCCACTGGTTGAAGATCTGCATCCAAACAAAGGTGTTGAATACGACAGTCTTCAGCCATATGTCTTCGTACCCGGTGATAGAAGTTCCAGCAAAGTTCAAAATAAGCGTAACAACTAGTTGAAAGATACTCTGTCCGATGATCATCTTCCACATGGTAAAGGTGATCAGAGGGGCCGACTTCGGTTCCGGTCTGCGGTTGAGGATTTCAGGCGAAGGCGGGTCCGTTGCTATTGGGATGATTAGCTGCCAGGACTAGGGCCGTCGTGTCCATGAGTTCACATACCTAATGCAAGTGCAGCGAAAGTGTCCATGATGAGGTTGACCCACAGCAGTTGGACAGCCGTGAGGACAGATTCCTCGGAATTACTAGCCACTGCAGAGACGAATGTGAGAAGAACGGCCGTGATGTTGACCGT